TTGTGAATACCTATGTATGCAAAATTGTATCAATGTCCACACATGTGTTAAACACTGTAATATGGTGTGAAATCCCGTTTCCTGTCTGGGGCATGGGGGGGGGACACATTTCTGTGCCTGTTTCACCGATCAATGTATACTTACTGCTACTTATCAAAGTGATACAGACGTAATATGATCACATGTTTATTTTGTGTTGCATCCGACTTCAATGAAGCGGAATCTATTTGTTGTTCCAAAGCAGGCGAAAATTAACGTGTACAAAATTGATAAGTTTAAATAAAACACTTATTCCCAATGACCATGGCTGCTGCAAAGCATCCGAAACGTCGGGCCGTAGTTAAAATAAAATTTTAAATGAGTTTAACTAATACTTTTCGCGTCTTAAACTATTAAAGTGCTTTATCATAATGTACTTCTCGCGTAAACTACGACGACAGTTTTAAATTTATAAGATACATTTTAAACATTTCCTATTTCATTTTATTACGCACTACGGTTTGCGGTAATTAAATACACAGACAAATAATTTCCTTTGCCTATACTATAGTGTGGGTGATCATTAAGTGAATTAAGAAAATTCACATTGATTCAAGAGGAAAATCTCAGTGATACAAGGCAAAAACAATCGACGATAATGAGTCACAGTCACGTTATGGAACGTGCAGAAATGTCGCATACAATGCGCGCTGTGCATTTTACAAACGGCTTCTGCACTTGATCTACCAAACCGTATCTTTATGAACTATCTCATAACATTTTCCGTTTGGTCCTGACAACCTTTTTTGTCCGAATATATAGTAAGTATTGTAAAATATAATTCGGAGTTATCCTAAGACTATATAATTAGGAAGTTATGCAATATGTTAACTCATATTCATATAATCTAAAAATCGATTATTATTATTATAAATAAATAAAAAAATACGACAAACTGGCAGGACTTGAAGCGGCATTCACAGCGTTCCGTGCTGGTGTTCTAACCATCATGATAGCATTATATAACATATGAAAAATATTAAATGTGTCAAATTATATTTATTTATACATAATAGTATTTTATTTATTTTTTTGTTTTATAATAGAACATACATAAAATATTTAACTTAAAAACTACAAGGTGTGTAAGAAATGCGTACCTGAATTTATCAGGTACGTATTTCTCGAAACGGTGTGCAAAACTTACTACATATATTCATAATATTTGTAGTAACTATGTGTGAAATGTTTATATTAAAACACTTTAAGACGTAACTTAACCCATAAGTACTATTTATATTCAATATAAAAACAACACATATTACTTAATCTTTGATTATGTTAGATAAGGTTTTATTTCAACAAATATGAAGAAGTAACTCATTCATGCTCGTAAATCAACCTCTTTTTGTTCGGGTTTCAAATGTAAAACTTCAGCGTCTCTTTCTCCTGGAAATGTTTTTTTCTTATTTCCGGACTTCCGTGCTTTATGTCGCGTAGGAAATGACGAATTTTGATTGAGAGGATGAATCTAACCTTTGTCATAACAATATGTCTCCATAGGGACATCCCTAGATGTGTGTAGTGATTCATTTTAGTAATCCATTATTCATGTCACAAGCGATTCGAAAGACTCGTCGACTAGTCTGGGAGGAAACTATCATGAAAAATTTATAATATTTCCATCTGTACTTAGTTAAAGTAAAGTATCCAAAAATTACGGAAACGTGACGGAGTTGGATCGCGAAATGTGCAAAAGTGTGATCAAGAATTTGGACAAGTAAATCTTCTTTGCCCTAATTGCGATAAAAATCAATTTTCAAAGAAAAAAGCCTCATTGGGTACCCGGGCGCTAACATTAGGTAAATTAATATTAGCCACACTTATGTTTAGTAAGACTAATATTTTTCGTGTTTTAAACCGACAACTTTTTCATTGGAATGTGTAATACTCGCGTAAACGACAGACAGTGTTAAATACTCTCCCCGTGACCACTGCTGCTGCAAAGCATTCGAAACGTCGGGCCGTAATTAAAATCATTTCAAAATAAGTTTAACTAACATATATCGCGTTTTGAATCGTTAAAGTGTATACAGACAATATTTTATTTATTCAATTGTTCACTAGCTATATATATATATATGTCTATAATAGATTCGGTGGTCGAATAAATAATCGATCAATGGGGAATCGAACAAAGGGAAAACACAAAAGAAATGGATTGAAGGATTTTTAACGTCCTAATCAGTAACATAGTAAGGTCACAGATGACTCAGATTAAATTATTAAATTATCCGTGATGGCTGTTAACAATCGCAAGAAAAACCCATAAAAAACCATGAGCACGATACAATGGCGTGGCATTGAGTTGCATCTGCGACATAATTGCTATATGCAATTTTTAGTAAACACATTGTAAAACCTAATATTTTTTCACATACACAGGACGGCAATAAATTAGAATAGAACAGAGCAGAAACACGTTTATTCAGAAAAGAATGAGAAACAACTTTTACAAACATAATATAAGAATTAGAAATATAATATTATACGAGTAAATACAGTTTAAATAAAATAATACAGTTGCTTCTAAAAAGGGAGTCCACTCGGCTACGTTGGTACTAACGTCCCAACACTGTTATTCTGTGGCCCTACCAAAAGCAGAGCCAACACATAAGTAAATTAAAAAATTGATTGATTGAAAAAAAATTACGACACGGGCAGTACAGACTTGAACTGACATCCACAGCGTTCCGTACTATTGCTCCAACTGAATCGACTTTTAATTTATAATGTGTGTTGTTTTCGATTAGACTAGTAGATTAAAATTGCGAATATAGACAACTGAATATCGAGATTTACATATGCTATATAAGTAAGCCCCAGCCCCGAAGTTGTCTGATGTTTCAATTGAGTTTCAACTATCTCTTCTCTTAGAGTAAATCTAAATGTCCGCAACGCAGCTTAAACGCCCGGCCGTAGTTTAAATAATTCATAATTTAGTTAAAATAATACATTTCGTGTTTTAAATCGTTTAAGTCAGGTATACATGAACTTATTAAGACGACTTCGGCCACTCGGACTAATCATGAACTGATGGCCGCCAGAGTTCTAGATAATTAAAGAGAATAAAGAATTGATAATAATGTATTAAAATTGAAAAATAATTTATTAATATCAGTAACATTTTTGATGTCAGCGGGCCACCAGTAATGGAACGGCGGGCCGCGGACTGTACATCTACGGTTTAAATGTTGTATTTAAATGATGTTATCTCATTCACGCATTTTCATCGTGTACACACAAAAAACCGATTTTAGGCAATCCAAAAAAAGTAGCTCCGAATTCGCGTAAGTCGAAATTACCTAAATCACTCTTTAAAACGTCTGCTATAAAGATTTGATTAAATCTACTCCTTGTAACGGAATTAACCGCAGACGAGTAATTGTGTACTTACCATGACAATACACCGAATCGTCGTTTAAGTAAATGACCCCTCATTTATTAAATTATCTTCGTATTTACCGAGAACATCCTTGAGCATATATATGTTCGGCTCGAATGTGTAAATTGTAAATTGCGCATTCCAACTTCATTGCTTAATGTCTGAATTCTGAAGAATGGATGCTGAATTCTGGTCTTTTAATTATTGAAGACTTGAAAATTCCGTGGCTTTTTACATGATTTTTAATTTATGTAGTTAAATTCTTAATTATTTTATTTGGATTTAGCAAAATTATCGACACGGGCCGAGACCCACAGAAGTTCCCCAATAAATATATGTAACTCTTGCAATATAAAATCAACTTTAACACCTATCTATATCATATAATTTATTTTTGTAAATAACTTCCTCAGCTTTTATACATTAGGTAGGTATAAACCCACGACTTCGTCCGCGTCTTATTGATCGCAACATGATGTTATATATCCTTAATTCTTCCACGTTAAATGGTCTATCCAACTCAAAGCGATTTTTCAATTCGAAGCAGTAGTTCCTGACATTAGCACGTTTAAACAAACAAACTCTTCGGCTATATAATATTAGTATAGATGAAACCAAAGTTACAGCTTGATAAATATAAAACAAAATAATAGTGATATTTCGTACCGTTTTAGTACATTTGTACATTCTTGGAATTGGAATTCCGTCTTTATTAACCGTAATTAGATTTTAAGTGTATACTTCATTAATAAATTGGTTAATGATTAATCGTTATGTATAATACTTAATAGGAGAAAATAAGAAGCTACGTGATATTACGACTGTATAAGTGAACCAGCGTTTGCGCATCAAAATAATACGGGATTTAAATTGAACGAAGCGTGAAGATAATTATTATTATTTGACGAAAGCAATAACTTATTTCACGGCTGTTTGGTTATTCTGAGAAATATCTTCGTTTATAAAAGAAATGTCTACAATTTCTATTCTCCTTTCGCTGCATAGATCAATCTCTTCTAAACGAAAACTAATTTATACGCCAGATAACAAAACGATTATATTACGATATATTTCTGACTGTTTGGATCAAAAGGGCAGAAAAGTATTGTCTGTAGTTTACGCGAGTAGCACACGCGGTCGACCCACCGTGACTGTACTGCAAAGCATCCGAAATGTTGGGCTAATTACGTTAACTAATACATTTCGCGTTTAAAACTATTTGTTTTAAAAGGAAAAAATTTTTGACACCTTATTAATAAAAAAATCTATTGAATAGTTAGTCATGTTATTATTATTTTCTATCGGGGACACTTGTGGTAGGCCGGGTGATCAGTCCACGTTATCAGCCGACTATTTCACCCATTTCCCCATTTCCTCCTTGCAGAGTCCAAAAGCCAGTCAATTGTAACAATGTTTTTTTTTTTTTTTGAAATGCATTTTTTTTAATTAAGGTCTGGTAAGGTTGAACTGATTTGGATTAACTAACTCCTAATATTTTATTTGCGGGTAACATAGGTACATATTTTTTACTTCTTATATTATGGACTGTCATTTTATTGATTTTTTTCTATTCCAGCGGCCGTATACCTAGCGGGTGTGGTTGGGGCGATAGGAGTGTCTGTCCTAGGCGTGTTCTGTATCCTGTCCGTGCTACAACTCGCCATGATCTCATCGAAGGAGAAGGTCGGATTCAAGTACACGCATCTTGTGATGATGAAGCTGGCGCTAGCGTTGTTAGCGAGTGAGTATTATAATTAGCATATGTTTACATCATTTGGTCTTAGTTAGGCTGTCATAACTATGTAGTATTTAAAGTTTATACAAGGAGGTTCGTTGACTGTAATAGTAATATATAATACTAGCTGTGTCCGGGACTTTACTTGCGTGGAATAGTTATTTTAGGCATCATATTATTTTTACAAACAACCTCAGCTTAATAAATTTTAGCACTTACCTACCGTTGTAACGCGTTAATCTTAAAAGATAGTACTACATACTATCGCGGACATATTTTTAGATCATTCATCGTAGAATCATTCTTTCATACACCATTTTGTATTTTTAACCGTTTTCGTAGCCCCAATACGGGGCCCTCAAAAATGAATAATTTCCCGTTTTATCAACATTCCCCTCTCTTTCCTTTACTCCTATTGTTCGCAGCTTAATATTTATAGCCCCTAAGCCTTTCTCGATAAATAGTCTAATGGTACATATCGTTATGCAGCTGTATGCAGCTGTAATTGTAGGGACTTTATGGTAACTTTTTACCGTACCGTAAAGAGTGACCTAAACTAATATATCGCGTTTTAAGCCGTTAAAGTGTTTTATTTAAAAGTGTCAAACTCTGTACTACTAAAATATTGTTTTATTAAAGAAATGACTTTCCTTATTTTCAGCTTTACTCTCAATAGCTGCGGCCGGCCTTTTCGCTGTTCAAGGCGATGACAGAGGTTTCTTTCTCACGAGAGGGGAAGCTTTTTATGTACAGGTAAAACTGTCTTTCACTCTTACACTTAGAAATTAGTACATATCTTATGTCATAAAGATATCTCCAAATGAGTTTATTAAAGCCGATTCTATAATCTATTAAAATTCATTCCAAGATAATTTTCATTTGTACAAGACAATATTGGCTTTTAGTTATAGCACTAACGTCATGAGTAAGATTATAATTTTAAAACTGTTTTTGATCATATGTTTTATACAATTATCGCCGCCACGACTGAACTAGATAAGATGAGAAGTCCTAACTTAGAATCCCGACGAAACAGAATACTTTCAGTAGGGTAGGCTACAGACGCTAGATTAACCACCAGTAATCAATTATACAAATGTCATAATACTAACAATCTACGATATCTAATGTAGATGATTGTAACTATATACATTATTTTAATAAAAACTTGTCAAAACTCTGTATTAATAACACTTTAACTATTAAAGTATTGTCGTGTTTTTTATGTTAGACAAAATTGACAAGTTAGAGATACAATATAGATACACAGACTAAGTCAGCACTGAATCATAAGAACAACAACAAATACATAATATAATAATATACTTAAATATTGTGTGTAGTTTAACCGAGTATTACATTTAAATAATATACTTACTTTAATGGTCTTCCCTTGACCAAGGCTGCTCTAAAGCATCCGAAACTTCGGGCTGTAGTAAAAATAATTTTCAAATAGTTTTAACAAATATTAAAGTGTTTTATTTTAATAATATACCTTATAAAGTTATTTACCAAATACTAACAGTAGAATCTATATATTAAATATAAATATATTTATATCTAACAAAATATTTTTCTCAATTACAGATAGTGTGCATCGTTATAAATTCAATACTATTTATTATGTCTGTTTACGACACTTTATTCTCACGACGGGAAGGCGGCGACCCGACCAATCCACTGGGCGAACCACACGCAACCACCATCAATAACCCGGGATTTAAGGAAGGCAGAGGTAAATAAGTTTTATACATATAAGCATATGAAAAGGCCGTGAAATTGAATCGCGTTCACGAATATCCAAAATAGGACGACAGCGCATCTTGTATGGGTGTTAAAGGGTTGGGGTAAATCTTATTGCTTGTATGTCATTGTCTAAAACATTAAAATGCTAGACAAGCATGCAGTTCTAGTGGTGGTAGGTATAATATTCACCCATATAACATTAAAATAAGATTAACTGTTGACCTAATTGGGTTTTTGATATTTGAAATATCCGAGATATTTAATACATGTGAATGTTAAATATTGATTTATTACAGAAGGAGAATATAATCTTTAAAATCTCTCTCCAGGCATATCAATGACAGATGCATCTGGCAAACCATACACTACGAACGGCCACGGCAGCGTCGCGTCTATGAACACTACAGCTACGACCCTCACGGGGCTTTCAGACGCCAGCACCATCACGAGATCCCCTCTCAGGTCTTCCCTTAAGAAACCGAGACCCAGGGAAGGGGAACCGGGTGGCATGGGCATTCAGAACCCAGGGTATTCAGGTAACTCGCCACCCCTCAATCGGAACGGAAGCCAGAAAAAAGTGAGAATACAGACACACAGTACCGAAGTATGAATAACAATGTATAGTAGACTGCAACGAAAAAGTTTGTATGGGGCCATCCGTTAAATAGGTCACTCAGCTGATCACCGTCCGAAAAAAAGTAGTTACTATATTTACAGCAAATTTAAGACAAGGCAGTCGTTTGAAAATATAAAACGACGCATAAACACGACCAATACTTATAATATTGATAGTAATAGAACAATAAATTGCAATTTTGTATATCTTCATCTATTATTACTAAATACGTTATTTTAGTATTCATAAAAAAACACACCGAAGCTTTATATATGCCTCTACGTAATATTTACAAAACCTATTCGAATACAACAAGAATCTCTGAAAAATCTCGTTTTTACTCAATTTTTTGGGCTCTATAACTCCATAGTAATGATGTTATCGTTTACGATAGGTATGACTATTTACAAATGATTCAATCTTAATATAATATTTTGGATTTTGTAAATGTATAAAGATATTTGGATTGGGATCAAACTGGTTATTTGTGGAAAGTCAGTCAATTTTTATACAATAGACTAACGGTTAACATACGTTACAAAAACCTCTACACGTTTATCCTTAAGTATTGTCTGTAGTTTACGCGATTAGTTCACATTTAAATAAAACACTATCAACAGTTTATTACGCGAAATATACAAGTTAACTTCTTTACGATATTATAATACGGCCCGACGTTTCGGTCGCCCACCGGCCCCTAATCTAGTTTCGTTAAAATAAGTTAGCTAATATATTCTGTGTTTTAAATTGTTCAACTTTTATACTTGTCATCACAAAATATTGCACAATTGCGTCGCAGCAAAATGTAGGTGTTAAGTGGGAATGCGGAAAGTTTTATTAGTTAGAACTATTTAATTGTTTTACTATGTTTTGTTAATTCTTTTAAGCACACTCTTTAAACACTACACCAGCAAATTTCTATAAAACAAGTCTCGCGAGAATTTATTTCGAATGTCTTAGACTTGTGTTAGATTATTCTAGAAAGAACCCTTTAGATTTTATAACACAATGTTTTAAGCAAAATGTAGAAATCTATAGGTTCCTTTATGCTATTCTATAATTTTCTTTTAAGTTTTCCTAATTATCCAATTTACTTTAAGCAGATTTTGTATTTTCTAGTTCTTTTAGAGATGTAAATAGAATTGCACATAGTGTAAGAATTATGTATAAAATGTATTTTAGTTATAAAGACCATTTTTAAAATGCAATACGTTTCGTGTTATGTTTTAATTGTTTAAATTAAAATTATGGAGTGGAGGCCGATAAGTATGTTGCTTTTAGTGTGATGGAGGTCAATTCTCAAATAAATATTGTCCTTTTTGTATGGATTTTAACGTTAACTAATCACATAACTAGATGTTATATTTCTTTCTTTTTCAGGCTCTGTTAATTGTTCAAAACTATTATTATCTTTACAAAAGTCATTTTTAATTATTCAAATTATTTTTAAATGTTAACTAAAACATGTTGAAAAGGGGTCTTTTAAAACGATCTTTTAATTCGCAAAGGAACATACCTATCTTATCCAGCTTCGTTAACAAATAATATTAAAATGTAAATATTATATTTTAAAAATTTTAACCCACCAGGAATGTTAGGCAGTTAGGGTATTGAATTTTTGGTCTCAATTTATTAGGAAACAGTAAAATATAAAAAGATTCCTATCTAGAGTTCTAACTTCTAGAATATAACTGCTTGACAGAAGGATTTGCTCATAACTGTTATTTACCAGCATATTTAATTTTGCACACCTTTTAAACAAGTTTGTTTTCTATATCTAATGTGTCTCTTAATTTGTTTTAGTTAAATTTTTTATCCAATATTACCAACATTACTTCTTATTGCCTTGGCCGCTGGCAAGAAAGTGCCTTGCTATATCCTCATTGGATTAAATAACATAATAATATTATTAGTTTTAATCCGTCCATATTTCTGGTCTTAGTTAATTAAATGATAAGTTTAGGGTACAATATGTATTCAGAATTTATATAAGCGTTAATTTGCCTTAATTGCATAGCAATGTTTTAAATTCAAATTTAAATTTGTTAAAACCCGATGATTTTTTATGTACCTTAGTAAATAATGTTAATAAGGTTCTTTAGTCTCCGTCCGTTATAATTTATATTTTGTTTGCAATCAGCAAAATAAAATTTAGATACAATTTGTGTTCTTATTACTGTAATTCTTCCAGCAATAATTAATGTATGTATGATCTAAGTTAGCCATTTCGAAAACCCAAAGCTAAAATAGGCTGGAATATTTCACCTCCCATTAATTAAATTCCATGCTTGTCCTCTATAATTAATATATATATAACTTTGACTTAACTTTAAGTCCTGTTTTCGTGTGTTGACAGTTATTAATGACAAAGTTTGACTGAGAGTAAGCGAAACAAAACCGTGTTTCGAGAGACGACGTCTTGCTAACATACCTGGGCGACGCTACTACACGCATTACTGACGTTACTTTGCCGATATACATCTTCTAGCATATAATACGACGTGTAGTGTATGGTCATGTTATCATAAGGGAATAAATGGACGCTGTATATAATTATAATATTGTCAAAATTATATAAGTACGACTATAAAAATGGGGCATGCAGGTAATTGCTAATGTTAATGTTATTTATCGAATAGGTTGCGTAAAACATCCGAATTTCTTCGCGTCAAGGATGTGTTAAGCGGCCATTAAAACGTGTCAACGTCTGCGTGGGCTCTACGACGTATAAGCTTACCTATACAGAAAAATAAATCGTGGTGTGCAAATTTTATGTGCTGTTTGGTATTGTTGTTTGTGTGCAATTTATTTTGTATGTATGTATTGCGAAAAGTGAACGTTAAGATGCATTAACGTTCACTTTCCCTGTTGCTCGAAGATTCTTTAGTACACGTTTTTTTGACGGAAAATATTCTTTGAATCAATATTTCAATTATAAGTACTTGAATTACTAAAATTAGTTGAAATGCTGATTAGTAAAGCAAAAAAATAACGTTGCTTGGGTGGACAATCGTGCCTTTTTTGAGGTACAATTTCTTCATTATTTCCAAACGAGAATTAAAAACTGATGCCTAATATGAAAGATTTTCAATGTACAATGATTATTTTTTTAATCCGATAAGAAATCAATTAAAATATAATGAGTTTCTAGTTTTGTTTGTTTTCCATTTTGGTCAGTCACAACGCGTCTATAGATCATATTCGATTATCTATATCTATTAAAAGCTAAATATATACTATATTATGGTAACCAGGCCATAAACAATTACATAAAAAAAATGAATATATAAAAGTTTACATTTGTGGGTCTGTGAAGTGTGAACTCTGTGATATCATGTGGTACATTAATTCTTTGAATAATATTTCTTAACTCTTATCTCACCTTCAAATAAAAGAGAATCAGAGTCTATGAAAGTTTTAAAGGATCTTATGATCAAGGTAAACTGTTTGTTTACGTGCATTTTCTTTAACCTCGGTTAGGTTCATGGACTTATTCTAGAACTGGTTAAACAAAAGTAGTTAAAACACAAATATGCCGATCTTCTTCCAGCCAAACTAATACGAGATTTAGTTTCGTCTCACTTTAACACCTTATTATCTACCTAATGCAGTTGTGAGTTTGTTGCCTTGTGGGTAATGGTAGCTAACCTTCAATAGCCGTTTGAAAAAAGTGAAGCCCTGTCATTAATATATAATATGGTTCTAGTTCAGCAAGCCAAGGAGTCCGTCAGCGGATCCCGATTTGCTGCTTAATTCAATCTTAAACAGTCTATACAAATCTTTATTGTTAATTAATTAGAGAAGAAAACAACTTTGCTATTTATTGGCAAAACAAGATGTGCAAATACTGGGTGTGGTTAGCCATATGAATTCTGTTTTTTGTTCGTTCCTTGATCATTGATGATTTGCCTTCTTCTTGGGAAATAATCGGTATCATGGCACTGCTGTAAATCCATGAACTGTAAATGTTTGGGTTAATAACAAAAGGGTGTCTCTCAACCTTAAATCTTAAACTTTCTTTTGCATCTTTAACCTTACATTTTTCCGACCCTTTATTGTTTTCTTTCTAGTTGGGGTCGGCCTAGAAAATATTGCTTATAGCAATAAGGTGGCCTGGTGCACTCTATAGCTGTTGTAAAACTTCATTGCGAATTTGTATGTTTCAGGTATTAAAGTGTGAAATAAATAAATATATTAGTCTGCTAGTGAAAAGTGTATTAAATATGTGCCCAGCATAGCAGCAAGAATTTAATTTGATTTTGACTCTTAACCGTGGTTCAGTTTGGTTTTTGTACAATATTTTCTAACTCCAGTAGTCAGATATAGGCAGTGTTTTATACCCAACCGTATCAGCATACTAAGGTATTTCTGAATTACTAGTCTATTTAATTATGTCAAAACTGTCATCTTCAATTTAACCTTATAACAGTTAGTCATGGTCACTATCAGGTTATTTCATCACTTACAACAATGAAAGCTAACAATCCAGTTCTACAATACCTAATAATGTACAGGTCATTCTATTGTTTCGGGAGTTACATTTCTCCAACCAGTTACATTTTAATGTATTTTAATTCTTCAATTCCCAGGTCCAAGTTAATAAATATTTTTCTTTTCTTTTCAAGTAAAATAACTTATATACATTGGGTAAAGACAAAAAATATATAGAAAATAAATGAATTACCCCCCCTTTTTATGGGGGTGTCACCTGCAGGTGACACTGGGCGTTATGGTGGGTACTCATACACTGAACTTGGCAAGACACTTTACTTATTCCTGTAATAAGAACAAAAAGGGCAAGTCAAAAATATTATATTTATTTATGTAGAATATACAAAAAACAGAATACTTATTTATTATGGAATTAGTACCAGCACTTTAGATGCAAGCCAACATTGCATTTTGCCACACATTTTTCTTGTAAGTCGGTGACAATATCCACATCTTCGCTGAGAGCAGTCCATTTGAGAGTGATCGTCATCACTTCCTGCACTCCTCACCTCGGCAGGCACTCTTATCTGCAGAGATACGCCATAATCTGACTTGCGTGTCAATGGTTTGCCATATTTTTGCTGGTAGATCATGGCAACATTTCGCCGGAAATCGCAGTAGGTCCAGTTGTTTTCAGACTGCCTTTTTTGTAGCCATGCATTTGGCAAGCTGCATCTAAGCCAAAAGCAAATAGAGGGTACCACCACTTTTTGCCGCGAAGATCTACCCTCATGGAGTCAACGTTTTCGTCAAAATTCGTCAATCATCGGAATCTTAACGCCATTTTCAACAGGTGTGTTAATCCCGGAGTAAAATTGTACTGATTTTGTCCTTTGCATATTGTACATTTGCTTCTGTACACTCTAGGCGCACCACATCCATAACACTTAATTTTGTAATCCTCGCTGCTGTCTTTTTTTTCGGCTAACATTTTCCTACATTCATCTTGCGTGTGTTTTTTGCACAAAGAACACCTTGCCTCGTTTTGAGCACAAAGAACACCTTTTTGGAATTATTTTTTGAAAGTCCTCTTCTTTGTCAAAAATTTCAAAACGGCGACCTTTAGTTAAAAGTTCGCTAAATGTTGTCACTTCCGACCGTTGTATATCTCGCTCGAACTCTCTTCACTCGAATTTTGAATTAAGTAGCCCAAACACTAAATCCAACTGTTCCTCTTCGTTATGCCGCTTATCAGGCAGTTGAGCAAAAAGGGCTCTTTTATAGCACAGGAATGAGTCTATGGATAGGCAGGACCACTTTAGAGTTAACTTTGTTTCCATTAACGATTTCGTTTCAATCACAGACGGCAGGTTCTCTGAAACAAAAATACTCCGACAGAACTAAGTTGGCTGGGGTGGTGATGTGAGTCACCGTTTAAATACCTATCTGTATGGGTTGTTTTTCTAAAGACGGTATGCCCAATATTACCGTGTTCATCACGAATTACTAAAATGTCTAAGAAAGGTAGTGTGTTATTGTCCTCCTGTTCCATTGTAAACTTAATGTTATTATGAATTGAGTTAAGGTGTGTAAGAAATGCAGATACTTGTGCTTTGGGTAAGATGGTGAAGGTATCATCTACGTATCGCTTGTAAAGCTTAGGTTTAACCGGGGAAGAAGCAAGGGCCCTCTCCTCAAAGTCTTCCATAAAAATGTCAGCAACTAAGGGTGAAACTGGAGAACCCATGGCTACCCCATCTACATAAAAACATAGAAATCCCGATTCCAAAGTAGGTACCCGGTTGTCAAGCAATGTTCTAAGATATCCGCATATTCTATAGGCATGTTGTTTTTAATAAGTTTGCTCTTAATAATTTTGATACAATCAGCTATAGGTAAGTTTGTAAAGAGTGATGTGATGTCAAAGCTTACCATATCCTCATTGTCCGCTACCTTTAGACCTTTAATAGTTTCTACAAACTGATACGAATCCCTGACGTGAGCAGTTGTATTTCCCCTGAGGGGGGCAAGTGTTCTGGATAAGTGTTTTGCTAGTTTATAAGTGGGCGAATCTATTTGACTGACTATTGGACGTAAGGGATTGTTTAATTTATGAATTTTAGGTAACCCGTACATTTTAGGTGGCTTCGGGCAGGCTGCGATGAGACCGTTTGGCGTCGAGATCTAGAGTCGTTTTATACTTGTTTATAAGTTCCGACGTCTTTTTCATTACTTTGGTTGTGGGGTCCTTTGCAACCTTGTTGTAAACCGCGTCGTCATCAAGTATTTCCGACATCTTTTGGTTATAGTGCGACGTATCTATCACGATCGTGGCGTTTCCATTGTCAGCACACAGTACTATAATATCTTCATTCGCTCTTAGTTGTTTGAGAGCAGTCGACTCCGCTAGGGAAAGATTGTGTTTAGGCGGCTTGCTGGAGCGTAGGATACAGGATATATCCTGCCGTATTGCTTCCGCATCTTCCTTAGGGATGACATTTTTGAAGATGCTTTCCTCGACGTAGCTGATTATCTCTTCGCAAGGTATTTTTCGCGGCGCCGGAGCAAAATTTAGTCCTTTGTTTAGTACTTGAACGGTGTTTTCATCTAAATTGACTTTTGATAGATTGACAAGTAAATTTTGACATTGACTTTGATTGTCATGACGTTTATACGAGTTTGTTTTGTCTGTTAGTTTTGTAAATTTTTTAATCTGTTTATTTTTATAAATTGTATATTTATTGAATGATCTATTTGATACTATGGTTTTGCAATGTTGCCAATCTTCATAATTAAAAATAAGTTCAAGTGTCTTTCAATCTTCGTCTTGGATATCAACATTTACCCGTTGAATTTTGGCTCTGTGATCGGCGATGAGCTAATAAGTTTAACTAATATATCGCGTTTTAAACCGTTAAAGTGTTTTATTTAAATGAATTTATTGATTTTATGGTCCGCCTCTCAACAAACAACTGGCATCCATTTTTATATTTGACAGATATGGATGCGCAATTTTCGCGCTTATTTGACCAGTTGGCAGCACTGACTACTTATTAACAAACGAGTTTTAAAAATTGCCGCGAATTCTTATTATAACGGTTAATGTGCATTAGTGGTCAACTACTAGTGACTTTACCTTAGTGATCTCTCGCTATTTAAAATCCTTTGATCAATAAACGAAGGCGAAACTGTTTTACCTGAATCTACTAGAGATATTGAAAAGTATGGTTTATGAGCTATTGAAAAGTAAACATGGATTTTGGAGTGTGAGAAATGGTATCAGTGGTGCAACTGCTTGGCGTGGATGTGGATATGCTGAATAAAACTTGAACTTCGCAGACCTATCTGCCGCCGTGCATCGGCGTTGTAAACTACGATGTTGCGGCATACTCTCCTCCTTTCAGCGTAGCGTTGGCAACTTTCTAGGGTGCTCATCATTACATAGTGTTCTCCAGCCGGGCTCATAGCTAGATACTACAGTAATTTCTTTTCTATATCAGTGTGCGGTATTATGAGGCAAACATTCGATATAATGATGCGTTTATTTCTATTGATAAGTGGTCGGATGGAAAGTTTTTTATTTTGAACTGTGACATATTTTTTGTTTTCAATGATCTCGTCAGCGATTTCTTTTGAGGAAACGTATATACAAATCCTATTGTTTGATATACTTGATAGAAAGCGGATCTGTGATGGTTCGATTATTCTTCCTAAAGCGTGGGCATAGTCCTTTATTTGTACGTTTTCCAAGGCATCGATGACAATTGCTTGGTCTTTTTTAGGGAATGTAGTGGTTTGAGTCACAGTAGCATAACTGGGGTTTTTTATTAACTTTGGGGGGTTCATTTTGTTCCTGTAGTCAGAAACAATTACGTTTTTGAAATGTTTTTACTCACAGATAAATAAAAATTCCATTTCCATCGTTTGTGCACATGCGGGTAGAAAACAAAAAACACTCGTGAAACAAGCGAACGTATATAGCGACCGACCGTTCTCGGTGATAAGTCAACCAATACTGCCTGTCCATATTGTTGACTTCGCGTAATCACATCCAAACGATGTACTTTCAACTATATATATATATAGTTGGAAGGATTAAAGAAAGCTTAAAGCTTGATATGATATTTCGGCACAAGAATATTGGTAAGCTCAGGAAATTTGTTGATGACTTCGTTCACAGACAGCGTGTGCGCCACGTATGTATGGTGGTGCTTGTTCAGCACATTAATAACAGCTTTTTTCTTATAATGTAGTAGGATTTACTTTACTTACTTGTACCGGCTGTAGGGATTGTGCGGCACGAGGCCGAGATCTCTACTCGTTTGAATGTGGATCGTTAATACGATTAATATTATCTTCTTGGTTAATGTTTTCAGGGTGGATTCTAATTGATCCATGAAATTTACTCGGGGAGACGACATATGAGGAGGATTTTGTGATCTAAATTTGAATCTATTATTATTACTCTCGCGTACTTTACACACGGAGATATCGTGACCCAATTTCTTACAATAGCGACAGAATACAGGCTAACCTCCCAGCTGTTGAGCAGTATGGAAGGATCGTCGCCTATCTGAAAATAATTCAGGCTTTGGCTTTTGAAAATGTTGTCGATGTTCAGGCTGACTTCGTCTATATTGCATTAATTGAATTCTCTCCTCAGATATCGCTAGGTTAATTGCCTCATTTAAGGTCTTAGGTGCTCTACCTCTTAAGAATGTAGATATGCGAGAGTGTAACCCCATAAGAAAATGATGGAGGGCTAAATCCTCCATGGCCGCGTAGCTCTTTGGCTTTAATAGTGGAAATTGAAACTTCCGTAAGGAGTTGCGATAGGTTTTTTTATCTTTGGTTCTATATTTTGTTGAGAAATGATACATGAAAATGGTAGGAACTTCGTGGATGTTGCTATTTGATACAAACTTTCCACGAAGTTCCTTTAAGTGCTAGGATTTTATTTACTAATGATTCTATACATAAAAATAATAAGTCGCTTAACCTAGGAGTTGCATTTATGAGAAGCTATTTTTATAAAGATTGACAATTTATACAGAGTTAATAATATAATATTATGGTACTATTATTAAAAAGGAATACAATGCTAAACTGATTCGGGACTATTCGGGATCTGTCCGCCTTGTTTATTAGTGTTGCCCCTTTTGCTCGATTTATTCCGCCATTTTGCTGCCAGTGCTGAGGTACGTTCCGATTCACCTGAATCCGCTACTTCCATATCAAGTAATTTTGACTTAATCGAATCAGCCGTTATTTGAATTCCGGAGTGCTCGATGGCCATGATCATAGGCATAAATCGCTCTGGTAATCCGGCAAGCAATAGTGAACCAACCCATTCATCATTGATAGCGAATCCTGTTCCGCTCAAACGTTGAGACGTTTCAACAATTTGTGTCACATAATTCGTCATATTCTCACAATTTTCTAACCTTATAGAAATCAGATGACGAAGCAACGTAATCTTCCGAGAAAAACCTGAATCGTCAAACAAAGAACGAAGTTTTGTCCACAATTGCTTCGCGGTCGTTATATCTTTTATGTGCACGAATAATGATGAATCAATCGTCAAAATCATCTTAGCGCGCGCCTTTGCATCGGTCGCCGCTGCATCGCCCGTTCCTTCTTGCTTTAGGAAACTGTCCGCGCCCTCCAATATAAGCAAGTTCTCAACTGCGAACGCCCAATCGTCGAAGTTTTCGCGACCCTTGCACATCTTCGACATCTTGCATTGATTAATGATACATTAGATCCTGAGTCATAAATTCCAGAAACCTTTAGAGTATCATTTAATAGTAAACTTACTTTTATTAAACCTCTAGTTTTTTGGATTTTCCTCATTGAGTTCAATTTCCAATTCCGAGTTATTTACAGTTTTCACAACTGCTTTTTGGTGTTTTCCTTTAAACCAACAGCTGTCCTCTGAGTGGAATCGTTTCCCTTTTTTCTCATTTATACAGATTTGGCATGGCTTCTTTTCTTTAATTTTTTTTACTTTACTTTCAGAATTTGTATAGTTTTTCTTATTCTTCATCACAAGATGTTCAAATTTTCCTATTTCGTTATAAAGGTCTTCCGTTCCTCTGTCAATTTTGTCAGTTACATAGTTGGGTAAACCAAACGCTATAAGGTCAATAAGTGTCCCAGTGTCCACTGTTTACCTGATTTTTCTTTCTTTATAGCATACTCAAGTAAGGAACCAGCTTGATATTTAAAGCCAAGAGCATACCTAGTGGATGACCATCCTTTATTGGCAAAGGTCTCACAGAAGTTGTTCTCCCATTGTTTCCATTCTGATTCAATTGTAAGCTTAATTAACATGCAACTGTACCAATCTATGCTAGAGTTCTCTAAAAAGTTTTTTAAAATTTCAATTTTCTTTTTATCTTCCTTGATTTGGAAACGTTCACATTCCTTATTGAAATCCTTGATCCACTGGGATGCATTTGAATTACGACCATAGAATTTTTCAATAATAAAATCCTTTGCAATTTTTCCTAAATTTTGCTTTACTGGTATTTGTTCTTTTTCTTCAAGTAATTTCTCTAACAATTTTTCTAATTTTTGATTTGAACCTAGCGGTTTAGGTTCAACGCTACTGGGCTGATCTGAAATCTCTTCTAAATAAACATCCTGAAATTGTAAATTTTCTTCTTCGTCCAAATATGTTTTTGAAATTTCCTCGGTCAAACTTATCCATATTCTTCTTGTTTGATTCCTTTTTATTAAGGATTTTTTTACCTTGGTGTAGTTGGGTGTAGCTGTTATCACTCCATGAAGATTTGCAGGTTGATAGTCGGCCGGCATTTCAAAAACTTGTCCATTTGGTGTAGCAATTGAGGTTATAAAAATAAGGTTGGTTTTTCCATCCGTTGTTGATTTCACGGTAAAATCAAACCGTAACCTCTCCATTTTCTTGGAATATTAGCAAAAATGTAGTTTTATAATGACTTTTATGGGTTTTATTAAGAAAAGACGTAGTTGCGTTTCTCTGAAAAATAAAGAAACTACATTTAATGCCTTTTCTTTAGGTTTAAATTAATATTGTATCCATATGTAAAAAAAACTATCCGACGCCATATGCCAGACGTCATCTATTGCACTGCGCTGTCAGACACTTATTATGTTACCATTATACAATAAAAACCTCTATGGCTAACGCGGCAAATTTAACCTGAAGGAAAACCACTCCACCACCACGACAGGGCAGTGGTTTTTCTTTACATACATTCAAATGAACAATCATTTTTTGACGGCATTATTTTTAATAGTACTTTTAAGTGTCAGATAATGTTTTGGAACCAAAGCCGTACTTTTTCAAATCACCCCTTGTACCACGGAAAGAGAGGGGGTTGCAACCCTCGGTTTTTTCCTCTTGTCGCATGATTTTTGTACGGCGTTGCGGAATAATGTATTAGAAGCAGTACTGAAATAGCATGAAACTGATGCCGTACAAAATTAAATGACCAAATTCACCCTGGAATATGTCGGAAAATCAACAAAAAAATCCGACTTTTTGGCGCACCATTTTTTTACGGCACTACGCGTTGTCTTATTATTTTTCATGGATCTATCGATAGTAAGAATGCCGTACAAAAATGTATGACCAAAATATACTCACTCACACTTTTGAATTCTCACTTGCACTCAGTTGGACAGCTTACAAGTGACGGCATAATGCTGAATCTTATTATTTTATGCTCTTATATCGTTCTACATAGGTCATCTGGTGGTTCAAATGACCCATCATTTTTTTTAACACGGGCCTGTAGTCTAATACTGATCAGGTGAGTATATAGCATTCAAACGAAGATACTTTTTTATTTTTCTTTCAATGACAATTGTCACCCTCATTTTGGGTATGACCTTTAGTTTGGAATTTGTGAGTAATGGAACTAATATTTTGAAATTTACTTACTGCTAACATGTACATATAAACCATATAACGGTTTTTCTGCTGCCCGCAACAATTATCACTATAAAATATTACCTCGATTGGTTGATCAGCCTTAGTTTCTATTTGCATAAGATAATTGATGCCATACATTACAATAAACATCTCTTGCTTTAAAATCAGTTATTGTAAAATTTAAAACATTTAATTTGGAGATGTAATAAAAGCTGCTGACATCCCCTCTTGGACAAGGCATGGTTGCCTGTAAATCATAGACAGCAACTACCACATGCTCCCTTTCAGTTTGTCTTGTTCCTTCTCAGCTCTCGATAGCTCTTTTTATATTAAATGTGTGTCATACTCAACTTGCAGTCTTTGTTTTTCTTCCTCACAAGTATCACACCTGTCTTTTTTGGGTGAATAATAGGCAATATTAAATTCATTATTAAAGATATGGCTATACATAACATAGTTACCATACTGCTTATATTCAGTCTGACATAACTTAACGTAATCTCTGTGAAGATCGATTAATGTTTTACTGCCGTCAATATGATGCTTATTAGTATTACTTCTACAATAATGGCTATCCATACTGGGAATAGATTTTTTATGCTCTTTTATTTCGTTTTTTATTATGTCTGGTATTCTGGCATGATTCTTGTGTCTTCCTCTACCATCTAAAGCGACGATATTGTTTAAGGACGTTACTCGCTTCTCAAACGCGGTCATTTAAAGCAAGCGTGGATTTAAAAAATGTTTTGCAAACTCGTACTTTACAGTTTTGAACATTAAAATAAAATGAATTATTATTTTGCCTTGGGTTTGCCGCATTTGTGTAATTAAATATTTTGGCGTAATTGCAGAAGTGCTGTTAATGATGTATTGTCGCTGCATCGTCATGTTACCTAAATTATAATATTCGGCAAAGATGTTATTTCTTTCTTCCTCTGATACTTTTGTAGAACAGCTTAGGTGGCATTTTCCTCCACACGGTGGACCTATTTTTCTAGCTGGTATTTCTTTATTTAGCTTTTTTGAAGTGTAGCTCTGACCTGTGTTCCTTAAACGTTTTGCAATTTCTGACTTCCAGTTGCTTACATTTCGTTGTCGTTTTCTGGTGAGTGTTTTGGTGGAATCCAAGTTATCAACCTGATTGTGGAATGATTTCGCAGTTAGATGAGTGTAAAGCGGGTGGAATGTCTTCGATATGACTAGAATGCGTAGGCCTATTTGAAGCTGAAGATGATGAGCTGTTGGAGCTGGAAGACGATGAGCTGCTGGACCTGGAAGATGAAGACGAATCCGATGATGACGTTGACGCTGATCTAAGCCTAAAGTTCGGATCTTTAACGCTGTCATCTGAATCGAAATCAAGCTGACTATCAGCTTTGTTTAACTCCTCAGTGCTGGATGTGTTAGCGTTATATTAGCATTATTTTCTAAATTTTCATTAGTTCTAGCTGTCGGTATACTATGATCTAAAGCATTTATATCTATCATGAATTAAATTGGTTTGAACAACAGTGCTTACAACCGATTCGTTTGCAAAATTGACAGTTTCTATGCATTCTATGTAGCCCGGACCTTGTTCTTCTAAACTAGTAAAGGTGTACATAGTACAGCGAAAAGAGGAGTGCAAATCGTTTTATCCCGGCTTATCTGAGCCCTAATTTCGTGAATTGTGGAAAACCTTGTCTCAAAGTGCCCACACAACTTAATCTACATACTTCAAGAGTAGCTGTCCATGCCCGCAGTCACGCACAGATCAGTGCTGTGACGGGTCTTTACATCCGACGAGCATAGAACACCCATCCTTCGTGACGACCTGCCGCGAGAAGCTTATCCGCATCCTACGTGAATACATTTCACCCGTGCGAGAACTTCGAAGAAATGATAGCCGCTGTTATCGCTCTCCCGGTACTCATGTGAGTGATTCTTGGTCATTGCGATTCTCAAACTTTTGTTGTTTCATTGTATTAATTTCTTATTTTCTGTGTTACATTATTTACCGTGTTATATTTTTTACTGTTTATTGTGTGATTTGAAATAGTGTTTATTGATATATTTAGATTAAAATAGAATAACGCAAAATGTCCGAAAGTAGAGTCCAAAGCCCAAAATTATTATTAAAGAAACCAGAAATAGCTGTAACAGATACAGAAGACGAAAATCTTTGCCCCCCACCTGCAGGTCCTGTGACAAGGTCGAAAAAGAAATTACCGACCACTAGTAAATTAGAAATAGATCTTTCCACACTCCTTAAATTTATTAAACCGTTTGACGGTGCTAGAGAAACTCTGAACTCATTTCTGGTTAATTGTAGCAACGCTTATGAATTAGCTTCTGATCAACAAAAAGATATTCTTTTTAAATATATATTATGTCAACTACAAGGTAAAGCACAAAACGCGTGTTCAGTAAAAGAATTCGCCAATTGGCCACAGCTGAAAGAATTTCTAAAAAATCAATTTAGTGAAAGAAAACACGCCCATTTACTGACCGACTTACAACAATGCAAACAGCAAATAACCGAAACAGTTAGCCAGTACGCGTTAAGAATAGAAACATGTCTCTCCCAATTATTAACGGAAATATCTATTTCGCATGGTCATAAAAGTAGAGAGATGGTAGGTCGCACTGCAGCAATGGAGGAGCTAGCCCTCCACCACTTCCAAATGGGTTTAATAACCCGCATTTCAAACGTCGTCTGGTGTAAGTCGCCAAAAACGCTGAACGAAGCGGTAAATATTGCCATTTCCGAGGAAAAAATACAACAATTCCTATTTAAACAAAATCCATCTGGGTCACGCCAAGAGAAACCAAATTTCCCGCGACCCAATTTCCAAAATTCACGCCGTGAACTATATCAACCACCTCGCGCCGATTTCAATCAGTCTAGGCCAAACTATTATTAAAATCGACCTAATAACAATAACAATACCTCGGCTCCAATCTGCAGATATTGTAAAACTCCAGGTCACACCCTGGAACAATGCCGCAAACGAGAATACAACAATAACCGTTTTAGCGTCGATCAGAATCAATCAAGGACACCCCAACGTGTCCATTTCGTTTCCGATAGTTTTGAAAATCAAGACCCAGTCAACTCAGTAGAGGGTTATGACACTGTGGACGCCGAACAAAAAAACGAGTAACAGTCTCGGCCCGGTGTCGTACGGGACCTCACGATGTAAAAACGACACTATTAACCCAATATCTAAACCGAGATTGACCCCGCTACATGGAGGTCACTCTAGAAAAACGTCAAAACCCTTGCAATCATCGCTACATGATGATTTGCGACATTCCACTGTATCCGTGCAGAATTCAATACTGCCAAAATTCTCTGAATCCACTGTATCCACGAAAGGTTCAACACTGCCCAGATCCTCTGAATCCAATGTATTTGAAATAACGAATAATCCTGCAATAATGCTATTACCTCATGTACTCGTTGAATCCACTGTGTCAGACATTCCCTTATCCTTACTTGTAGACTCTGGGTCATCAGTAAGCTTATTAAAAATTACCTGCATTGAAAGACTGCCTAAGCTCAATAAGGAAAAAAATCAACTCAAAGGTATTGACTCATCGGAAGAGCCCATTCAAACTCGAGGTCACTTTCAACTAAAATTACGCCTTCCTAAGTCTTCTATATCACATCAGTTTCACGTCATTGATAAAATACACTTGCCTTATGATGGCATAATAGGTTCTGATATGCTTAACGCGCATAGCTGCAACATCGACATAACCAATAACGCGCTTCACATTGGTAAATCATCCTTAAAGCTACATTTTACAATACAGCTGTCTACCTGAAAAATAGAACTGTTACATCTAGTTTAGTTAACAAAACACCTTATGAAATGTGGAATCAAAGAAAGAAAGAAAGTAGTAAGTGACGCCGTCTATGATTCTTTCATATAAAAACTTTTTTTGTCTATAAAAATAAATTAGTTGACAACCGAAAGTGCGTGTATTAATATCTAATGTTATTATTAATTAACAGTATCAACTTACTGTTTTACGCTTAATCAGTCTGTCTGTATTAAATTCGACTACGTTTAAAGATTAGAATAGAAAGCTTCATAATACTTTGGTATCACATTTTTTTCTATTAATTCAAGAATACCCTGTTCTGTATCTGAAACTTTACCTTTTGAGAATACAATTTTTTCGAGTGTCGTTGTAACTACGTTGTTAGTCTTGGCTTGCCTTTTGATGAAAGTGGACACTGACTTAAACTCCTGATCGTCGTAGAATGTCTTAAAAAGAAGCTTTTTTCGGTTTTCTTGAACAACTTTTATATCTGCCCACTTTTCTCCGTCTTCTGTAACGATGTAGTTACCAGCAGCCAACGGTTTTAAGTCAAAGAAACTATCGTGTATCAATTCTCTCACAGTGTAAGATCTGCCTTTCTTCTTAGCTGTTTTAAAGAATGTTATGTACTAATCTGGTACATATAACATGGCGAAGATTTCTCTGCATTTGAAATATTTCTCCCAATCACGGAGTGTACAGAGTAGTGATGCAACGCATAGTTGTTTGGCCGGATACCGAATATTCGGCCGGTGATGAGACCGAATATCCGGTATCCGGCCGCCGAAAATTCGGCCGGCCGAACGATACCTACATTTTAGTTTGGCGGTGGGCGCGTGGATAGTTCTATTTTCTTTTTATTTGCTAAGGTAATTTCGGTTAGGAGGTTATACAGACTAGATTCAACCCTCAAAGAGTATTGGCTAACTGACTCATTTGAAAGTTGTCTGCATTCTTGTAGTTCAGACAACAAATGTGCATAGTGTGTTCTCTCGCCAAATTGCGATTGTAAAAATTGGCTCAATTGTTCCCAATTTTCGAAATCTTTAATGGATACAGCGGTTTCGGCTTTTCCTTCTAATTGGCACTAAAAATAATATAAAAGAAGGGGTTTCTGGCTATGTGATGTCAACTTAAAGGCATTATCGCAGTTATTCAGGAATGAACATAGTTTGTCCCTAGACCCGTCAAAAGGTTTTATAAATTTTAGTAATACACTTGTTTTCAATTTTTCTGACATGTTTCTCTCGGACCTTAATTCGACATCTTTTTTTGTAGACATTTTAAACAGGAGAGAAAGAAAAAGTATTAACGTAGTGAGGAATTTAAAAATATGTTTAAAGAAAAAAATTATTGGAGTAACTGTAGGAACGAGTTCGTGGAATTAAGGCCCGTTGCTATGACTAAACAATACAGGTCTTATCTTACTATAATAATATTGAGAACTGTTCGCCGCGGCACAAGGCTGATAATACACTCGATGTTCTTAGTTTTTAAAACTTACTGGTTTAAGGAAACTTACATGAGTATAGAGAGTAGAAATATGCTAACATGTTCAGCATATTTTAGGCACTTTTATATAGATTTCGCACTTTGTATGGATTTTGCACTTTTACATAGATTTCGCACTTTTGTATGGATTTTGCACTTTCGTACAGATTTCGCACTTTTGTATGTGGATCACTTTGGATTTATATTCTTATTCTTATACTTCGGGAGGTTCTTAGGATTTATAAAAATACCAAATCAAGAAAAAAATAAAATCTATGATCAAATCAGAATAAAAAGGGGGTGCCCATGTCTCCCAACTGCCCTTCCCTCCCCTACCTCCCCTACACGCGCACCCGCCTATTTTGCTGAATATTTAAGGTTTTTTTGTTTATTTGATGTGTAGTAGTATATACTATATTAGTGATTCTGAACACGTACTTCTTTCTGTGTTTATTTTATTTGTCTAAAATAATGGCGAATAAATGATCTCCGTTGTGGAACTATTTTGAAATAGAAAAAGGCAATGCAAAGTACGTAGTGTGTTTAATTTGCAAATTAAAATTGTCTCGTGGTGGCGAAGGGAAAAAGGCTGGGACTACTTGTATGAAAAACCATTTGCAAAGCAAACATCCCGACAAATTATCCAAAATTTACGGTGTTAAATCTTCAACTTCATGCGGCGGAAGCAGAACTGTTCGTTCTCTGAGGTCATTTGCAAATACGAGCGCTGCCGCTCAGCCGGCTTCACATAAACAATTAACTTTGGCAGAGACAGTAGAAAGGAAAGAGTATTGGGATATCAATGACGCAAAATCTAAGCAATATCATTATTTAATTGGTGAAATGATTGCGTTAGATAATGAGCCACTATCGATGGTGGACAGAGTTGGTTTCAATAGGCTTATGCATAAGGCAGTTCCTCGGTACAAGATCTCCAGTAACGACACCCTATTTACACTTGTATTCCAGCAGAGTAACTCCTTATCAAATACAGCACAGAATACCAGAACACAACCAACGTTACAAAAAACCGTTCTATGTCAGTCTGACAAATACTGCCACCTTATCCTAATAATTTCACCGGAAACTAAGCGGCCGGTTATTAGTAAATTCAAAACAATTAGAATTAAATTAGATCTGCACTGTTTTGAATAATTCAAGATATAAACTCAATTCTTTAACTAACGTTAATTAACTACAAATCATAATGGAAGGACCTATAGCATTGATGTAGGTAGTAGCAGAAAAACACTATGTCAACCTACAAAAATATGAAGTGAAATCTTCTCTTATCTGTTTGGAGAAATAAAGATGACATGTTTCCCAGCAGAGCACAATCTACCATTTAGCTTAGCAGATGATCTAAAGGATCTTATACGGTCCAAGTATCAGTTGCCCAAGGTTCAAAGCTTGCATCAGAATTAACATTTGGAAGAACAAAGGCACATGCTATTGTTACAAATGTTACTGGTAAAGTAGCAGAAAACCAATTAATTGAAATATTACAAAAAAATAAGTTTTCACTAATAGTTGATGAGAGCACAGACAGATCATCAATTAAACATTTGGCACTTATTGTAAGAACTGCAGTTGATTTTCATGTTGAAGATAGTTCTCTATGTCTAATACCAGTTGTTGATGGTACGGCTACAGCATTACATAATGCTTGTACAAAACATTTTGAAGAGAAGAATATTCCATACAAGGAAAATATGGTTGGATTTGCAGCTGACGGAACCAATTCCATGTTTGGACAACATCATTCCTTGTCAAAATTGTTTGCAAAAGATATTCCGAATCTGTTTCTAATAAAATGTATATGTCACTCTTTTCATCTTTGTGCCTCATATGCTTGCAAAAAATTACCACGAGGTGTAGAGGACTTTGCTCGTGATGTTTACAACTATATACAGAATAGTCCAAAACGTATTGGAGACTACAAAGAGTTTCAATGTTTTGTAAATATTAAACCACATAAACTATTACACCCTGCCCAAACAAGGTGGCTGTCTTTGTTACAAGTTGTGAAAAGGCTTCTTGGACAACTACCAGCATTGAAACTATATTTTCAAAGTGCTGTGTTAACTGACAGATCACTTGCAGCTAATCAATCCTTGATAAATATCCAGAACCAACCACAGAATTATATTTAGAGTTTTTAAGTTTTGTGTTGCCATACTTCAATGATTTGAACAAAGAAATGCAATCTAAAAGTCCAAAACTCTACAATATCATAAAACAATACAATTTGTTTCTTGGTGACGTATAAAGTAATAATGTATTAACAAAAAATACTTTTTTTTTCAGATATTTAGCTTCAGGATGTTCATTCAAAGAAATACATTACTCATACAGAGTAGGCGTTTCGACAATAAGTAAACTAATAAAAGAAATGACCCACGTCATTTGGGAAAACCTAAAGACAGATTTCCTTAAGCTGCCTGATACTGAGAGAGAATGGGAGGACATCGCTTCAGGATTCGAAAGAAAAGCCAACTTTCCTCACTGTCTTGGAGCAGTAGATGGCAAACATATCAGGGATCCGATGTAATGTGAACACTCTGTCCGGTGTCCGGTTTTCGGCAGATCTGCCGGTCCGGCGTAGTGGGAACCCGGCCTAACCTGATATAGTCGAAAACCGTGTCCGCATCCTTTTTAATATTGTATTAATTTTAGTTGCGATTTTTAAGTTGAACTTGATGCACCTCGTCACGCGTCTTTAGAGTTTACGTATGTTTAAGTGATTGATTGTAAATTCTACAGATGAGTTATTCTTAGGTGGATGTGTAGTGTCTAATAGTTAATAATGGGAAATTATAAGTCTAGCCACAAAATTGTTTATTGGACACGTGATTAAACTTCTAATTTTATAACTAAGCAACGGGAAAATAACATAGCCTCTAATAAACTGATTCGTCTTTTTTACAACGCCAACTAAATATTGTATAGAAAGCGTCAAGTAAAGATCATCAATAATTGTGACTTGTCCTTCTTATTTATACATTGCCATCTAATTTACTAACTCGGCCACGGATTTTACATCTCGTCACCATTTTACGTTTTACAACTTCAACGCAATGTCCTCAAAAAAATATAATTCAAGCTTCTACAAAAAACAATTTATTATAACTTACCATGTAAAATAATATATCATATTTATATATTAATTTATCGTGAAAATAGCCACTGCATGATTTGGCGCGAGTACGCGAGACGACAGCGACCGGCCAATTTTGCACCAATCAGAGACCGCCATTCATGTAACGAGTTGAGTTGATCACGTGTTATTGTTTATTGTCATTCGTGCGTTCGTATTGTAATTGTTTTCATTATAATTAAATTAAAGTTTTCGATGAGTATTAATTAGTTATGTAGTCTAAAAGTGAAATTGAAGTACCACTGTACTGTTCTGACGAGGAATTGCAAGAAGAAGGTCAGTTGTTGAAAAAAAAGCGAGGTGAATCTAAGAACTGGATATTTGTAAAGAAATTTTCGTGTGTGAGTTTTGCCGAAGCAGCCGTGAGAGCAGAATAGACGTGGGCAGTACGCTTTACACATATTTCCATAGAAGGAAAAAAACGATTTTATAGATGCAACAAAGTACCACGTAAAGGAGTACAGTGTGCTGCAGAAATATATTTGCTATTTGAGGCGGATACAGAGGCAGTGTTACTTTATAGCACAGATTGCGAGCATAATCACGATTCTGTTAAGAAGAACTATCACTATGGTATTTGCGACGAAACAAAATCTGAAATTAATAAACTGTATGACCTCCACCTAAAGCCGAAATCAATCTTGGAGAATTTGAAGAAAAACTCTGAACTTAAAATACCTACAAAACGGCAGCTTTATAACTATTTAGCAGATCGCCGGCGTATCAAATATGGACCATCCACAATTTCTCAAGGAGAGCTGGAAAAATGGATTGTTAATCATACAAATGTTCCAGACAACGAGAACGAAGTCTTTGTGATAGCCTATTATATTTTAGAAAGTGATCCACCTAGTTTTCGCATCGTATTATCAACTAAGAATTTCTTGAAACAATGTATTTCTGCTGACATTCTGCATGCAGATGCCACATATAAATCGATTTGGCAGGGGTATCCTGTATTGATTGTAGGAACAACCGATAACAACAGGAAATTTCACCCCATTTGCTTGACAGTATCTACAAATGAATGTAAGGCTGATTTTAAAACAATGTTTCAAGGAGTAAAGAGCAATCTTTTGTAAATTTTTTCTCATACTTATGAACCGAAGATCCTAGTTTGCGACGCGGCAAAAAATATACAGAATGCATTTCGTGATGTGTTTGGAAAAGAAACTATTGTGAAAATGTGCTGGGCTCACGCTTAGAAGAAGATTTGCACTAAATTGGACCAAACAACGGAGAAGAATTTCCGAAAACATATATTGGAAGACATTGATGCATTGCAATCAGCTACGTCTCTTGAAGTGTTTTCTGCTGCTTCAAAGTCGTTCTTGAAGAAATGGAAAGACCAAAAAGCATTCCTAAAATATTTTAAAAAAGAATGGCTAATAAAAAACCCAAATTGGTATTTAGGTGCAGCACCAATATCACCAGCGGCGAACAACGCACTCGAGTCTTTTAATAGAGTTATAAAAGACCACAACACTCTCTGCGAGCGTATACCGTTGGCCCGTTTCCTTGTGGTGGCAGAGGAAATGGTTAATAACTGGTCAGTACAAGCAACAGAAGAAAAATTTGCGACACAACCTCAATTGCAGTTATCAGATTGGACAACAGGATATCAATGGGCGAAAACTGATACCAAAATTAGAGTTGTACATTCAACACCAGCCAGCACCACATATTTAATTCCATTCAACAACTCATTCAAAATTGATCAAGCTGAGAAGACTTTCAGGTGTTTTGACGAATACAAAAAAGTGTTTTTTTCATCTTGGAACGTAATACTACCGAACAATCAGACCGAGTGGATTACTGGTTACTGTGATTGTCCAGACTTTTATCGCAAGTACAGCTGCAAGCATTTGATAGGCCTTGCAATCAGACTGAAATACGTGACGCCTCCATTAAAGGCAAAGTCACAACCACTAGGATTAAAAAGAAAGCGTAGAAAGCCAACAAAAGCGCGAGCTGCGTTTATAATCCAATAATGGTTTAATTTCCTTTTTTGATTAGGTACCGACTACATTATTTTATGTTCCTATTATTTACTATAAGTCAAATGATGGTAATTCAATAAACAAATTGATTTTTCAAAAATAAACGCTTTTATTTTGTCTCTCCTCAATAGCTTCTGGTAATATTAGTGGCATATTAACATTAAGAGCGAGGCCCCATTAGTGCGTTGCGCCGCGTTGCGTCGTCGCAGCGTCGTCGCTGCGTCGTTTTCCATACATTTTATATAACATGCCCCATTAGACCGTTGCGTCGTCGCGCGCGTAGTTTCAACGGATCGACGGACAAGAGACGAAGCGGGAGGGGGGTGATGCGCTGCGTTGTCGGAGCTCCGCTGCGACGACGGACAGTGATGCACTGCTAGAGGAGGAAGCTAGACGAGCGTAACGACATTTTTTATCTTACCATGAGTGAGCAGAATATTGATATAGATTTTCTCATATCCTTGGTCCAAGAAAGACCCATTATATGGGATAAATCACACGAACATTACAGTGATAAATTTCGTAAAGCGAATGAATGGGTAGCTGTTTGTAAAAAAGTATTTCAAGATTACGACGAGTTTGAGGACCAAAAAAAGAACAAGATTGGTGAGTTGGTATTTGTTATATTATTTGTAAATTCAATACATAAGTTAATTTATATCTTTTTCAACTGCCATGGTAAAGCCCCTTCTGGACTCATAAAGTAATTAGCAAATTGATCTCTGATAAAATTTTCGGCTAATGATTCTTCACTGCTATGGGGTCTCAATTGTGGGAACCTACTTATTGCCATATTGTCTTGTTGTTTTAACCCATCGTGTTGTATAACAAAATTGTGTAAAACACAACATGCTTTCGCAATATTAATAGTTAAATCATATGACGTATCAATTGGCCTATGTAAAATGCGCCATTTATTTGCCATGATCCCAAATGCACATTCCACGTATCTACGAGCTCTGCTAAGGCGATAATTATAAACTCTTTGTTTCACATTGAGATTGGATCCGCCGTATGGGCGCATAACATGCTTACTTAAACCAAAAGCTTCATCACCGACGAGTACATAAGGGATTGGTGGCTCGTTATTATGATCATTTCCAAGTGGTTGTGGATCAGGCAATGGTAATTCATTTCTCATTAAAAGCTTGTACAGTGTCGAATTTCTAAAAATAGTAGAATCACTTTCCTTACCATATGCACCCACGTCGAAAAAAACAAACTTATAATTTGAGTCAACAACCGCCAGCAAAACAATTGAAAAATAATTTTTATAATTATAAAACAAAGAGCCACTTTTGTCTGGTTTTATTAAACGTATATGTTTCCCATCAATTGCCCCAAAGCAATGAGGAAAGTTAGCTTTGAGATCAAAATCTAATGCAATATTTTGTAGTTTTTCTACTGTGATCTCTTCTAAGTACTGTGGTCGAACATATTTCCATATAGCTTGACAAACTGACGAAATAGTTCTGGAAATTGTTGCTCTTCCACGTTTAAATTTGAAATGCAAATCGTTTATCGAATTTCCGCTGCCTAAGTACCTGAAATAGAAACACAAAAAATAAACAGGGTGGCCCATTTAGATTGGTCAGTGTAGACAAGTTAGGTACTTACACATTTTTTTCTTTCTTTGCAGGTAACGAGGTTGTGAAAAAATGGAGAAGCGTGAAGGACAACTTTTTTCGATACGTAAAAAAAATAAAAGAAAACAGTTCGTCTGGATCAGGGGCAAAACAATTGAAAAAATATCATTATTATCATCAGTTGCTGTTTTTGATGAAAGTTGCCCAAAATAAAACTGACAGTAGCCTTGAAATGGTGTCTGAAGAAACGGAACGAAATGAAAACACATTATCATCTTCTCCATTTCCTACAAAAGAAATGTCCTCGTTACCCCCAGGTCCTTCTCGCTACGTGCCTGCAAGCCGTAAGAGATCAAACCAAGCAATAGATGATTTCGAGGCGCAAGCTTTAGAAGCGTTGCAAGAGAAAGAAAACCGCCACTTATCATTTTTCAAAGGAATTTTGCCTTCTTTGGACAGCTTTACGGAATTACAAACTTTGACGTTCCAAAGCAAAGTTATAAATATCATTACCGAAATTCGGTTCGGGGAACAGACTCAATCAACAACATTTCAATCACGCGGATATCAAACTGGACAACAGTATCAAGCAACACCATTGCAGTCACGCGGATATCAAACTGGACAACATGCCCAGTCACCATCGCCATCGTCGTATCGAACAGACGAATTCGAAGCTACCTATTCAACCAACACTACGATTAATAATTTTACTGATGATAGTCAAGAAGAAGATTATAACTTTGCTTTGTTGTCTAATAGTAACACTTAAATTAAACTGTTTTTAAAGATAATAAATTAATAACTGATTAACATTACGAGTATTATGATATTTGAATTACTTACCTCAATGTAATACCAATCATTTCAATTGGTTCTAAAGGGTTCCTGAATTTGGTATACTGCTTTTGTATATGTGGTTTTAAGGTTTCAACCAAATTATTAAAGCTGGCCACACTCATTCGAAAAAAATTGAAAAAAGTCTTTTCATCTAATAACAACTCCCTATATTCCTGCATAAAAAACTGACCATCACTATTTCTTAATGCTATCAAAGGAGATATCCAGAATCTTCTATGATTTCTACGTTTATTTCGGCGGTGCCGTAATAAAAGCAACAAAAGAACACGTTTGTATCTATCCATTGCAAAGGCTGAACTGAGACGCAACTGCGTCGACGTGCATGCCCGCTTGCGTTGCGTTGGCGCAGCGTCAACGCAACACAGGTGTGGCATACAATGCGTTGTTCCGTTGCGATGACGCGACGCAACGCAGCGCAACGCACTAATGGGGCGGTACGCTTAATGTCAATTTTGCCAAAATTTTGTCGTTCAATTAATATGGGATGAGTTACATTTTAAATGTACTGAGTTAAAAAATTAGAAGCTAAATAAATATATTTTTTGATATCATTTAATAGTATTTTAGAATTTCGCGGTATGAATGCATGTTATAAATTTAAATGTGTAAAAAATAACCATCATGCTGAATTGTATTTAGAGTGGTTTACATAGAAGATAACTAGTGGCTAAGATAGTATTATTTAGATGCTCGTTAAATGTGGCTGACTTAGTAATTTAGAAGGCAACATACATTTTTGGAGGCGAATAGTGATATTAAAAAGAAGCGAGTTTAATAGCACCAGAGTTAATAATTACTGCAAGTGTATAACGATACATACATACGAGTCCGGTACATTTTGCTGTGATCACGACATCAGTTATTCAGTATTCAATATCTTTATCTTTCACGTAAGTAAATAATTTTAACATAATAATGTGATCTAAATGTAAGTTTTTTGTTAAGTTGCTTATTCATTTGCTGTATTTTATGTTATTGTACGCATGACATGTAGGTATTGGTTTTTTTTCGTCTCGAGTCCTTCGAACAAACGCAAAACGATTTGTATCAGTGTCCACTTTTTACCACAAGATAGGTACAATAAACGTAAAAATGATTCATCTAATAATACGACTGTTTACAAAACGTATTGCAATACGCTTCAGGGCTGTACATTTTGTACTCGTATTATAAACTTTGAAAAAATTCTGGAAATAAATGAAAATGACCACCTTTTAGCCCCTAATATATGGCCTCATAGGGTTTCAGAACTGTTCCATTTACACCCTGTATAATAACGATCGTTGTAGGGGTGTGAATCGACACCCTCCTATGTAATATCGAGGGCAATAAAATCTCGGCAACGTTAGATTCAACCACCTTGCTTAAGAAGTTTGAACCATTGTATAATGGTGAAAGTAATACTCTTTATAATTATTTAAATTTTGCCAAACAATGGTTAGAGTTTGTTGGTGGAAAATCCCGCAAATGTAATGCTATTATTAAGTAAGTTAGAAGGAAAAGCTTCTTTATGTGTTACTTTGATAGATCATGCTTTTAAATGGATAAACATAGAAATTATCCTAAAAACAGAGTGTAGATATACTAGTAATAGAGAATTTAACACATTGTTAGTAGAGCTAACCAATTTAAAATGAAAAGGAAGTTGGTAATTTAATTTTTGATAAATATAAAACAAAAATTATTTTTTATAAAAGTAAATTAATTGATAAACATAAGGAGAGACAAAAAGTCGAACCTATAATGTTACCATATATAAGCGTAGCACAAAATACTCTACGTAATAATTTGTCCTACCATGATCAAATATACGTTGTGAATTGTAGTTTTGAGGAAACAGTCACTAGAATATTACATTTAGAAGTTGAAGGAAGATTCGATAATATTAAACAAAAGTTTTCAAATGTTCACCAAAAATAATTTAAACGAAAACCGTTAAACGAATTCTTTAGGCAACAACTCCAAAGCAGAGGACCACAATCTTCTCAAAAACGGTTCCAAAATGAAGACGTATCGACTAGACCGGCAAAGGCAAGACTTATTTACGGAAGACGTTACTAATAGTGCAACGACGTTTATAAAGCATAAAATAGTTTAAACAGATGACGAACCGATGTATCAAAGATCATTTAGATTACCACGAACGCAACAAGAAGTAAATAAATAAATTATTAAACGAAAGAATAATAAGACATCCAGAATCTCCATGGGTTTCTCCAGTTCACATAGTCCCAAAAAAATGGACCAATCGGGTGAAAAGAAATGGAGAATGGTAATTGACTATAGGCGACTAAACGAGCGAACTAAAGCTGATAAATTCCTCTTCCTAATATTGCAGAGTTATTCTCCAAATTACAAGGGAACAATTATTTCAGTACACTAGATTTAACCTCGGGTTATCACCAACTATTAATGGATAAAGATTCTATTGAGAAAAAAAACAGCTTTTAGTACACCTAACCTATACATCTTTAAGAATGCCTTTTGGATTAAAAAAACACGCCCGCGACATTTTAAAGAATGATGAATCACGTATTAAAAACGGAAATAACACGTAATATTTGTTTAGTATGCCTAGATGACAATATAATATATTCAAAAAATAAACAAGAACACATAAATAGGTTACAAGTTTTCGAATCTTAAAGAAACTCAACTAAAAATAAATTCATATTTATGACAGAATAAATAAAATTTCTAGGGCATAAATTGAATAAAGACGGATTAAAACCTAATCAGGTAAAAATAGAAGCAATAAAGAAATTCCCTATGCCGAAAACATTACAAGAAGTTAGAGGATTAATAGGTTATTACAGAAAATTTGTTCCTAACTTAAGTAAAATAGTAAAACAAACCACTTACAGAAGTAACTAAAAAACACGCTACTATAGATATAAAACATATATAGAAGCTTTTGAAACATGTAAGCATATATTAAGTAATGCTCCAATTCTAGCATTCCCAGACTAATAAACAATTTATCATTACTACCGACGCGTCAGATATAGCTGTAGGTGCTACATTAAGCCAAGAAAATCATCTAATAGCTTATGCATCTCGTACAGTTAGTGAAACAGAGCAGAAGTATAATACAACAGAAAAAAAACTTTAGGTATTTATGGGCAGTAACTCATTTTAGACCATATATTTATGGCAGAAACTTTACCATAAGAACAGGCCATAAAGCGTTAATTTGGTTATCTAAACTAAAAGAACTTAATCAGAGATTAACTCGTTGGAAGTTAAAATTGCAAGACTATGACTATTGTATAGAACACGTAAAAGGTAAAGAGACTTAGGTGGCTGACGTAAGTAGGATTCAATTACATCACACAACTTGTGTGATGTAATTACGTCAGCCATGACTCATTAGCAGTCGAATATGGCGAGGACGTGTCATTAGACAGTACACCATTGAATACTGATATGTCTTCGAATAATACAGTACACTCGTGTCAACAAGACAATGAACAGGGAATACCGATCATTGATAGACATCCACCTAAACGGTTAAGACGTGTAGTGTTCGAATTAGCTCCATACAAACAGGCGAATTTTGAAGAAGGTATGTGGTATTTTTATATCCCAGTCGAAAATCGAGAGCAAGTTATTGAAGAATTTATGTTAGAATATTTATGTAAAAATAAGTACGCTTTTATTATACCGAATGAGGAATTATTACATAAAGTTTCAGAAGTATATAGAAAATATTTTGATCATAGCAAATTTAAACCCGTTCGATATACTAGAACTTTAAGTAGTTGAAATAAAAAAAAAGAATAACAAATAAAATTAATTGCAGAATATCATCTTTTCGTATTTTGAAGGATTTGACACATCAGGCATTTTGCTTCTTATTTAACAAATAACCCAATTAAAATTGTAGCTTCTGAGTGGTCACCTACTGATGCAAAATATGGTCATCTTCTAGTTTTTAGATGGTCAACTACTAAATTTCTAATATTGGAACATTTCTATTATTTTTTTTAATTTTATTCGACCATTGTATGTGGAAAAATGCTTGTTAATATGAATTCTTTAGGCAACAACTCCAAAGCAGAGGACCACAATCTTCTCAAAAACGGTTCCAAAATGAAGACGTATCGACTAGACCGGCAAAGGCAAGACTTATTTACGGAAGACGTTACTAATAGTGCAACGACGTTTATAAAGCATAAAATAGTTTAAACAGATGACGAACCGATGTATCCGGAAACCATTGTATGTGGAAAAATGGTTGTTAATATGATAATTAAAGTCAAACATTTAAAAAGAATATTCTGTCTCCTTAAGTGGTCATCTACTGATGCTTTTACCTTAGTTGAAAATGTTATAAACAGTGGAGCTGTTCCAACAGTTTAACCTCACGAAGTTATTTACACGACAATAACGTTATTATTTGTCCTATGCCTAAACAAGCTAAAACTAGTAAAACTACACGCGAACAAAAAAATAAAAAGGCGGAAATATTGACTAGCACTCCTATAAAGATGCGGCAAACGTTTTTACACTGTATCTCTCATATCATGGCAATCGTAATTACCCATTATATAATATTTTCCAAATTCGCTTTGCTAAAAAATTCCACCGTAGCTTGTATCCCACATCTATAATTGTAAATTTTCGCTACTGCGAGTAGCCGACGCAAGGCGAAAATGATTGCAACTTTTTTTGTAATCAAAATATTCAGAACCAGAATTAGGTGGGACCTTCACAGTCACATGCTTCCCATCGATCGCGTCGCAACAATGATTGAATTGACACATTTCTTTAAAGACGGTTGCGATATCTTTCCATGTTTCTTGCGTTGGCTCTGATAACACTTGGGCTGAAGCTACTTCCATAAAACATCGCATACTTCTGATTAAAGAATATAATATTAGCTACATTAAATTCTTCAATTCGATAACTGAATGAATCTCCAGTTGACAAAATAACATAAACAATTCTATTTAAGTACTTTTTTGTTGCAGTTAAGTTAACTCAACCAGATGGCGTATCTTTTATTGGCGACTGCGGAAAACTTAAAATATTTTGATGTATAATGCCTTCAAGTGTGGCGAATATCCTATTTCCTGGACAATTAAATAAAAAAATTGACAAGTGGTGTTATTATAAAGAATTTTTATTATGCGCTTTGGACGCGGCGGGATACGGCGATGTAAATACGGCAAAGGCGCGATCTCTGTTTTTATCGCAATGTGGAAAAGAAACTTATGCTCTTATCGCTTCATTACTAGTTCCTGCTCGACCCGCTAACACATCTTTATTCCACATAATCACGATCTTGGACAAGTTTTATGAACTTTATTAGTTCACTCGGCGCCAAGTGTAATTTTAATGATTTGAAGCGCCAGTTGAGAGACCGGCTAATTACGGCGAGACTTATTAAGAATAAAGAATATTGACAAAAAGATTTTAAGATGAGTTAGCGTTACAAATGTGTCTCAACCATCAAGCTACTTGTGATGACCTATAAGTAACGTAAATGAATATTTAAATGATAAAAAGGCTTGGGCTATGGAGGAAGAAATGTACACAATGAGTGCAAAAGGAATATAAGGAAATGTAATAAAAACTTGGCAATTAAAAGGAGTGGCGGCGAGTTTCTTGCCGTTCGTTCTACGCCCTAACTTGGGAACTGGTAGTAAATGTAACTGTAAATTTAGAGTTTTAAATTATTACCTGTTTTGACGTTCATAAATGTACTAAGCTACCTACATGAATAAATGATTTTTGGTTTGATTGATCTAGTGATAATACAAGTACTTTAAAAACATTTTATTTTTACTACTTATGTCCTTGAAAATTACGGCTTGGCGGCTATTTCGAATACTTTGAAGTTCATATTTGTTTATGTTATTGTTAATTGAAACGTGAAGAGGGTAAGTAATTATTTGTATTGTTAACTATAATGGATTGTTGTATGAAGTGTAAATGTTTAGTTAAATTAATAACATCGCGCTGTACTGTTGTTTTTTAACAAACTAAAACGTACTGTCGTTTTGAAAATGCCTACACTGAGAAAAGTTAGTGCAAGGCAAATGGAATTGCTGGTGGACTTTGCAGAAAGGATCCCCAACATAGTATTGGGACGTTTTCCGGGAGGTCCACTTGGGAAAAAAGCCATGCGAAAAGTTTGGAAGCTTATTACCACAAACTTAAATTCGGAACCAGAAGACACCACTAAGACAGTGAACCAGTGGAAAAGAGTAAGTGTGTAATATAAAAAAAACAGAAGAAACCATGGCAGAGCGGGGCTCGAAAGATTAAAAAGGCGTAGACTCTCATGTCCTCCGTCGTGGACGTGGTTCTAATGGCCACTAGAGCAAATGCCAGGGATGCTGATAAAACGGACGAATTCTAACCCTACTACTTCTAAGAGGGGAAAGGATAAAAAAGGATGAGCGTACAATGTTTCTCCACATGGTTTTACAAAATTTAGACCTATAGACCTTATAACAGGACATTGACTTGACTGAACATTTGATACAACACTACCACAAAAATCGTAAGATTTGAGTATATGACTTGATTAATGAAACATGCACAATAGAACCGAATTAACTGAATACAGAAACAAAAATGGCAAACTTGAAAAGGAATGCGTGCCTGACCAGCAAGTTTTCGTTCGGAACCCTATGGCAACTGGCAAGCCTGCAGAAACTAGCACCTCGCTATACGCAGGACGTGGCTTTTTCCAATCTTCCCATACCCATTTACCACTATGCTGACAAAATATGAAGATGCGATAATATGCCAATGGATGTACGAATCTGCAGCGGCTGGATTCTCCATTACTCACGAGCAGCTGCTCCTTAGTGTTCAGAAATACTTTAATTATTTAAAACGAAAGTGCCAATTTTTTAAGGCGAATAATAAGCCAGGAAAAATATTTTTAAAACTTTATGGAGAGGAATAAGGGAATAGCCTCAAGAACCTCGCAAAACTTGACGTCTTCTAGAGCAACCGTCAAAGAAGCAATAAGGGAATGGTTTGAAAAGTTGGAGACAAATTAAAAGAAAAAGGTTGGGCCGACATTATTCTTGACCCCAACAGAGTCTATAACTGTGACGAGACGGCCAAAACAAGAGACAAAAACGTCTACCAATATGTTAATGCTGACGACAAAGAGTCGACGACAATTATAAACCCTTACAAGCGAATTCCAGCTGAAATTTCCGACAATTTTCCATCAGGGTGGGAAACGGGAGAAACCGACTCGAGTTGGATGACCTGTGAAGCTTTTTTCAAGCTGACATATTCTTCCCTTGGATATCCTCTCAAACCCTCATGTTACCTGTCATACTTTTCGTAGATGGACACAAATCGCATTTGTCTTACCAATGCAGCCAGTTCTATCATGAGAAAGGCATCGTACTAATACCACTCTTTCCAAATGCTACTCATTTACTGCAACTACTTGACGTTGCCGTTTTTAAACCTTTGAAGGTGGCTTGGAGGAAGCGAGTACACATGTGGAGGATTGAAAAAATTCAAAGCGAGGAGGGGCACGCTCTAAAGAAGAAAGACTTCGCCATATTACTTAAGGAGGTGATGGAAGAAAGCTTAACCCTATTATACCAGTGAATGGTTTCCGCAAATGTGGCCTTATTCCCTGGAACCCCGAAGCATGATCCCTGGGAAAGCTATTGAGGAGGACAACACTGAAAAAATTTTCTTCTTAAAGAGAGCCTTTCATTTTCTAAATGAATCAATACCTGCTGACACTTTGATTGCATTTAAATCTACAATTGGCGATTGGTCCGGTGACATCACTGACAAGTCATTGTTTAACTTATGGCACAGCACCAAAACTGAAGTTGAAGCCCTCCGAATGGAAGATAGTGATCTAAGGCACGAGAATCGGACGTCTTCACTTACAGCTGACTTTAACATTCCAGCCCCGATTTCCGACTTAGCCACTGCGGACATGGAGCTTGTACATGAACTACCAGGGCCACCATCCAGCACAGCTGACTTCAACATTCCAGCACCGATTTCTGACTTAGCCACTGCGGATATGGAGCTTGTACATGAACTACCAGGACGACCATCTAGCACAGTTCTTAAATATTAAAATCAAATGTAAATTGCATATACCGATCAACAACGCAGACAATGTTTAAAAACAAAAACTACTGCATCAAATGGCCATCTACTGGCACCGCTACCTTATGTAATGTAAATTATTTAGTTTAGTAATATAGAAATAAATATTGCTATATAAGGTTTCTAGAAGATCCAACATTTCCAATCCTGTGAAGCCAATATGTTTGGAAGATGCGAATTTTATGTGCGGAAAGTGTGCTGCCTTACCTGCGTGCTGTGTTGTAGGTGTAAATTCATCGTTACGGGTCCCATAAAGCCTAATTGGGACTTATCTATCTTGATAGTCACAATTAGGATTTAAAACAATCGCGAATGCCATATACTTTGGGCTGTCTCCGACAAAAGCCTGGAAGCCGGCTTTTGCGATTACAAATAAATTTAATCTGAAACGACCTGTTGCTGCGACTTAAAACAACTAGGCTAGTTGGGACTATTCGGTCAAACAGAGGGAGTCAACACTAATTACAAAGCAAAAGAAAGACGACATAGCAAGATTTTCATGGGAAAACTTTTTACTACACATAATTCTACTCTTGTCACCAATAAAAGCAAGCCAAATAGAAGGGTACCTGTACCAATAGAAACATTTATAATATGTTAATATTTTAATTCTAGTATAAAAAATAATTAGTTGTATTAGTTTAATATTAAAAATAATTGTTAACAAATTTCAAGTTGCAAACATAAGTAAAGCAGAATCTCGAGACAAGATTTTTTATTCAAGCTAGCAGTAGAACTTGCCGACGATCTTCAAGAAGCCCGTGAATAACCAAAAAAAAACAAATACAAAACCTACTTTTTTCAAAGATTTGTCAAATAAGATAATGCAATAAAGCCAACAAAACTTGCTCTGAATGCAAAGAAAAAACTGCAGAAAGTGTTCAATGGACACAAACAATTATTATTTTTGTGTTTGTATTAAAAAAATGACATTATACTATTTCGTACAATTTAACATTTTTATTTTTATTTCGTTCCTAACACCAATTTTTTATACATAAAGGTAGGAACATAAATTTGGGTGACCAGGCATCTATTAAGTATTCAAGAATTTCTGGAATGTGAATTTGTATAAATTTCAGTCTACCAGGTTTTATACCTCAGAAAACCCTTGTTTTTTTAAGAGAATTTTCCAAAAAACAATCAAAGCTCATATAAACTTAACAGACACTTTTAACATCAAGAATCCAGAAAGCTATATTTGAATCGTGATATACTCATCAGTACCACGACTGATGTTATAATAATTGTGATATCAGAGGCGTAATGCACCAATCATTCAAAATAAAGTCTTAGGGATTAAAATTTACTCATATTTAAATTTTAAAACAAACTAAAATCAAGAATTTTTATATCATAGCCTTTGATGGACAGAAGACACAATAGAGCAGAAACAAAATGACATATGCAAATCTTATTACTTTTTTTGCATGTATGTATCCATTGTTCGAATCCAATGTCATAATAAACAGATATAAGAAAATACACATTTCAGTGGTAAGACATTTCCCTAAAACAAAGCTTAATACTTTCTGAATTGTTTTCTAAACTTTTCATAATGATAATCATCAGTTGCTCTCTCTCCTTTAGCTTTCTTAACAATTTTGTCTACACTTTCATCAATGGAAGATACAACTTTCACTTCCTTTATATCTTCCTTTTCAACTTTTTTTCTCTTATTAGTAGCATTTTCTAAGTTAAATCTATTGTGCTGTACAAAATTAACAGCCATATTAGTCGGAACAAACTGGGAGGGACCATCTTTTTTATTTTGTCGCTCCCAAAGAAGTTTCATTTTAGCTTCTTCAGTGGCTTCAATGTTTTTTATCTTAGCTTCAATACCAAGATCAACTTCAGGGATACCACTGAGCATTTGATTTGAAAGCATTTCTTCTGATTTGTGAGTAGAGGAAACTCTGAGATGTTCTGGTAATGATAATAGTGCTGCTTCTTCGGGTGATAAATACTTTAGAGTATCATTTTCATCATTTTCTGAACAATTTTTGTCATTTCCCTCTGTAAAAACAGAAAATGTAAATTAATTAAAATATTAAGTAACTGTTTAAAACACCAATTGAATGATGGTGCATAATTAGGAACAATGCATAGCTGGATTAGTACCTAATCCCGTAAAATGTGTAATATGACTTTATTTTTCACATACTATTCTTTTGTGTAGACGCGAATTTAAAATATTTTACCCATTACTCAACTGCACTTTAAAAAGCATTCAGTTTAATTTTAATATTATACTGTATATAACCCGACACGCACCTTTTCGTTTCGCCAGTTGTTCCTCTATGTATTTCATCATTTCTTCATCCTCATCGCGTTTATTAGTCTCAGCCGAAAATTGTGTTCCAATTCCAGTATCGTACGCATCATCAACCTGCTTTATTTTACCCCCTTTTAAAGCCTGCATGTTTATTAAACCCCCAGATTTAACTTTAAACGGATCTTTACACGTGATCTCATCTTCTAAAGTTGCCTTTTGTCCAGTCGCCAGCGCAATGATGCTTACTCCATTAGGCCTTTCTCGAAGTCGTTGGAGTTCTTTTGCCTCTTTCAATTTTGCTAAAATTTGGGCTTCATCCTCTTCGTCTTCTTCTTCCACTTTCACTCGTTGGCGAAGATTTTTTCTCTTTTTGGGCTTAAATGTTATTTCTGGATCGCGTTGAGCTTCAAAATCTTTGACATCCATCATAATTAAATAAAATGGCTACCAAACACCAATCACTACCAGCGGCGTAAATCTGAATAATATATTATTCTGTGGTGTAATAGTAACTACAGACTACCAAGCAACTTCAGAGATTACATAAGATATAGAGAATAAAAGTACAGATATGTCAAATGAATTGACTTGCCATTTAAAAATTATAATCTGTGGCTTATTACTAAGTATATAAACATCATATATACTTTATGTATTAAATATAATAATTAGTTAGTAGTAAGTAGTTACTAGTTACTCATAATAAGTGTTACTTACCGTTAGAAGTGTTAGTTACTTTACTTAATTGCTTAAAAAATAATTATCAAATTTGTGTTTAGCTGAAGTATTGCTGTGTATAAGAAATATAGATTTAACAAAATAGATCAGTTAAACTTTTATATTGCAGAGAAAAAGGCATGTCTAATTTAGTTCTTCTACAATCCCCACCGCCCAAGCTAGAAGATGTTCAGAAAAAAATATTTGATAAGGGTGCTAAAGAATTTCTGACTAAGTTGCATAGGCAGTTTGATAACAGGATTGATGGATTATTTCAAACAAGATTACGGCGGGCTGTCGAACTACAATCAAACAATGCTTTAAGTTTCAAAACCTCACCAGAAAGATCTGATAAAACTTGGAAAATTGCACCTTTGCCCTCTAGGCTGCAGTATGTATTAAAATACTGTTGGGGTCTTTGCTTCTCATAATGGTATCATCACCTTTTTACTTTTCATAATTAGTAAGTTTCAATATACTTTATCGATTTTTTAAATCTTTTTATCATTTTAATAATTTATTACATGTTAACAACATGACCTTTTCACTTCATTATCTAAGATGCAATTTGTTAAATTACTTGAAAATATAGCAATTTATCAACTGCACCGAACTAAGTTGATCTTTTTCAGAAATTATTTACAATCACATTTAATTTTTTAATTCAGAAATGTTTGTTACCTACTAACCTTATTAGTATTAAACTTTACAGAATATGTATTATTTTGTAGTGTGTAAATTGTATGGCAAATGATTTTTTTTTATACATATAGATACAACTAATTTCTCACTTCTTTTTTAATGTCATTTATATAAATTATGCTTCATGCTTGGTTTATGTTCCTCAAGTCATTGTTCATTTTGGGAAAATGTTCAATCATTATAGAGACTGAACACCTGGCAATATTATATTTAGAACAACTGATATAAATCAGTTGTTCTAAATATTATACTTATAACATTAATATTACATTTTCTTTCTTGCTAGCCTAGGATAAGCAAGATAAAAGTGAGTATTGAAATGAAGAATTTAAAAAAAGTGGATGAAACTTTATATTATTAACAAGAAATATCGTGGATCAGTAGTTCTTTAAATCAAATACTGGACTGTCTTTAATAAAGTATTTATTAATTTATCAATGTATTTATGCATGTTATTTCAGAAATCGTCATTTGGACTTGGGCGATGTATCGGCATCCAATACTGCTCACTTTGTGAGTGCCCTAAATGTTGACATTCAAGGAATTCAGGTTGATTTTGATGACGGCCATTGTCCAACATGGAAAAATCAGTTATTGGCATATAACAACATCAATTTGGTTGTAAATGGCAAGCTTCCTGGTGCACCAATAAGCATTACAACATGCCCTATTCTTATGTTGAGACCCAGAGCTTGGAATATGATAGATCATGATATTTTGGTAAGATGAGTGTGAGAAGAGTGTGTACTGCTTACAAAACTTAATTTGCTTATCTTATTTATAATTTATTAATTATATATTTAGCTTTATTAAAAAAAAAATCGTTTTCTAAAACCAGCCTATCATTGAACAAAGACTTGAAAATTGTAGCATGATTTAAAATCCAAATAGTTGGGTCTGCCTACCTGTATTTGGCTAGGGTAGTAAAGTTCAATATTATGCAACATACTAAAGCTTACAACACTTTTAAATAAAACACTTTAACGGTTTAAAACGCGATATATTAGTTAAACTTATTTGAAAATGATTGAGTTAAAGTGTTTTATTTAAATGTGTACTACTCGCGTAAACTATAGACAGTATTTACAACACTTGTTAAGCTTATTAGTTCATATAATGTCTTACAAATTTAAATTAATTCTAAGTTTTACCAGTGTTGTAACATTAAAAGGATATTATTTTTTTAAGATTGATGGAAAAGAGACTAGTGGGCCTTTAATTGATTTTGGAATACTCATGTATCACAACGCAAAGAAGCTATCTCAAGCCAACAGCGGACCATATTTATATTTGTCCAAACTGGAAGGGTCCTCAGAAGCTAAATTGTGGAATGAGATTTTTATGTGGACGCAAAACGAGCTGGGCATACCCCAAGGCACTATAAAGGCGTGCGTTTTAATTGAAAATATTATATCAACATTTGAAATGGAGGAGATTTTGTTTGCGTTAAAGGAACATTCTTTAGGCCTTAACTGTGGAATTTGGGATTACTGTGCCTCTATTATTGCTAAATTTGGTAAGTAAAGGTCTATACATAAAGATAAGACCATTGATAATTTATATGATTATTAGATAATATTTAAAGTTTTTATATCTTAAGGTGACAAAAAGGAATTTCTGCTCCCTGATAGGAATAAATATGTAAATATGGATAGGCGATTCCTCAAGTGTTACATGCAGGAGGTGGTCAAAACATGTCACGCTAGAGGTGCACCAGCAACGGGGGGGATGGCAGCGGCTATGCTGAAACCAGGAGCAACAGACAGCGATAACACGTAAGCGTAGAATCTTGTTATAACAGGATGACGTTAACATTGCCTAGTATTACTAAATAATGTATAATGGAAAGTGAATAAAGATATTTATGACCGTCTCCGACAAATTTTATGTGACACTGGGCGCTGGCGGGCGCTTTATAAGTTTTATTTTATCGTTCGAAGCAATCAAAGCGATACCAATAGAAACGAGATCTTTACTAATTTTCAGGTCTAAAGCAATAATAAAGAAGGTTCTAGAAGCGAAGATGAAAGAAATAGAAATAGGCGTAGATGGTTTTATGGTATATGACTCGCGTATTGTACCCCATGTTAATGAGGTAAGTTACACATTACTTAGTAAAAACAACATTCAAAAATTTAAGCGAGCTTCTTTCCAAACAAACATAAAAACACGAATTCTGTTATTTATTGTCTCATCGATGTGGACTGAAAAATAATTGTAATAACTCAATTTACTATATATTCGACTGTATAGACAATCATTTAATTAATTTCTGTCTAAGTGTTCTTACAGTACTGCATACAATACAGTATTTTTTTCCTATGTTTTTTTCTTTAAACATTTCAGTTAGGTAAATAATTCAATATAAAGACTGATGCGTAATATATAAAAAGCTCTAAAAAGCAAGGACGTGAATTAATTAATTTTTTCTTTCAAGTAATTGATAGTTGAGTATCTACTCAGTGCGTGAATGATTGTTTTCATAAAAAACAGTATTAAGTGAATATTGTTTGGTAAATTTCCATCTTTTTGTTCACATACTCTAATTTATACCAAAGATCGAAAACTTTGATATTTTTAAATGTTATTGCACATGATGGCACTATATAAATAAAAAACCGATTATAAAATTTAATAATGTACGACTCGGGCAGGACTTCAACCAGCGTTCTAACCAATAATTGAGCTAGCGTGTCCGGTTAGAGCAACAGTACGGAACCCTCTGGATGCCGGTTCTAGACCTGCCCGTGTCGTAATTTTTTTCAATTTATAATCGATATTTAATTTAAACTAAAGATTCCTAATGCAACTTTCAGTAAAGGATGTCCAGTTTTTTTTTGAGCTATCTGGCTTCATGTCATCTACATCCATGTAAAAGTTAAAAACTATTCAAGTGAATACTGTCTAGTGTTTTTAAAGTGTTTTATTTTAATATTAATGTGATAAAAAAATATTTTAGCTCTGGAAGAAAAGCAGCACAACACCAAACCAAATACATCGTATCCCAAATGTGATTATAACTCGTGAAGATTTACTTGCCATACCTAGCGGTGGCGTAACCCTGCAGGGGATCAAGCACAATGTGGCTGTGTCGATTCTCTTCGTTTACCACTGGCTGGCGGGGATAGGCCATTTCTTTTATAGCGGTAATGTGGAAGATTCTGCTACTGCCGAAATTTCTAGAGCACAGATCTGGCAATGGATACGGTTTGGGGTAAGAAAGATTCCTGTTTTAATCATTATATTTAATACTAGCTGTGCCCGCGAATTCGGCCGGTTGGTTATGTTAGGCATCATATTACTATTTTTTACAAACATCCTCCTCAGTCAAATTATAACTGTTACCCACAACGTTGTCTGCGTCGCGTAAAATATTTAACCAACACAAAAATAATTTATATCTCCGTACCAGTAGTTCCTGAGATTAGCGCATCCTAACATATATACAAAGAAACTATTTAACTTTATAATATTAGTATTGATAAGGCTTGAGCCACTTTTTTCACATCTTTTTTTATTTTATAATACAAAATTATTCTACATGAAAGACTTTTGTGCCTAAAATATAATCTAGTATATGGAAAGCCTAGTCTAATGATCGTGGGTAGTCTCGAAAGATTGAATGGAAGTTCAATATAACATTTCCTAGTTCGTAGCTATTGGAAAAATACGAATACTTTTCAGGTTGTGTTAGAGGACGACGCAAAAACTCAAGTGACAGCTAACTTAATAGAGAAGACCGCCACCAACTTCGCTGCGCACGCGCATAAGAATCTATGCCGTTCGAATGCTGAGCGAAAACGCCTAAATGCGGCAAGGTACATGTGCCTCGAAATATTTCTGAGTAGGAACCCACCAGAATTCATTACTAGTTATCTGAATGATAACCATAAGTTTAGGACACTTCACAATAAGGCATTGTTGAGTAATTTGTAAGTTATATCAATAAACATTATTGATTGATATTTACTGCCGACCAACATGACAAGACTGATGGTGGGTTTTAGTTTTAAAATGGTTTCATATGGGCGAGGGCTTATTAGAATTAATTTTTTAAACCTGTCATGATTTGTGTAATACTTATGTCTTTTTATATACCATAGTTATGGGATTAGAATTCTTTAGTTTATAATTTATATAAAATTTATTTTAGAAAATATTAAATTTAAAATGTAATACTTATTTGGGTCCAAAGAACATTTGATCTGCATTCCAAAAAAGCAGTGTTCTATATTCTAAGATTCTATGCATAAGTATTTTTTTATGTTTACTTTAACAATATTAATGGATTAGTAGTAAGTATCAAAAATATTACTTTTTATTAAAACATAATTATTATTAACTACCAAAGAGATACCAAATTCAAATTGCTTATTATGCAATATTTTTTTTTGGAATTTGCCCAATCAATGGATTGGATTAACATCAATAAATAATGTTTTTTAATTTCCTGTATATTTTGACGCATTGTTTCTTATACTGAGGATAGTATTTTGTAACCAAAGATAAAAAATACCAGTGATTTTTTATATACATATTACATTATTTTGACACTTATTCCTAGCGAAGCGTTTTGCTTGTTAATATTTTTTAATCATTTAATATTGTATGTTATTGTTGAACAAATGTTATATATAAATAATAAATAAATAAAACAATAAGAGTGTTTTATTGTCATATATTTATCTCAAAAATATATTTCAGTTGGACAATATGCTTAAGTTTCTGTGAACACAGCAAAAGCGCGGTGATAAGATTTGATAAAACTTTATTTTAATTACTTGATAGTGTGGGATTCAATAAAGTCAAATTTAATGCGCACCGTCGCTTAGGCTGGGGTGTCGCGTATTTTGTTGTTCAATAAGTAGTAATAGTAAGTTACATTTATTATTTTATCGAAATTATCCCCCATATTAAGCTGCGTCACGCATTAGTTTTGAAATTAGTAACAATTAGACCTTTATTATGTCTAAAACCATCTTACAATCCTAATCTCCAAGGAACGGGAGTATCGAAGAAAGTGCAAGCTTAAAATATATTAAACGCCTTTATTTCCTTATAACATTATTAAATTCTTTATTCTTAAAAGCCATTTGAACATAAATTTGTGCATACAAATGTGGTCATAGATTCATTAAAAAGCATTAATTATATTAAAATTGGAATAATAAAACTTAAACATACAACATATACAATCGAAATTTTTTAATAATTAATTACTGCATGAAATGGCGTTATGCAATATGTCCGATTTAGTAAATCGTCGTGGAAAGTTATTTTGTGTCGCAGGCCTCATGAAAATGCTAAGAAACAGTACATCTTGAGTTTGGTTCACCACCTACTCGAGTACGAATTTGTCCCACATTTCTATTCTGCTGAATGCCATCTTGAAGAGACAATGCCAACGCATGCGCTAAAGCCTCATCTTCAGTCTGTAAAGAGAATAATTATAAAATTTTGTCTGCCTACATCTTAGTTACTTTATAATTTTTCAGTTCATGTCTTAATCTCTTACCATATTTCCCTGTATATCTGCGGTTGTAAGACCAGAAGGAACTTGCCTCACATTTGTAATTTTGTTTTCATTTGCCTTCATTCTCGCCATTGCCGCTTCTCTATAAAGAATATTATTTCATAAAATTTTTTATAGACTCTAGTAGCTGACAGTACCTACAATAGTAGACTAGTAACATTTTAAGATTAAGGTCTATTAGTTGTAATGTATGCCTCTAATCAACAGGTTGCGGATGTAATTTTTAACAGGTTGGAAATGCAAAATCATCAAGTGAACATTTCCCAAATCATCCTCATTATTTGTGCTGTACCAATGTAAAGTTAATTATTGTAAAGGAAATTACAACAAATAAAATTAAAAGATACATACGCAGCTCTTCTTCTCTTTGCAGCCAATTTTCCTTCACAAGCATGGTCAGCTGCATGCCTATGTCTTAAACAGTAATTAAGGCAGCAATCACTGCAAACAAGTGGCACCATTTCTTTCGCTTTGCATCCTTTGTATGAACATCTATTTGTAAACACCTGTAAAATAATTAATAACATTTAAAGTAAACTACAAACAGTATTTAATAATAAAATTGTTACTTATATGTTAACTACTACAAATTCAATATTTTGTGTTTACATAAATCAATGCAACATATCTTATGTATCTTAATACAGATATATTTATAATGTTACCTTATTACGTCTTTCTCTGGCTGGGTCTGAAGTGCATTGATTGTCTATATGAGCCCCCACAGCAACATCTGGTGGCTCCCCTCGCTTTCCTGGGACAGGAGCTCCGCAGAGGGGACATTGTGGTACCTGGACGTCCCGAGAATTTGGTGCAGGACACTCATGTTTTGTGTAGGCAAAGTGATCAGAACTGGAAAAAAATGAATAAGTAACTGTAATTCCCATCACGGGATGTTTCTTTTTAAGAAAATATAACTGGGTAAGAGTTACGTGAAATATATAAACATCAAACTATTGGTAACATAAGGTCATCCTCAAGGTACAGAAATAACCTTCAATTTAAGGAGGAGGAGAAGGATGAACCAAAAACTAAATAAATAGTTTTTAAATTATATGTACAAATAGATTGTTTGTATAGACTTTTCTAGAATCCATACAGACATATTTAAGTTAAATATATGAAAAGCTTACCAATAAACTTCTTTGCAGGCATCACATTTCATAGGCAGGAAGTCTGAAAGAATAAGATAGTGTTTTCTATATGGTACTGTTTAATACTAATAAATACTGTGTATAAATTTCTACGTAACAAAAACTATTGCAAAATAACAATTTAAGATCTAACTCTAAGATTCGTAATAAGTAATACTATTTCATTATTACGTGCGTTTTCACAAGAATTGCCTCAGCATGTAATTTCAATACGTTTAAGTCTATTATAATCAAGTAAAAAGTCATTATTAATAAAGTAATATGTTACAACTTACCAAGTTTATTGCAGAATTTATAACAACAGTTTTTTCCGAGGTGTGGAAATTCCATAGTCGTATATTTACTTCCTTAACGTCTAAACTACTCAAAATAGGAATGTACAATGATGAAACACTTCCAGTTTTCTTTTTAAACAAAGGGCGTAAAATGATAGTCATTCGGGGCATGAAATAACATTTTTTGAAATCATTCAATATAAAATACATTGATGACACATTCTAAACGTCATTGGTTTATAACAGTGACACTTAACAATATACACATGTAATTAAATTAATTTAAGGCAAGTGACCATAGAATACTCGCTGGAATTAAACGACTTGAATTTAAAATGATTTTAGTAGCCGTCGACATATGTACATCATCGCACCAAACATTATGTAAAACAAAGTGATTTTATGAAAATAATTCACCACGGCTGCTGCAAAACGTTTAATTCAAATACGTAGTTATAATCAATAAAACATAAGTGATTTTATATATTTAACTTGTTAAGCCATGTAAAAGTGTTTTATATAAATGTGTTATATTCGTATAAACTAAGGACAAATTGAAAGTGATTTCATTATCAGAAAATATAATATAACAATTAAATGCATAAAACGGATCTGTACTAATGACCTCTATTTAACATTAGATAAACACAAATGTGTCACTATAACTGACATTAAGACAGTTGCTATGGATACGCGTTTCATATTGCCAGTTTTCAACTCTAGGCCCTTTAATGGTTAAGGGGCACTTACTACTATGATATACTATAAATCAAGGAAATCGTTTGAAAGTAGTTTCGTTTAAAAATATGTTAAATTTCGACAACGAATATAATTTTTGGCCCATGCGCTTCTTTCAAATATAAATATTATTATGTTTAACGTATAAACTCCGAGGTAAAAATAAACATGATAGCTGGGAACATTATTTACAAAAACGTCAATTGTCTGTAGATAAATGTCATTAAGATTTTACAACAGTACTGGGGTTGGATTTAAATTCACAATTTAAAGCTAAAATCCTGTTTTTCTAGTAATTATTACATTATAGTGATCCCAACAGTGGATCACTAGACAAATCTGGGCTTTATAGAGACTATAATCGAAAAGATGAGTAAGTTAATCCCATCTGCCGCAAAACTCTTAAGTGGAGCAACAATATCGGTAAGTTACAATATAGCTGCATTTAAACCATATGGTTTATTTATAAATCGTGAGATTACGTTATTAAACCATATTTTTGTAGAAATCGACCACCCCAGCTGTTATAGCATCAAAAACTAGTTACAGTACAAAATCGGAATCTACATTTGAAATTAAGGTAAGTGAATTTTTTATAGTTGCAGCTTATCTAAGCTAATTTTTAACTATAAATTTCTGGTATTAAAACAAATTACAGTTCTTTTAATTTATTTTGGCGTAGTTTCCAGTGTTCGAATAATTAAAAATTATGTAACTTATAACCTTCAAAATGTCAAGAACAAGTTTGTTTCCTATAGTCCCGTGTTGGTTTGTTGTGCCATTATTCTGAAATCTGAATTACATTAAAAAAGTTTATATTATTAAGTGTATATTGTCTTTTATAATTGATTTTAAAAAATGATCACAATAAATTAATCCCTATTTTTTTATAGCAATCAAAATACCAAAAATATTTTTTAATATTACCTACATATTAAAGTTTATCTGTGACACAAACTTAAAAAAAAAACTTATCCCATTTACTTATACTATTAAATAAGTTTGTTATTGATAGTAAAAATTGCTGTTCTTATAAGCAAATTGCAATGTTCAATACCAATTTCTTAATTTTAGCCTTACAAACTCCATAAATTAGAAAAAGGTCCGGCCACATCTGCTACTCTAACAGCAGAAGATGCTCTTCAACTATATGAGAAACTGGCAGTGTTACGCCGGATTGAAACAGCCTCTGGTAATCTGTACAAGGAGAAAATTATCCGTGGTTTCTGCCACTTGTATTCAGGTGAATATTGCATAACTTATATCTGTATTTGACAGTGATTTATTTGATATTGTTTGTAATCAGTATTATCTTGTTTATTCAATTTCTATTAAAGTAAACGCACAACTGGGGTTTGTAATGATAATACATATATAATAAAACTATATTGTTATTAAGGTCATGGTCGTTTAACTATAATGATAAATTTTCCCTGAAAAATAAAGCAATGCATTGTAAAAAAATATTACTTATTATGGGATTACCATTAAATGTTCTTATTTATGTTTAGTGTATATATAATATATTTTCTCTATAATGTAGCCATTACTTCATTATAATAAAATATTAACATTAATGTTTGGACACACATAAAAGGCATTGATCTGCTCCCACCTATGTATTAATAAAAAACAAAATCTAATTTCTTAGATACACATTCTTTAGCACTACTTGCTTGAATAATATTATTTGTAAAACTGTGTAAGTGCTCTAACATATAAACAGGTCAAGAAGCAGTTGCTGTGGGCATGCGTGCAGCCCTAAGGGATGTAGACTCAGTAATCACTGCTTACCGATGCCATGGTTGGACACATTTAATGGGTGTCAGTGTACTCGGAGTACTATCTGAATTGACCGGTAGAAGGACTGGTTGCTCTCGAGGCAAGGGTGGCTCTATGCATTTGTATGGAAGAAATTTCTATGGTGGTAATGGCATTGTTGGAGCTCAGGTATGTCGGTTACTAGCTGTGTCAGTGATTTCATTTGCGTAGAATAGGTATATTGGACATCCAAATTTGTTTTTGCGAGAACCTCTTCATTATTTTAAATTTAAGCTGATTCCAACGACAACAGTCGCGTCCCGTCTTTCTTGCCAATTATTCTTAAAAGTTAGACATATAGTGTTGCTGAAATTTTTTTAGATCACTTAAAGAGGATTCATACTTTGGTATATAGTTTTCGCGCTGCACTGCGTAGGCATCGGAAACTCACACAAGATGAATATTTCACATTTCCCACTGTTTCTTAGTTGTACCAACTTCAACGCTCTAACCAACACAAAAATATTTTTTTATTTGAACCAGTAGTTTCTGAGATTAGCGCGTTCAAACAAAAAAAAACTTCAACTTTATATATTAGTATAGATTTATACTCCAAAGCCGTGAAATCATTACATTAATTATTAAGTGATATTTGAACCACATTTGGACATAATGTTGTTTAAACTTAAAGCATGCCTTATTTTTAAAGACATACATATATATATTATGGTAATAAGTAAGTACTTGCACAGAGGGATGTACATATTAACTTTTATTTTTAATTTCAAGGTACCCCTAGGAGCTGGTCTAGCGTTCGCCCACAAGTATCGTGGGGACGGAGGCGTTGCTTTCGCTCTGTATGGTGACGGTGCTGCCAACCAGGGACAGTTGTTCGAAGCTTACAATATGGCAAAGTTATGGGATTTGCCTTGCGTGTTTGTGTGCGAGAATAATGGATATGGTGAGTGTATTTCATTTTAAGATGTAAAATTATTTAATAAATTTCACATGGTTTTGGTTTGCTTGTAACTGATAAAGTTAATGCATACGTGTACCTTACACGTCAAGTACAATTTTATGGATTATTTTCTTCCTTCCTACATGTCTGCTACAAATTCCATTTCGGCGTAGCTAGACATTTCACCACAAACAGGTGTGGCAGTTTAAGAAAAACCGATTTTTAGGGAAAAGAACGCTTTTTGTATGTTATTTTAATTATTAGTAGAAATGTATAAGTAATATTTATTAGCAATAATATTATTGCTAATAAATATTACTTATACATTTTTCAGCCCTTTTTTACAAAAGTATGAATATTTAAATACGGTATATAGTTTACGCGAGTAGTACACATTTAAATAAAACACTTTAACGGTTTAAAACGCGATATATTAGTCACGGCTGCTGCAAAGCATCCGAAACTACGGGCCGAAGTTAAAAATTATTTTCAAATAAGTTTAACTTATATATCGCGTTTTAAACCGTTAAAGTGTTTTATTTAAACACTTTGGTTTTATTCCGAATAGAAAATACTATCTTTGCCTTGGGACTAAGACTGCTGCAAGGTATCCGAAACATCTGACCCTAGTTAAAATACATTTTTAAAAAGTTATAAAGTATCACGTATTAGACAGTTAAAATTGTTTTATTTCAATGTGTACTCGCGTAAACTACAGACAATACTTACAATATGAATTATTTTCATATTGTAATACAAGTCCATTGTTCTGTCAGTATTGCTATCTGGTTGTAATATAATCTGTTGATATAGAAGCTCTAAAATCTTTCAGGCATGGGTACGAGTGTGGACCGTTCTTCAGCCAGTACGGAATATTACGCCCGTGGTGACTACATTCCCGGAATCTGGGTGGATGGTATGGACGTGATGGCTACGAGAGAGGCTACCCGGTATGCGATTGAGTACTGCACTAGTGGAAAAGGTAAAATGATACACTTCTACTGTACTTCGTTTAATGCTATAGAATAGATGGGCCTAACGCTATGTGTATGTGTGTGTTGTATTAATATGTCTGTAAAACAAATGTATTTGTGTATATTGTACTTGTGTTGTGTGTACTTAACATAGTCTGCGTAGATGTGTTGCCGTTGTATACCAGTAATCTTTTCTTTGTCATTATAATATAATTACAATAAGACTTTATTTTAATAAAGTCTTATACTGTATACTAATATCCTAAATTCTTCAGGCCCACTGGTTATGGAAATGGAAACGTACCGTTACTCTGGGCACTCAATGTCCGACCCGGGGACTTCGTACCGTACACGCGACGAAGTTCAGGAGGTCAGGCAGACGCGGGACCCCATCACGTCCTTCAAGGAGAAGATCCTCGCTAGCGATCTCGTCACAGCGGATCAACTTAAGGTGAGGCGCCATAGTGAACGCGTGGAATATGGGAAAGATAAAACGTTTGAAAACGAATTAAATAATATATTTAAATAAATAATAAACTATACGTAAAAGTCAATTTATAATTGAAAAAATGTACTGTCGTTGTAATGTTCCGTGCTGTTGCTCTAACCAATTGAGCTACCGACTCCTACACGTCATCGTCGGATTTTTTAAACTTATAGATGCGTGCACCTCTCGCGCAATGTAAATTCAACCTTAACACTTGCGTATTAAGATAAAACGGTAAATTTAAATGCTATTTCAGGAAATTGATACAAGAGTACGCAAAGAGGTGGACGAAGCGACGAAACAAGCTAAGAGCGAGGCTGAAGTAGGCCTGGAGGAACTATCTGGTGACATTTATTACAATAACTTGGAGCACGTGATTCGGGGCATCCACCCTGGTGCGCCGCTGCAGCACGTTGAAGTTGTTGCCAGGAACTAGGAATGTTTGTTTCTGACCGTGTTTTCACATTAATCGATGTGGATAGTTAAATACTGTCTATTCACGCGAGTACATTTCAATAAAACACTTTAAACGGTTTAAAATGCGATATTTATTATGACTTACACTTTGCAGCAGCCGCACAGCATCCGAAACGTCGAGCCATTGTTAAAACAATTTCCAAATAAGGTTGACTAATATATATCGCGTTAAAAACCGTTAGTGTTTGTTTTCATTGGCAATATTTTTCTTTTAGGCTTAGGTTGCAAGTTTAAAAAGGTATGCTATAGCTAGTTTTGTTGCCATATCAATTGCTAAAATTTACAATTCGTTTTAATAATAAGAAAAAACTGTTTCTTGCCTAAAATACTTCTCGCGTCGAAATGATGATCAAAAGTTTTAGTTTTTCCTTCATTTCCCTTTACTGAATAAGGTCTGTATCAGAAAATGATTCTGTTGATTAATGTGAAAACGTTTACGTAAGACGAAATTTTACGACGCGAAATTGTAGATAGTAGTCCAATTTTAAGCAAAAAATAAGTAAATGGGTTTCTTTTTTACGTAATTTGATAATTTGCATATCAAAATTCGTTTGAACGCAATAATACGATTTATTCAAACAAATTATTTTTGCATCGCTTTGTTGATGTCTGACATCCCGCTAGTGTTGCTGCATAGGTTATCGCGAGTGTTGCCAGTGACTTAGTACTTTATATTCCCTATAGGCCTATGAAAATGTAAAATGGAGTAAGAATATCTGTATTTTATGTAGCTTATATGTAAAACAGGGGGCTTTAAATAGTCTATTGTATCTTTACGAATGCACTTTTACACTTAAAACAGACAAAATTAATTTCTATGAAGTAGCGGGATCATAGTATTGTTCTTTATAGAATATTGTTATTTTTTTTTTGTGATACTACGGTGTTACCGATGTAGAAAATTTAAACTACAGTTTATTATATTTGAGATTATTTTATCATATGTTTTGTATGCATTCTTTTGTTTTATTTTGTAAGCGTAAACTGCCAATTCGTAACGTAAAGGGAATCATAATATACTGTATTGTTTCGCACATCTTTAGTTTTATGTAAGGGATTATTTATTTACAAATAAAATTACGAAAAATTTATGTCTTTTTTTCACTTTAAGCTTGCGATTGTTTTAAAAATTTTAATGCGACCTAAATTAAAAATAACCTCCAACTTCAAAATTTATTTATTTACCTACAAATTAATATTACACTATTTAAAAACGGATTATCATTTAATATAAAAATATGACTACTTTTTACAAATACTGTTATTGAGCACAATTTTAACCGTTTTCCTAAAACTAGAAATGCTAATTACATGCATTTAACTTTTAAAGCGAATGTTAATAATTGCATTTTAAATACGAAATTTATCTTAGCCATACCATGTATATACTGTAAATTATTGTACGTAAAAGACACGTGACGAATGCAAGGCACATAACGAGAAGCTTTTCAAGTATTTTTTCTAAATCTTAAACAGGAAAATAATTTAATTGCTATTTATTTATTAAAACAATGATTATACCTTTTATGATTAATACAAGCCTAATAATTGGTTCAAAGTATCACTTTCATATTAAAGCATTCTATAGATTTTGCATGCTACCTTAGGCATTTTATAAGCACTCAAAAATTATAATATGATTGTTAGAACGCTGTGTTTTTTTATCATTAGATGTCGAAATTTTGGAAATAAAAAAAGATACAAAAGTTATGTTAAGAAGAGATGAATAATTATGGATTTTTGTCTTTATTATAGGAATGATAGGTGCAAGATCTAAAGATTACCTACGTTAGGATTTTATTTACATATCTTTAAGGCGGGTTTGGTATTGCTAGAATATAATTTTGGTTATAACATATTTGGAAAAGTATTTTATATATAAAAAATTACCGACTCCTAGGCTCCAATGTAATGTGACTAGATTTTCAGACCGTTTTCTTCAATGCTATCTTAACACTTACAGTAAGCATGTAACAACTTGGCATCTAAGTATAGGAATTTATTTTTATCGACTTAGTTTAGGCAAAAAGGAGACGCGATAATAATTATTTTCTATTTAGTAATATGTAACGACCGCAAACTCCTATCGTGGTGACGTCATCTGCGGCTAATACAAATATTGTTTTTTACTGTATTTGTGTTCACATAACACTGTACTTATTTAGATGTACAAGTTTTGACTTCACACTGTAACAATGACGTCACTAAGATGGCGGATAGATATATGTGGGTAGTTTGCGACGATGATAGAGTCATCTATGTTTGAATAAGAAAGCGTGATTCGAAATTCAAATAAATTAGCCAATTTTTTAGCTAACTACTATATTGCCATACGTGATCACCTTTCATAAAATCACATTTGTGTAATTATTGTTTTAGCATCAAAGATTCCGATTTATTAGAAAATAGTTAATTAACAATATACAATATTATGTAACAATTAGACTAGTGCAGTATGCACACAAATAATGTAGCAATTTACTATTAAGTAATACTACCTACATATACGGTAAATTTTATATATTCCTTAAATAATCAATTCATTATACATCACATTAGTGTATCTTTGATGCTAAGCACCGTTTTATTGTCTGCGCTAAAAGTTTAAAGGGCGTAAGCCACAGAACTTAAGTTTTTTGCTTAGTAAATCGTAGTACGCTTATCTCAGTATTTTTGTTTGAAAACACTATAGGTTAAAACTACTTGCATATATATTAAAAAGTAAAACATCTCCGGAAACTCAACTGGTATGATTTGTCGCAAATGTTTAATATTCAAATGAGAAGGCTAATAACACCGTAACGCGTTACACATCGAGACGGTTTACCCTCTTTATAAGTTGTCTTATCAAATCTTTTGGACCTATTGCGTATTTAATCGGCCTAGTTATGACTAAATATTTATTTTCCGTTGTAAGCAAATTTGATTTTAATTAAATGTCGGGACGTAAGTGTCATGCGCATATCACGTATAAGCGTAAAACGAATACATATAACATTAGCTTAAGCTGTAGCTGGTAAATTGGGATCTCAATGGGACCAAGACATATTTACCAATTATTGAGGGTTTCCAGTAATCCAGTTTTTCAATTAAGCAAGTTTAAAATTAGAGTTGTCTCACTTACAGAGGCCACGGCGTTTTTTTCAAACAAAGTTGTCATAACTTGTAAAAACCTGATTAATTTGTCTCACTTATACAAGTAATTGAGTTACAGAGTCTCAATTTGGGAGGAAAACGTTGAAAAAGTCTAAAGAATCAAAAAGTAACAGAGGTATTATGTCTTGGTCATTACTGTCGTAGACATTACTGGAACTCTCAATAACCGAGGTTTCTCATTTATCCAGATTCCACTTAACCAGATTTCACTATATTAGGAATTCCTTCACGTGGTGTTAGTTGCTTTTAAGTGAAGGATCTCATAGAAAGATTTTATACAATTAGGTTTGCGAATCTAAATTCTCTTCGCTCTCTTCAACAAAGCCGCACTGTAACTCGTATAATCGAGCGTATATCCTCTTCAGAGCTATCAGCTCTTGGTGCGTACCCATCTCGGAGACAACTCCTCGGTCGATCACACAAATCATGTCTGCGTTCTGGATCGTGGCTAGTCTGTGGGCTATTATGAGGCATGTTCGGCCTTCGCTAGCTCTGTCTAGCGCTTCTTGAACCACCTGTAATTATAAGTTAGTTGAATTCCACTGGGAATTGTATTTTTACCTATCCATTACCTTGCTTACAATACACAAACAAAAACATTGTGATAAATGGAAAGTATATTTTAATGTGGTGTTGGTGTTTAATGGTGGTGTTTCATTGAAAAGTCTTTTTTACATTGGTAAAATTCGCCGACACGGCAGGTCTCGAACCTACGGCTACGTCCGTTGCTCTAGAAATTGCCCTGCTCATTCATGGTTCATATGGAATGGCATTTGTTTTGCAAAAATACTTAAAGGTAAATTCTGAACCGTATAAAAGAGTATTTTCTTTTACAAGCTTGTTTTGAAATATTAGGTTATGGTGGAAGATAACATACCTTTTCGCTGTGAGTATCAAGGGCTGATGTCGCCTCGTCAAGCAATAATACCCTTGGGTTTCGAATAAGCGCCCGAGCGATTGCTATGCGCTGTTTCTGTCCTCCAGAAAGCTGGGATGCGCGTGCGCCGATCCTAGTATCATAACCCTATAGAAGCAAGAGATGAGTTTAAGAAGATTTTTTATGATAGAGGAGGATAGACAAGCATAGGGTTTATTTGATAGAAGGTGTAAATAGGCATATCAATGCGTTTCTACCTATTAAGAGTTTGGGTATTCGGATTTACACAAACCGAAACCAACAATGGATTTCCTACCACACATTTAATATCCTGATGTCTAGATAAAGTCCAACGTGTTTCACAAAAATTATAAACTGATCAGTTCTTCCTTTTTGATTACACTATTTTGTTTTAGTTATAGATTTAAGTTTAATTTAATTTGTCTTGTCTTTTGGCGAATGATGTGTTTGCCAATAATTGTTAAATGCATTTGTAACCTACTTTATGAATGTAAATATTATAAATGTATGAATGTAATTTAACGCTGGCAGACCAATAAATAAATAAATAAATAAATAAATCAGAAATATATTGTGCACGGTAGGAATCAAACCCGACCTGATGGTTATTATCCATATAACGCTACCATTATGTCGACGGGTTCGCCAAAAAAGGGTATTAACAGGTTTTCGTTCATTTATTTATCATTGAACAGAACACAGTTACAATATATGTAATTTAGTTTTTTGGGTTAATTGGCAAGTAAGTATTAGTCGATGGTATCCATACTAATATATAAAGCTGAAGAGTTTGTTTGTTTGAACGCGCTAATCTCTGGAACCTTTTGTATCGGTAAGAGCATTTATCGAGGAAGGTTATAGGCTATTAAACATCGCGGTGCGACTAATAGAAGCGAAGAGACAGCGGGAAATGATAAGGAAACGGGGAAAATTATTTTTTTAATCTTTGGGGGTCGGATGTGTACTCTGCGACAACGGTTCAAAAATATGTACTAAAGAATGATTGAAAGATGATATTTTTTTAAAGATTAACTTGCAAGAACGACGGTACGCGCCTGACGTCGTGGGCTTATATAAAGATGAATAGGAGATTTGCAAAAACAAATTCTTTGCCTAAAATAATATTCTATGCGGACGAAGTCGCTGACACAGCTTGTTAGTAATATACGTCTCACTACTGTAATATCGATTAGTACTCACCGTTGGTAAAGCAGCAATAAAAGTATGCACATTCGCAGCCTTAGCAGCGGAGACAATCTCCTCAATCGGCACCGATCTCGTGTTATCTCCGTACGCGATGTTCTCAGCTATAGTGCGATCAAACAAAACTGGCTCTTGTGACACTATACCGAGGTTGCCGCGTAAAGTCGATAGTCGCATGTCGCTTACTATACTGTAGTCGTCTAAGAACTGTAAAAAAATACAAATTTCATATAAAGTACGTTTCATATACTTTGAAAATAATATTCTATATTATTATTTAATGCATATATTGTATGTAATGTATGTTTTTTTATAGATAACAAATTTACAATACTAGCGCGAATTGAACCGACATCCAAAGCGTTCCGTGCTTTTGTTTTTTTGATTGACGAATTGAATTTTAATAATTTTTTATATTAGAATAATATTACATTTTATTCCTTTATCAATAGTAGTTAATTAATATCTATAAGGATAAATGTATGCCAGTCCTTATCGTCCTTAAAATCCAATCAGGGGTACGTATTGTCCTAGAAAACACAGTTATTTTTTTAAGTACACAAACGTTAATATTCACAGGCTTTTATCACGTGTCAACTTAAACTTTTAATTTCAGTAAGATTGAAAATTAAGTCGCGTGCATGTATCAATGATTTGAAAAAAAATCGACGATAGTAGGACACGCTACTTAGGGCAACAGCACGGAACTGTAGCCGGTTGAAGACCCGCCCGAGTATATTTTTGTTCTTTTAAATAAAACACTTCAACGGTTTAAAACGCGATATGCTATTATGCGATATTGCAGCAGACTCCCCGTGACCACGGGGCAAAGCATCTGAAACGTGGGGCCGAAATTAAAAACCATTTTCAAATAAGTTTAACTAATATATCGCGTTTTAAACCGTTAAAGTGTTTTATTTAAATGTGTACTACTCGCGTAAACTATAGACAGTATCTTTGTTCTTCGTTTATTATAAATGATAGTTTATGACAGATACACATAATACGACTACGTACGACAGTGCCATCATCCGGATCGTACAATCTCTGGAGCAGCTGCATCAGCGTCGACTTTCCACACCCACTTGGCCCCACCAGCGCCACACGCTTCCCACTGGGTATGACGAGAGACAGACCGCGAAGAACTTCCACTTCGCGGCGAGTGGGATAGCGAAACTTGATGTTCTTGTATTGGATTTTGCCCTTCGCTACCTAAAATACAAAAGACAGTATTCAATAAAATCTATAGATTACACTAGCTGACCCGGAAGACCCCTTTCCTTTTCCGATAAACTATTTCTGTTATTTATAAAATAGAAATAATAGTCCCATAAATCTATACTAATATATGAAACTGAAGAGTTTGTTTGTTTAGTCGAATTAAATAACATCGCACTGTGTCAAATAGGAGCGAAGAAAGGGCGGGAAATATGAAAAAAAACCGGGAATATTATTGATATTTGTGAAAATAGGGCCCGATGGAGAATGAAACCACGTGAATCTCGCTTACATAATGTTCCGGGACAGATGGTGCATGCGTGCTCTCGATAGCAGTTCTCCTCTCAAGCAGCGTCATGACTCTACCAGCTGCTAAAACAGCAGCTCCAAAATTAGGCGCAAACGCTAACGCCTGACCCATCATCCACGCGCCGAAGACGAGAGCTTCCGATACTCTGAAAAGAAAAATAAGTACTTCAAGGGCATATTAATAGTTATATAGCAATAACTAGATATGGCCGCGGCTTCGTCTTCGTGAAATAGTTATGTCCAAAACGTGTTTTGTGATATGAAGTATTTGAACGACGATTAAAATATATAATTGAAAATTGTCTCTTGTGAGTTAATCTGGAAACATATACGAATACTATCATGGACATCTTTTAGATCATTGAAAGGGGAATTGTTTTATACATATTAAATAAAACACTTTAACGGTTTAAAACGCGATACTTTGCAGCAACCGTGGTCTCCCCGTGACCACGGCTGCTGCAAAACATCCAAAACGTCGGGCCGTAGTTGAAAATAATTTTCAAACAAGTTTAACTAAAATATATCGCGTTTTAAACCGTAAAGTCATTTATTTAAATATGTATTACTTGCGTAAACTACAAACAGTGTTTACATCTCTTACTTAATTACATCCTTATAAGGCACCTCCTTGTTGGCGACTAGTACTCCTCCGTACCACAACGACAGGGCGTAACCAGCTACTGGGGCTGTCTGGCCGAAAGAGAAGACCACGCCGCGCCAACGCATGCTGTTACGTGCAGCTTGGTGAGCACTGGCACCAGCTTCGCGGTATCGGTTTAGCACGCCTTCTTCTCCACCTTTACAAATTTATGTAAATGCGAGATGCATACAATGAAAATGATTTAGAAAATTGCCAGTCAGCCAGCGGAAGAGACTCTAGTTCTAAGTTAGTTGGTGAAGGTGCTGTAAGATTCATAATCTGTTTCAATTAAGTAAATTTTAAATGTATAAGAAGTAAAGTGTAGACGTCACGATAGTTGGTTTGTATTGTATTGACGGTATTTATATGTAAGTCCTGGTAAGGGATACACTCTCTGGCTGGTTTATCGTAATGCCTTCGTCAAAAACATATTGTGAAAACATTATTTTCATCCTGACATATGACCGACGCTATTTGCGTTTTTTTATAGTGGACATACAAGCATCTGTCTTGCTTAATGGAAAGTGAAACACCCCAGCCATATAACATCTAAAAGATGTGGTGTTGACCTATTTTATATTTGGATATTGGGAAATCTACGGACTGTAACCGAAAAGCGATTGAAGTTAATGGTTTTTTTTAATCTCTGGATGATCCCATTTAGTATGCGGATTTCCAGACGAAGACAAAAATGTTTCATAAAAATTTATCAATTGATTATAAACATGTTGGAAACATAGATTGCTATCCGAAAGGTATCTCGGGTAGCAATCTATGGCTAATAATCGAGAATCTAATATAATAATCTAGAATAATAGAGGTATCTATAGGTATAGACAAGACCAACGACCCGGTTCGTAACAGCGATGCCGTGGCGGCCCGAATCACGATTAACTGAAAGAGCCCTAATACAAAGAATTGTAACATACTTATAAAGCCATAATTAAACATTACTTACAAAAGGCGGAAACGGTTCGTATGTTGGTAATCGCTTCCGTAGCGATCGTATTCGCTCTGTTCGAAGCCTCTCGCACAGTGGCTATGCCTTCAGCGAGGATTCTGCTCTCCAAGACAACAGCACCAATCACCATTGGCACGGAGACCAGGGAGACCAGCGTCATTTGCCAAGTGTAGTACATGGAGAGGCTGATTCCAATGAATATAGTAGCTGATGCCTGCATTAATGCACCGATACGAGTTCCTGTAGCCTACAAAAATTTATGTTACGTTAAAACTGATAAAAATATTGAATGCATATTTTGGTCTTATTAATTCCCTTAAAATATAATCCGCAATAATATGGTAGAAAAGGCTTACAAACAAGGCTTAACTTGGTTATGTTCTTTCTGTCACGTTTCCGTGTACATAGCGCTGAACACTATCTGTAGATAATAATGGCTTTCTTAGCAAATTATAATCTTACCCCCTGCACAGCAGCAGCATCAGCAGCGAGACGACTGCAAAGCGCACCTATTCCGTTCACGGGGTTATCATACCAACCCATCTCTTGACGGAGCATAGCTCTGAACGCCCCGATCCTTGAAATAATAATGGTACCATTTTCATGTGTATAATCATGTTCTGATAAGTCAAAATGATTTCTTGTGAGAGGCTCTCAATTTGGGCAATAATTAGGTTTTCTTTTATAGAATACGTGTTGTAAGAAAAACTAATAGTGAAGTCAAATAAAATGAAAAAAATTACCTCAGCCGTTCTGTGAGCCTAACGCCAGTCAAATTGAATATGAATATTTGGAAGAATATACCGATGCCGGTGTACACTCCCACCAGTAGAAACAGCACCGCAATCAGGTTGGTACCCGAACGAACGTAGTCTTCGTCTTTGCTCTCCAATAACTGAAATTGGAAAATAAACATTTTTACTTTACGAAGAATTCAGACCCCCTACAAATATATATAAAGATTTTAACAAAAACACGAATATGATAGCAAGTAGAGGAACTTCGATCATACATTTAAATTGTGTAAGTAAGACAACACGAGAACTTTAAACAGACCTATGAGGTTCTCTACGTCTATACGGTCGTTTCATAGACATTGTACCAATACAACCTTTAATAAATGACTTTAATACTAAGAGTGCATAATGTGTTATAGAATAATATATTTAGCTCTACATAAAAACAATGCTTATAACTTACACCGTATGTTTCACCGAAAAGCACCGCAAAGCAGGGGAAGGAGGAGCCAACAGCGATCGCGGCGCCAATACCTATCAACATCAACCACTTCTCAGGTTCGCACAACTTTAATATCTGCCAGGTGGTCGGTTCAAATTCTCCAGGTTTCTCTTCATCCAAAACTACGCTGTTCTCAGAAACTGTTTCATCTTCCTCAGCCGAAGAACTCTTGATGGAATCAACAGATTCCAGTTTCTGAAGTTTCGCTCTACGAAACTTTGCATCTGCGGTGGGATCAAAGTTAGCGGCTGCTGTAAGGTGTGGATGCGTTAGTTCTACGAAAACCCGGGATAAAGCCGATTGTGCCATCTGTGGGAAGGTCATTGTTCCTTTGAGGAATGAGCCGGAACATAGGATCACTGGCTATTGGGTGATGGTCTCTTGATAAATAGTTTATTTATTCAAAAGTTTATAAGCACTACGATATTATATTACCTATTTTTGTTTTTCTAATATCTAAGCAAACCGAACTCCGCTAAGAAAATTCTTGTCTGTTTTTCATCTATCACTACCTAAGCTTATTTTGTCTTGTAAAAGGATTTCAGGAAAGGCAAAAGTAAGGGTTGGTGCTTTAATTAGTAGGGAAGATGGCAATTTCGAATTACTGTACTCACGTTTATCTTTACCCTCTTCAGTAGTAGTAGTATTTGGAGCTATACTTGGTTCATTCTGAAGGACCAACTGATAATAATGACCCTTTAACTCCAGAAGTTCTTCGTGAGTTCCTTCTTCGATTACTTCACCCTTTTCGATAAATACGATACGGTTTGCGTTTAATACTGTGGCTAACCTGTACATAAGAATCTTTTGGTATATATAGCACACCTGGTATGTTGTACGTAATCCTATCAAAAGTTGACTAATCAGTTTCAAAGTTTCTGTAATGTAAATACAAACAATGTAATACAAACCACTATTGGGCATAAAATAAAACTGTCTCACAAGCAGTCGTCTCCACATGGCAGAAACATGGTGCTATATTTATTTCATACATATATACAAATACGACAAAGTGACTGTTGTATTATTATTCTAAAAAAAATAATTTCCTTTAAATTTGTCTGTAATCTTTAGCCAATCCGTAAAATCTTTTTCAATTTTTTTTACTTAGTTACACTCAATCACGCTAATAAAGTGGCTTATAGACAGTTGACCTATATACACAACGCTTACGCGTTTCAGCAGATATACAAATGTATAGGACTATCATATTTAAAGCAATTAATTTCGCAAAAAAATAATAGCATAATAGTTGATATGTGTTACGATCATCGAATATAACATTCATGATTGTCCTCTTGTACGAGCCTTATTTTCACGTCTGAAGTTTATAGTATACCTGTGGCTCACCATGATGGTGGTCCGCCCATGAGCAGCGGAGTCTAGAGCCCGCTGTACCTTGGCCTCACTGTGCGAATCCAGGGCGGAAGTGGCTTCATCCAAAATGAGGATCTTAGGACGTCTAACCAGAGCGCGAGCGATGGCTATCCGTTGTTTCTGGCCACCAGATAACTGGGCACCTCGTTCTCCAATCATTGTGTCATAACCCTATACAGTTATAACGAGAAAAGTTTAATATAGTAATAATACAAAATAACTCCACTCTGTTATATGCAGTCTTTAATTATTTCTGCGTTCCTGTGTTACACAAAATAAATTTCATAATCACATAAAATATATTACTTAGTTATAAGTTAACTGTTAGATTTCTCTAGTTACTTACGTCAGGTAAATTCTTAATGAAATTGTGGCAGTAGGCTTGCTTCGCTGCAATGATTATTTCTTCATCTGTGCATGATGGATTGCTCAGACTGAAAATGTGACGATGCACTTAAAAAAATAGAAGCTAAGAAAATCTGTAAATTGTAGAGTAGAATACATATTAAAATGGAACTTAAGACTTTATATTCTGTTAATTAAACTCATGTGATGGCTAATGTGTGAATTATAAGCTAAGAAAAATACTGATAAAATGCGAGAATGCATCCAGAACGAAGAGTTTTATGATTGATTAAAAATAATAGAAAAATATTATATTTCTTGTATAAAAATATGAACGGTACACGTTCATGTGTCACTTTTGAGTTATATACAAAAAGATACAAACCGAATATTTTCCTTAATGGAACCAGCGAAAAGAACTGGCTCCTGTCCCACAACGGCGATGTGATTCCGATAGTGTCGCACGTTAATATCACGCAGGTCGTGTCCAGATGCCGTTACAGAACCTGACTCCGGGTCATACATGCGCTGCAGAAGTTGCAGGACCGTCGACTTGCCGCTCCCACTTGAACCGACCAACGCTACCGTCTCATTTCGGTTGATTTTTAGATTCAAACCATTCAGAACCTTTGGACAAGGAAATTAAGAAGTTTTTATTTTTTATATCAAACAGATGTCTAAGAGCAAGTAATCTAAGAAAAAATAATATCTTTAACTTAAACAGTTCACTTATACTGTATGATTAGTATATAAATTTCTTTGTTATTGAAGAGTAGGTTGATAAAAACAAGTGTTGTAACATCAAATTTTTTGTTTATAGCAGGCGTTAGAAGAATAAAGCCTTGTTATAAAATCCAAACTACACAATCTAAAGTGTAAATCAGTACCTTAACATCCGCCCGCGCAGGGTATTTAAAATGAACGTCTTTCAACTCAAGATCACCGCTGAGCTCAGGCCGACTACCTTCAGTCGAAAGACTATCTATGGTTGGTTTTCTATCCAACACCGCGAATATGGAACCAGCGGACGCTCTTGCGTTTGCCAAGGCTTCTAAGTGAGGCGCTGTAAGACCCACGTTTTGAGCTCCTTGAAGGACGCTGAAGAATATCTACAAAAATACAGGCAGTTGCACTATTTTTTTAGCTACACAGTACTTATAATTTTTATTCAACAAGCGATTTATAATGACAGTTATAAACTCTCTCAAAAAATTACATTTTATTTCTAGAAGACCGAGAACATATAGTTTAATTTAAATTTAATCGCTCTAACTACTGCACTACTTCACAAAATGTCAAGTTACTCACGATCATCAGTACGCCAGGTGTATACACTGGGTTTTGTTCGTGTCTGCTATCCAAGATCAAACCGACTCCGTACCAAAAGGAGAGTGCGTACGTGGCGTAGATAATGAGCCACATTATACCGCTGCCAATACCAGAGAATATACCTTTGCGTATTCCCATTTTTTTAGCTGGTTCTAATCGTTTGGAGTACCTGAAAACATCTTCTAATTTAAATACTGTCTACTATATCGCGTTTTAAACCGTTAAAGTGTTTTATTTAAATCTTCTAATGTATTATAACTTACATATAACATTTCATCGATTTACAATAATAGTACATTTATTTAAATAAAAAACGAGTAGTGAAAATAAATTTTAAATAAGTTTAAATTTAGAGTTTTAAATCCTTATAAGTGTTTTATATAAATTTAAGATATATGATAAAAAAATTGGAGTGTAAGTAAAACATTGATAATGTTTAAAAGAAGATAGTTTACGAAATTAAAAATCGTAACTTATTATTACATGGTTAATTTTAAGTGGGAAATTACTAGTGACTAGTGAATTTTCAAAATTGGGATGCAAATGTATTTTAAACTATGTCTGTATATATTGACGTCTAAACATACCTCGCTATTTCCTTCTCTTCTCCGCCAAAAGCGACGACCGTGCGAATAGAAGATAAGACTTCCTCTGCAATAACTCCCGCAACACTGTAAGCTTTAAGTTCTTGTGTCGTCAAGGATGATTGGATCTGGATATCAGAAAAGTAAGTTTTAAAATTGTTAACTAAGCCCCAAGAAGTCAAGAAGGCTCGTTACAGAGCGAAGAAAAATGTGCACGTGATTTTACAATTTAGCGCATTATAAAAATAAAAGGTATTTCATTATTTCCATGTTTTATTTTATTTTTCATTATTTTGTTGTGCTAGTAGTTAATTCAGTCGACCGCAGGTAACGAGGTTTAGATTTAGATATTTCGTTTTAAAAAATCTAGTTACTAGAATATGGAAGTAGAAGCTGTAATGGGCCTTTAAAAACACATTATATGGACCGATTATTTACCATTACGTTATATACGTTAATACGTTAAAATCCACATTAGATGGTGGTATGGCATGGAAAACCCAAACCAAAAAAAATTAACGACAATATTATTTTTGGGAAATCTCTTTAAAACAAAAAAAAAGATTGCAATAATTGGAAATGATTCTGTTACATTAAACCTTAAGATAAAATATTATAGAATATCTAGTGTCTGTATGAGGGTGTGGCATTACCTTAGCAACCACAGCGGTAGTGGCTATAATAATAGGTGCACAGGACAATATGACTAAAGTCAACTCCCAACCGTACGCGAACGATATGATGACAGCAGTCACAAACGACATCACCAAGTAGACAAGCATAGGCACCTTTTCGCTTATACCTTCACGGTACTTCTCCACGTCACTGAAATGAATATATTTCAATTTGAAAATCTAATACGTCAACAAAAAAGTCTAAGTCTAAGTTCTGCCATAATTATTGTTGCATTGAATAAATGCTAAACTAAATATATTTATTACCTTTTAGTATTCGAAAAAAATCTTGGAAACGACTCTTGTGCATTGTTATTTTTTTATTAAAATGGTACAATTTAATATAAATTCAAAATCAAATCAAAATATTTATTACTTTGTATTACGTAAATTTATCTTTTACTTTTTTAGGGTACCTATAGTGGTTAAAGTTGTTGAAGTCGGTTAGATTTTAAAAAATTATATTTTTAATATACAGTAAAAGTTCCTTAATCGCGCTTCCTTTATTCGCGGATTAACAAAATGCGACCCAATTCCTATATTCGCGGCTAAAAATTTCTTTATTCACGGTTAATAAATACATACATAAAATTATTCCAATAGGTATCCAACCCAATATCCTAGTCAAATGGACTGATAAAAAATTAAATTAGATCTTATTACCACTTCGCCTAATGTATATTGTTAAATGATTTTATCGCCGAGGACTTTGATAAAAGCCGCCTTCGCCGCGATCGGTGTCTTTAAAAATGTAAACAAACAGAATAAAGAGCTTTTACTGTAATAACAATTTATTTATAAGAGAAAAACACAAGTTAGATACTTACTCTGACACCTTAGTAGCAAAATTCATAGTCTGGTTTAGATCGTACCACGTGATGTCTTGTCTAATTATAGCTTTCAGGAATCGTTCTTTCAATCTATTTATCTACAAATATTACATAATAAAATTTCAAATAATAGCGCTTAATTGAAAACTTTGAAGGCAAACTTTACCAACTAGATACATTTTGGGTAATATTTTGTGTTGAGATTACAATAGCAATCGGTGATTAAGAAGACGTTTACCGATGGTTAAAAAACATTTAAGATAATAAAAAACATTTAGAACAAACGTAAATAGAAGGCAATTCGCTAACGACAGCCACTACTAAAATAGTCATTGTAAATTTCCAATATATACTAAATCTTAAAAGAAGTTAAAAATAAAGAGTGTAATAAAAAATTACACACACAAATGTACAGTAGCATACATATCTATTAAAAGAAAGTTACGAGTAGAGCTAATAGCGAGATTAACTTGTAATGTGTTAACGGTACCCGAACGACGGGACGCGACCGACGTCGTGGGTAAGAGCTTATATTTTTAAAGAGGAGGTTTGCCAAAACAAATTTGGATGCCCAAACTAACTATTCTACGCGGACGAAGTCGCTGACACAGCTAGTTAATATAAGTATGTACCTGTTTTAGTGCGGTGTAATTAAACAGATCGACGCTCAGAGCACCAACAATGAATTGTATCACTGAGAACGCTGAGCAACCGATCCCAAATGCTCTTGAATCCTCAATTAGTGCTAGACGGTTCTCTTCGGCCGACGCGTTTGTTCTAAAAAATAAAACTTGTAAAATCTTTGGGAAAATAACAGATGTTATCAAAGAATTACAGATGAAATAAATAATGAGGTTTTGCCAGGAAACCTGAAGGCTTGTTTAGGACACAGTGAGAATGAATAACCGAAGTTATTCAAAGTAGAGACAAAATAGTTGAAATGGTAGCCGATAATTTAGACTGACCACCCGGCCTCCTATCGGTGTCCCAAATAAAATTAATAATAATATAAATGTCAGTCTTTGGAAAAAACTTCATGGCAATTGGAATCAATAAACTTAAAGCCATCAAATTATAGTACAAAGAAAGAACAGGACTCGTTCAAATAAAGATGTTTAAGCCTTCTGTCATCAATCGCCTTTTATATGATTTATTTTGAAACTGTCTAGATGTATATTAGTAGAATGTTTGTAGGTTACTTACAGTTGTCTCCCACCACCAAACCAGCCGATGCAAAGTACTGGAGTGGATGTACCAGACATAATGGTGCGTTCTATAAGAAGGGATGTAAATTCGCCGTAGATGATCACACCAGCTGGCACCATCAGCCCATTTAGCGATGCGAAGATCAAGCCCAAGAGCAGCACTAATAGTTCCCATGGTTTCGCAAATCTAAACTATATATAACACACATTTACTAAGAAAGAACATATGTAAATACTGTCTGTAGTTTACGCACTTCATCGGTTTAAAACGCGGTCTCCCCGTGACCACGGCCGCAAAGCGTCCGAAACGTCGGCCCAAAGATTAAAATAATTTCCAAATAAGTTTGACTAATATATATCGCGTTTTAAACCGTTAAAGTGTTTTATTATAAAAGAACATATTATATAGTTGTTTATCTTTTTTCACGGCCTTTCTATCTTTGAATGATGTTTCATGATCCGGATGGAATATCGATTTTCCAATCGCCCATCTATACTAATATGAGGCCGCTAGAGTCACAACTGCATCTTTATGACATATTTATATTTTCGTAGTCTAGAAACGTTACACTGTGCTCTAGTCGATCAAGAGCGCAGTGACCGAAAATTGTTATAATAATTCTTACACAAATTAGAAATTCATTTTCGCCTAAGTTAATTGTGCATTTTTGTTTTCCTCATATTGAAAATCATGATTTTTGTTATTAGGCCACTATGCCTCTAGCAGCCTTATATTATAAGGCTGAAGAGTTTGTTTCAACGTGCTAATCTCAGGACCTACTCGTTCGAATTAAGTTTGAATGATAAAAACTAAGCTAATTCACCTTTTCGGTTTTAATTAAACTTATATAGATATACCTACTAAATATTTGAACCAAAAGTTGTACTTACTAGTCTTAAAAATGAGCTAGCATTCGCTTGTTCATTAGGATCCCCACTGTAAAGGAAGTTTAGATAAAGTAAAGCAAATTGACAAATGATAGCGATTACTGACCTCTGGCAAAAAATGGCATATACCGCGACTTTCCTTATAAAAAAAATCGTGACTTAGCTTATCTTAGACAATCGCCAGTTGTTCATCTAACATGTGTTTTAGTATGGTGTCTGGCAGCCATATTTAAATATTTATCATGTATTAAAAAGTAATATTCATAGTTATATACTATATCAAATTTTTATACGACAACTTAGGACTATTGAGTTTAATATGAAATCAATTAATCGATATAATGATTCCAAACGAATCGGAATTTGTAGGAAGTACTTTGGCAATAGAATCCGGCCAATTTATCACACCACAGGTCAGCAAATATGGGACTAATACTAATGATTCAGTAAGATACAAGCTAAGCGGGGCGCGGTGCATACCGTATTTTGAAAGCCTTTTCCATGGCTTTTCAACGTCCTTGTGCAGCTAAACAAACATGGCATTACTTAATTTTTTATTATAAAAAAAAGCCCTTTTGCCCTGTGGGGCATGGGGCACTTGCTTCGGGGGTCACTGATCGGTTTTATTTACAGGAAAGTAGTTGATCAGACTTCTATGCCCTGCCCGACCGAAACAATCTATTGTTTCCCCGGTCTTCGAGCCCAACTGTCGCGCTTAAAGACGGTCTGTTTTATTTACATACACTCACCAAAAATGTGTCATTCATAAATACAGATTTTTTATGTTAAAACCTTAGTTAGCATACCTAGGACTAACTACATGTGTATTATAACATCTTACCTCCAGAAAACTTCAGTTTTTTGTAAAGAGTGTATTTTACGCACAAACATATTGGAATAGGCAGATATAAGAAGTTTTATATAATAGTATATGTCTATAATATATAGTTTAATAGTTTACCCATAACCTACTTTACACTAACAGTGAGCTGTTAACTGTTAAAATTTATTTTTATTTATATAATTTACCAAAAAAATCCCCAAAAATGTATCGAAAATTTGAATTGAATAAGGTTTTATGCAGCTTGAAAAAAACTCGCGACAATCTTAGAGTTAATGTGAGATGAGAATTAATGTGACCATATTATTTTAAGATATATATTAGAGTGTTTTGTTGTGTTGTGGGAAAAATAGAGGTATACTTACGCGTCTGTTTTCCTCGCCTTTTCAGCTAGATAGGCGGCTTGCTGTGCAAGTGTGCTGATAGTCAGAGAATTCTGCCGTAAGCCTAGAGTGAGCGCCGGGCGTTGCTCGCTGCGCCGGCCCGGGGAAAACTTGGTTATACTCTTTACAGAATCATCGCGTCTCATTCTCGACTCAGCCGTTCTAGAAATAAATAAATACATACATTTTAAAGAGCTCGTTGGTGTAATGGTAGCAATGGCTTCGATTCCCATCGAACATTTTTCAAATCAATTTAAATTTTTCCGAAATATGTTGGACTTCGTCTCGAAATCTAAATGGGTGGTACAAATATCTTAATTTCCTTCGGGTCACGAACCACCACCGCCCACAGATTAAAAATCCTAAGCCAAAATAGGTTTATATAGCTGGGGTATTTAATCCATGCTCATCTGTCTTCCTCAATCGTAAAAAAGATACATGTATCTATCTATATGTATATAATTAATACACATTATATCATTCTGCCACTTAGTACGCCTAAAAACTCGAATGCTTTTAGTAAATAAGAAAAATGCTTAATGCCGTACGTTAAATAATATAATATTATGCCATGTAACTAAATGGTTAAACAAATTGTCTAGCATAGTATTGCGTTAGGGATAGTGGATTCGAATTCTGGGGTAAAAAAAATTGTTTCGTTCTGGCACGGCACAGTAGTCTGATGAAATACTTGCCTGAAAAGAACCGATCAGTAGAACTGACACAGAAATGTGTTCACCCCATGTCCACGGGGGGAAACGGGATTTCACTATATCATTTGTAGGTAAAAGTAATAATAGGAAATGCCCTTATCCTGTTCGTTAAAATAATTAACCTTCCATTTCTACATAAACGTCTTATCTAAAAGCCAGAAATATTTACCTTCGTCATATCACATAATAAATAATTTTAATTACTATATAATTGTGATGTTCAATAAATAATAACACTATTTAATTTTGCGCATTTTATAGCCGAAATATCACTGTCAACATTTGTCAACAAGTAAATGTACTGACAACATCAGTTCATAAAAAAAGGCTTTTATTTTAAAGTGTAGGAAATATCCAATCTATTGTGAAGATCTATATACAACTAACGAGTCTTTAAGTTGACTGACATTATAAAACACTTTAACGGTTTGAAATGCAAAACATATTAGTTAAACACATTTGAATTTTTTTTTAATAGCACCGACGTTTCGGAGGCATTGCAGCATCCGTAAGCAAGCAAAATAATAAGTCATATATGTGCTTCCTTCTTCAATAATTTATTCACAATTAAAGGAAAAAAATCTATGGAACTCTCTCCCCATTGATATCAGAAAAGCTTGTGTTGTATCTTTCCAGATCTTAATCCTTTTTTTACCCCTTTTTCGTTTCATTCCCCCGTATTTTTCACGTCCTTCACTAGCACCACCTACCTATAGTACTTTCTTGTTTTCCCTTCTTATTTGGTTGCCTGGAAGAGATCGCTGTTTAGCGATAAGGCCGCCCTTTATTTATAAGCTAGTTCATAAGTTTTTATTATCTATAAGTTATATAAATAAAATAAAAATAGGTGTGCACGTAATTTTAATTGGAAAAAAATATGGTTAATCTAGATAGATAATAAAAATAATAAAATGATCAATACAGTCACCAATTACTTATAAAAAGAAGTTGATAAAAATACAATGTATTGTGTTATTGCTTTAGTATTAACGGTATTTGGAAAAAAAGTTCACAATGAAAATATTATATCGCATTTAAATATGTTTAATGGTTTAAATAAAACATTATACATTTAACTTCGGCCCGACGTTTCGGATGCTTTGCAGCAGCCGTGGTCACGGGGAGACTGGTCGTCGGGCCGAAGTTAAAAATCATTTTCAAATAAGTTTAACTAATATATCGCGTTTCAAACCGTTAAAGTGTTTTATTTAAATGTGTACTTCTCGCGTAAACTATAGACAGTATTTTATGTTTAATGGTTATATTACAGCAAAAAAGGTAAAAGATAAAAACAAAACGGCGCGTTTTATGTAAATGTTTTTCTTAATTATCATTTCATTCGTTTTAATAAAATTTAATATTAAGTACGATTATTTAGACCTACGTGTTATTTTGTGTAGTATGCGTTGAGGAAAACCAGTAAACTTTAAATGAGCAATTTTTATTTATTTTCGCATATTTTTAATTTTTTGAATTAGTGCAAAAAGAAAAATGCTATCTGTCCTATAATATATATACATAATATCTATCCTGCCCGAGTCGAAAATTTTTTCAATTTATTTTCGATTTTTAAATTATATAGTGCCTTCATGTGCAATAACATGGGAAAAATATTAATGTTTTCAAATGCTATTTCCTACTTAACTCATGGAGCAGACACTTAAATATGTCTGTTTAACTGATTTCTGTGCATTGCAAGATCTCAACTTCACGTTAAAAATAATGCCTGATCCGGGATTCGATCCTAAACCTGTCGTGCGTAAAGTATGGCTGGCAAGGGCTTTTAGCATTGAGCCACTAAGTTCGGTTAGTAATTAGTAAAAGAAGTGCACTTTTACACTGAATCGATTATAGTGGCTCCCCTATACGACGCGACGCGTAGACTGCAATGCGGTACCGCGTTTCCTATACGTATCTCTACTAATATTAAGCTGAAGAGTTTGTTTGTTTTAACGTGCTGACTTCAGGAACTACTGGTTCAAATTGAATTGAGTTTTTAAGTGACTCTTTATCATGGGAGACTTAAAGCTATATAACGCTGCGACTAATATAAGCGAAGATACAAACTATTATTACCTATTATTACTAAACTATCTTTGAGAGCTTCCGTTGCGTAATCTGTATACACGTTTCAAAAAACAAAAAAAAAATGGATGATAGAATAAGTTTTCTTTAAACGGTCTCAAAAATGTCCGCGACAATTTAATATGTCTATCTATTAAGGTTAGCTCGCAAGTTCTCTTTTTTGATAGTCCAATTGGGTGGAAATAAAATAATCAATAAGTATAAACTATACGTTATAGTTTTATTCATATAAATAGTTATTAGTTGCAAACGACAAAACAACGTTTGCCGGATCAGCTAGTAATTTTATATCCCTATTGTTCTTCGTGAAGCTGTCTGTATGCACTACTTCGTAGAACCTTTTAATGCCGCGAGGAAGAAATTCACTAGCTTTTGTTTTATGTAATGACAAAGTTAAAAGTGGCCTAAGTTAACCCCCATAACTATAATTGATGTTTGGTAGACTTTAGAATGTCTGGTGTTGAAGAGTTTTTTTTGTAGCGGTAATACCTAAATCTGCTAGATTTAAGTTCTACAGTAAATAGTACATTAAACCAAAGATTCTCTACTTAAATAATTATTGTCTGTAGTTTAAGCGAGTAGTACACATTGTAATAACACTTGTTATTATTTACAACATGAACAATATTAGTAAACTTGTTATGTGCCGGCCCTAAGCTGCACTCCATTAGGCGACAGCCCTAAGCTGTGCCACTACGGGGAAACTGCTGATTGTGCGCGTATTCGATACCCGTGCGATCGGTATGTGACGCTACTGTTGCCGTACCCATTTTAGCATAAGATATTAATGAATATAATTGTAAGCGTCGAACTGATGCATCGTGCACAGGGAGACAAGTAGTATTAATTAAATGTAATATTTTTAATTAAATTAATTAATAAGTAAATGAGTTTTTTTGCAACCACCGGTGGCGACTAACATAATTGGCGCAGTCGGTAGGATACTCGGGTCGTCATAAATCGCGGGAATTTTTCGGAACCCTAACTTTGGACCGGGACCTGCGAGGCTGACCGTTTCTTTCAAGAAACTATTACGAGTATCATAGAACCAAGGAGCCCCGGCGTATCCAAACTTCGATACCGGTCGCAGAATGCTCATGTAAGTACACACAAAATTATCTATTGTGTTGCTTCCTTTATTTTATAAGTCCTTTTCACGATTTTCCATCCACGGAAATCTCGGGGGTCATCCCTTGATCCTAAGGGAACCCGCCAACAATCCTCTCGATTTCGGCAAATTGATAGCCTACGAGATTTGGATAATTTGAGGAATAATTGCGATTCCGATAATTGTAGTGATTTTAGTTTTAATCATATTTTAAACATGACCTCGGAGCAGGATATTATTTTTAAATCCTTAAGGTTTGTGCCGGATTTCGACGGCAACCCACATGTATTGACTAGATTTATAAAAATTTGTGACGAATTAGTTAGGCAGTTTATGCGTGATGATCCGCAAGCATCCTTATCAAACATTTCATTAATTAATGGAATTCTTAATAAGATTACAGGACATGCAGGACGTTTAATAAATTCAAATGGTATTCCCGATTCGTGGCAAGGAATTAGGGACTCTTTAATAAATAATTTTTCCGATCAACGAGACGAAACCGCGTTGTATAACGATATCGCGTGTCTAACTCAAGGACAAAACTCTCCTCAAGAGTTTTATGACAAATGCAATAACTTATTTAGTACAATAATGACCTATGTTTCGCTTCACGAAACTATAGAAACAACTATTGACGCGAAAAGACAATTATATAGAAAATTAACACTGCAAGCGTTTATTCGTGGTCTTAAGGAACCACTAGGGTCACGCATACGTTGCATGCGCCCTGAAACAATAGAGAAGGCCTTAGAGTTTGTACAAGAAGAATTAAACGTTATCTATTTGCAAAATCGTAACGATGCTCTACCTAAATTTCACCACACATTAAAACCGCAATCTTCAGTTCAAACGACACACACACCACAACCTTTACTATATAATGTGAATAAGCACAATTTACCTTTTCCGAGAATAAATACACCTTATACATTCCCACAGTTTAAATCAAGTCAACCTAATCATTTTATGCCTAGATTCCCTACACGTACACAACAAGTTTTTCGTGCTCCTCCACCTAATTATAATCCTAACAGTAATTTATTCCGTTTACCTCCACGTAACCAGGTAGCCCAAAAACAGGGACCTACTCCAATGAGCGGTGTAAGTCATTACGTTACTAAGGAGTTACCTTTGACTGGACATGATTGGCGTAAGCACGGCAATCCACCTCCTACAAACTATTTTAAAAGTAGAGATTTAAATGTCAACGAATGTGTCGAACCCGATTATTACGATTATTATGACCAATACAACCCGACCGTAGAATATCCTGACTATTATTACTTTGACCCTGACTATAATTCGTATTATAACTGTGAAGAAATAGAACAATCGAATGAAATTCCTGACAGTGACGAATGTGCTCAAGTGACTGAAACTGAAAATTTTCCGAAAGGCAAGAATTCAGAAAAGCCAAAATAGAAATTAACATACAGACACAAAGACAATTACCTTACATTCAAATTAGTAATCCACCTCTTAAATTTTTAATTGATACAGGTGCTAATCAATCTTTTATCAGCCCTGAAGTAGTGCAACGATTTTATTCTCATATACCTTGTAATTATGATCCGATTGAAGTGACGAATATACACGCGACTACAAGAAGTAACTATTCTATTACATTACCTTGTTTCCCGGAATTTAACGAGAACATAGACATAACTTTATTCGTATACAAATTCCATAATTATTTCGATGGACTTATTGGACTTGATCTTTTAGAAAACTTAGAGTCTACAATTGATTTAAAAAATAAAGTACTTAATACCAGGAATTCTAATAATCCATTGCATATGTATGATTCGCGGAATTGTAATTTATATGAAGCAATCATTCCCGCTAACTCAAGCAAAGTAGTTAAGGTACCAATAAATTCTCATGACGGTGACGTTATTGTATCAGACCAGATTTTGTCCAACTGTACAATCAGTAATTGTATAACCAGCGTGCGTGACAGTCGTGGCTTTATAGAGATAGTAAATCCAACTAGACACGATGTAGTTTTTTCGATGGATAGGCCGATAGAAGCTGAAGTTTTTAACCACGATATACAACCGGCTAAACTAGTTTCAGGCCGAGCAGCCGAAGTTTTATCACGATTAAGAACTAACCATTTAAATCCAGAAGAAAAAGCAAATTTAGAAACACTTTGTGCGCAATATGCCGACGTCTTCTATATTGAAGGTGAGTCTCTATCCTTTACTAATAAAATTAAGCACAATATTAAAACAACCGACGAATTGCCCGTTTTCACTAAGTCATACAGATATCCTTTTATACATAGGCGCGAAGTTCAAGAGCAAATTAGTAAAATGTTAAATCAAGGTATTATAAGACCTTCTCAATCAGCATGGAGTTCTCCGATATGGGTAGTACCGAAAAAAGCCGACGCCTCAGGAAAAGTAAAATGGCGAATAGTAATTGATTTTAGAAAAGTAAATGAAAAAACAATAGACGATAAATATCCCATTCCAAATATTAATGATGTATTAGATAAGTTAGGGAAATGTCAGTATTTTACTACTTTAGATCTCGCAAGTGGCTTCTATCAAGTGGAAATGAACCCTAATGACATTCATAAAACGGCATTTAATGTAGAACACGGTCATTTTGAATTTTTGCGTATGCCCATGGGATTGAAAAATTCACCATCAACATTTCAAAGAGTTATGGACGATGTACTGCGTGGGTTACAGAACGTTATCTGCTTAGTATATCTCGATGACATCATAGTTTTTAGCACCAGCCTTCAAGAGCATATGATTAATTTAGGAAAAGTATTTCAGAGACTTAGAGAGTCAAACTTTAAAATACAAATGGATAAGTCAGAATTTTTAAAATTAGAAACATCGTATTTAGGACATATAATTAGTAGAGATGGTATAAAGCCCAACCCTGATAAAATAGCAGCGATTAAAAAATATCCCATCCCAAAAACTCCTAAACAAATTAAGCAATTTCTTGGTTTATTAGGTTATTATAGAAAATTCATTCCAGATTTCGCTCGTGTAATTAAACCTATGACACAATGTCTTAAAAAAGGTAGTAAAATTATTTTAAATTCGGAATATGTTAGTTGTTTTGAAAAATGTAAAATCCTTTTATCCAATGATCCTATTTTACAATATCCCGACTTTAATAAAGAGTTTATACTAACAACAGACGCATCAAACGTAGCTATAGGTGCCGTATTATCTCAAGGTCCTATTGGATCCGATAAACCCATCGCGTACGCCTCACGTACTTTAAACGATAGCGAATTAAATTATAGTACAATAGAGAAAGAGTTATTAGCCATAGTCTGGGCTACAAAATACTTTCGTCCTTATCTTTTCGGTCGTAAGTTTAAAATTATAACAGATCATAGGCCATTACAATGGATAATGAATATTAAAGAACCAAATTCACGTCTTACTCGTTGGCGTCTCAAACTAAGTGAATTTGATTATACCGTTATATATAAAAAAGGTAAAGCTAATACAAATGCTGACGCGTTATCGCGAATTGAATTACATAATGAGAATGTAGCATCTATGGTAGTTAATATTTCTGATTCCGAGTCGACAGTGACCGCACCTGACGACAGACCATTAATTAGCAACTCTTCTACGGACACTGCACCTACTTTAAGAGCTTATAGTTCTGATAGACAGGAAGACGTTAATCCTGGTGGAACCAAGCATACCAGTCACGAAGATCCCATCCTTGAAATTCCCATTAGTGATGATCCTTTAAATATTTTTCGACGACAAATTGTTATAAAAATCACGTCTACTTCAACTAATACAAAACCTACTGTTAGCAAGCCTTTTGAAGGATATTCGAAAGTTTCTGTAACTATAAACGAGGCTAACCTAGAAGAATCAGTAATCAGCTTAATTAAAAAATACGCAGATCCAAAAATTCGCACAGGCATATTAGTTCAACCTTTAAAACATATGTATGACGTTGTTCCTATAGTGCAAAATACATTTAAAAGTGCAGCCATGAAACTTGTTCTTGTAAAGCGACAAATTGAGAATATATCCGACTATCTAAATCAACAAGACACAATTCGAAAGTATCACGAAGGTAAAACAAATCATCGTGGCATTAATGAAACTTATCAATCGCTTTCGCAGCGTTATTTTTGGCCTAAAATGAAAGTTGACATAGCAAAATTTATTAATTTGTGTGAGACATGTAATTGTGCAAAATACGATCGTAAGCCCATAAGGCAACAGTTCAAGATCGTACCGCCTCCTTCTAAACCTTTTGAAATTATACATACGTATTAAGTATTAAGTATTGACCATGACAAGTACCTAACGTTAATTGACGCTTTTTCAAAGTATGCACAAGCATATAGACTAAATGACTGTACTGCACCGAATATCATTAAATCCTTACTTTCCTTTATTTCCCATCACGGTTCACCATTATCATTAACCACCGACCGTGGTACTGAATTTACGAACCAGGTTTTTGCGGAATTTCTAAAATTACATAAAATTAATCATCATTTGGTAGCTCCACATACACCAAACGAAAACGGTATGATTGAACGCTTTCATAGTACCCTTCTAGAACATTTAAGAATATTAAAACTTGTTCACAAAAATGAACCGACTTCAAACCTTATACCATACGCGATTTTAGCATATAATAGTTCTATTCATAGTTTAACAAAATGTAGACCTTTTGACATCATAACGGGACATTATGATCCTAGAGATCCCACGGACTTAAATTTATCGGAAAGACTTATGCAACAATATATGCAGAACCATAAAAGTAACATGCAGACAATTTACAATATAATACATGACTCATCATTCGCGGAACGTGAAGCTATCACTTTACGACATAATTCTCACAGAGAACCTGAGACAGACTATGCACCTGACCAAACGGTTTACATAAATAATCCTATGACTTCTCGACGTAAAGTAGCTCCACGATACTTAGCTGATAAAGTGGTATCCAACCAACCTATCCATATTTACACCTCAAAGAAAAAGTTACCTGTTTCCAAATCCCGTCTTAAACGGTTACCAAAAAGCAATAATTTGTTGCAGACTCCTCCTGACACTGATGCTGGGCCTAGTAATGGGTCGAGACATAAAACTTGAATCTATGGACAATGGACCTGGACTTTTACCTTTTGACCTCGGACATATGAACTTGATTACTCACTATCATAACTTTTTACATTATATTGACATAGACGAAATTGATTTGAATATTAACTTAGTAAAAGACCAAATTCGTGACATGGAAAGAATATTTGACAATCAGACGTTTTCCTTGTTCAATGTACGCATTACACACATACAAGCAAAGTTAGATCGAGCATCAAATTTACTTAATGCCTTAAGGCCTGGACGTTACAAACGGGGATTGATCAATGGATTAGGTACCGTAATAAAAAGTATAACCGGAAATTTAGATTATAGCGATGCGATTAGATACGACAATGCAATTAGTGTTTTAACCCAAAATCAGGATAAAATTATTAGCGAATCAAATCGTCATATTAGTTTAACTAAGAAATGGACTTCAGAATATTCCAAAGTAATCGATAAGTTAATAGAAAATCAGGCGGAATTAAATAAAACCATTCAGTTAATCCTTAAAAAAGACAGCATCGATGAATTGCACACCCTTAAGTTTGCTAGATTTGCGCAATCATTAGATTCACTTAATGATAATGTAGGCGAGTTATTACGCACTATTAGAAATGTAGAAGATAGTTTAGTCTATACGCGTAGTTGTAGTGCACATCATATAATGCTAGGAATAGATATGTTACGCAGTATTTTAGGAACGCTAGTGAGTCTCTACGACAAAAACCAATTATTATTAGACCTTGACCTGCGAGAATATTATAGTATTATTCGCACTGGGTCATATTATTCAGAAAACAGGATAGTTATAGTGTTGAGGATTCCGATTGTCTCTCCAATTATGTATAATCTTTATAAACTTTCAATTTTGCCGAATCATCTGAACCAAGTCCTCATCCCACCTTATCCTTATATAGCAACCAATGGTAATGATTATGTGTACATAGAGGCTGAATGCCCGAAGTTAAGTGATCGGTATCTTTGTAAAGAAGACCTCAATCACCATATCAAAAGTTCACCGGATTGCGTTGCCGCCCTTATCACCGTGCAGCATTTAACCGCCTCCTGTTCCACCGTTACTTTGGTATTAACAAAGCAAGCAATGGAAAAGTTGGATGACGCCCATTACTCACTCGTGTTTCCTAATGAAACAAAAGTTATTCTATCCTGTGGCAGAAACGAATATCTCAACCTGAAGGGAAGCTATCTTGCAACTCTACCAACAAACTGCTCTCTACACACTGGTGACCTTACCATTGTTAATGCTAACAATGAAATTAATGGACAACCAATGAAGATTCTACTGACATCAATCAACAATTCTATTCCATCACCATCTTTAAAAGTTCTTCGAATATCATCCATTGACCTGAAAAGCCTGCATAATTTTCAAAAGCAGATCGATGCTCAGGAGCCAATAATTCCTGAAAAATCCGTCATATACCATACATCTATACCATTATATGTTTTGTTCCTGCTAATGGCGATAGTGGCGCTGTTCATCTACTATCGTCGTTATTTAAGAAGAAGGCAACTTCGTGTGGAAGAAGCAGCAGCGAATACGTCAGCAGCTCAGGATCCACCCGCAACATTTTCCCTAAACGTGTTAAAATAGCCTAAGCTGCACTCCATTAGGCGACAGCCCTAAGCTGTGCCACTACGGGGAAACTGCTGATTGTGCGCGTATTCGATACCCGTGCGATCGGTATGTGACGCTACTGTTGCCGTACCCATTTTAGCATAAGATATTAATGAATATAATTGTAAGCGTCGAACTGATGCATCGTGCACAGGGAGACAAGTAGTATTAATTAAATGTAATATTTTTAATTAAATTAATTAATAAGTAAATGAGTTTTTTTGCAACCACCGGTGGCGACTAACATAATTAACTCATTTACTATTTATTCTTACCCGACCTGATGTTTGGAATTTGCATTTAAAATAGATTGTATATAAATTACTAATATATTTCGCGTTTTTAACCGTTAGAAGTGATTTATTTAAAACATGTTCTAGTTTAGAACTGAAATGTATCTAACTATGGTTGATGACTTATGTCTACGTAGATACATGATTTTAGAGTTTTCTTTTATAATAGGACAGTTTCTTAAGTATAAGTAAATGTATGTCAATGGAAAAGCAAATTTCCAATTTCCTGTGTAAATAATGGAAATACGTGGACTCTTGTCTTGTTATCGGTCAACAGGAAAACAGTATTCAAGCACTATCGTCGTTCTATTTTATTCTAGTGCCTATTGAGAAAACTAAGAATGCTAAACGAAGTGGTAAAAACGTCAAGATTGATTGATAATGAGCGATTGACTACCTTATTTTTGTGGCTGAATCAAAAACTAGGTACTAAGTATTTCTAACATAGCTATGTTTTTAAATAAACTCTGTTGTTTTTTTTTAATTTCAAATTCTTAGTGAAGATTTGGTCTAAATTAAAAATCAATTTTAGGCAGAAAAAATATTAAGACAAGGGTGAAACTTGAACCGGCATCAGCAAGTCGGCATCGGCGGAGTTACCGTGTCTTTTTTAATTTTAACCTGTATGCCGATTCAGGTCGTTTTATCTATAATGTATAGAGTGCCATCTCCAAAACACGTTAAAAAGTCTTCAAACTTTAATAAATTGTGTAAGGCTTTCACGGTCATCGTTCAGCATATCATTGTCTTTCGGGCTGTTCGGCCGATGTGAGTGAGAAGAGGTTCTCGACGTTTCGCCATCACGTGTGGACGGCATCATCAGGAGATGTTAACTCCTCGATTGCTCGAAGAATTATTATTAAGCCCGAAAGACAATGATATGCTTTTCAAACTTTGCCTAAGTTTATTTAAAGCCCCTACTTAACCACAATAATAACAATCTTGTCCGCGACACGAGACGGTATTTTAACTTCGAATTAGCTCAAGGGCCTGCCAAATCAGCGTGTCTAGATATAATAGGCCACAGTCAGAAGCCAAGTGGATGCCAGATCTATCTATTATTATAATTAATTTGCCGGACAATAATGTTCTCTATTACAAAAGGGTTGCACAGATGATAACGACAGGTGTGCATTGTGCAACGCCCTGACGTCACGGTTATGTAAGAACGTTTTCGGTGTGACGTAGATCGTGAGACAGGAAGTTGTATGGCAGAAAATAGGGATTATGATTATTTTTGAGAGAATATTTTAAATAAAACACATACATTTTAAATTAAGTTCAATGAAAAATAATATTTAAAATAAATATTTAAAATTCTGTTTTTAAGATGTCCAGATACATCGTCTTACTGTGACGCCACGGTTTCTTGAGATCGAGTAAACTTTTAGTAAAGTGAACAAAATTCCTCTTTCGGCAATTTTTTTAAAACAAACAAAAAACAATAAAATTAAATACAATTAAATTCAGTTATGTCGGTATACTTACTTATATAAAAGAAACAATCAAATTGAATTTACTTTATATTTATTTTTGATTACAGTCAATATCCCTATTGTTATAATTTACTGGCGTAATTCGGTAATTTTTGGAAATCTCCTAAATACGTGTTTGAGTAACAAAGCAAACATAAAATCAGCTGTTTTTATGTAATTTAGGATACATAATAAAGCAGTAATCGTACATCGACTACTTTCTTCAATAGAATGAGATTCGCGAAACTTCTATATTACATATGGAATCTTATCAATAGATCGTTAAGCCTACAAGACAATTTCTTAAAAAAAGAAATCCGCATAGATATATGGGGTATTACCTATCTGAGTAAGTACTTAGTAGTGTGAGTGTGAGAGTTTGAACTATTAAAATATGGTGTCTTATTTATCTGGTTATTGTTTAATACCGGAAAAAAACGAATAAAAGTAAAAGTTTCGAATAGCCTGGCCTCAACTTAACGGAACTATTTACTCAACTAGTACAAACTGTTAACACAACATCAATTGTCATATTTATTAAACGGATAGTGATCATCTTTCATCGTTAAAGAGCGATGATGAAATTCATGAATATTAATTAATTTTGACGAGAAAGGGCAAATGCAAATAACTTCGCTGAGTTAAAATTATCCATTGTTGAAGCTGTGAAGATTAATTTATCAATGAATGAAGATAACTCGGTCGCCAAGTTTCATTTATTGAAGATTTTCTCTTGTTTGGTTTTGAGAATTTAGTCTTCTATATGGAAAAAATAAATCTATTTGAATACATACATAATTTAAGAATAATCTAGCCACATAGGTTATGGGGCAGGTATATTTTAGTGATTCCTTAGAAATAGATATTTATTTTTAAAATAAAATATTGTTAATCTGAGGTGACTAATCTTATTCTACAACACCTTACAATAGAGACAGATTTTTAAAATATACATTTTGCAAAAAAAAGCAGATGTGGTGTTTAACTTATTTGTTTACGCAAGAGGTGTTAGTTTATTCGATTCTTTTTAATATTCAATAAAAATGTCAATAATAAAATAATTGGTTTAAAAGCACCCCGGCATGGCAACATTACGCCGAATGACATCACGACAATAAATTCACTTTCACAGTCAAAAAGGATGTCATTAAAATTCATTGGAAAATTCCATTCTTTGATGGTACAAATTTCAAGGCCACAAAACTACGTCATCGGCTGCTTCTAATCTATGGGTATTATTGTGGGACTAACATGTTTAAGGATTTTGATCGTAATAAAAGTTGGCGCCCGACTGTCGCCACTTTCAACCCCGAAGGCCTGGTGCATAAAGTTGCATGCATAATTTAATGGGGTAGTTTAGCTTATTTATGTGTCCAGCTGTGTTGGTAAGTGCTGTAAATCTAAGTAAGATTTTAATGTGCAGTACTGATAAGAAGCTATGTAGTTTTGATTTAGTTATTTATTCTATAAATTTATTACAGGATTAGCTTTCAACAGCGTTACATTTAGAAAAATATAATTATTAATTACAACACGTTTAACGGTGTCAAATCGTAAAATATTTTTTCTATAACCTGATGTTTGGGATACTATACGGTTAATAGGTTTTGTTTATTGTGTACCTAGTACTCGCGTAATCTTCATTCTAAAACCACGTCACCTCTTACTTTATTTTAATTAATTTAAAGCTGTGTGTAAGTAAATGGGAAACAATTGTCTGTAAGTTCTATTAAGAAATCCATGTTAATAAAATAACCTTATTTGATTTCCATTTATTTGAGGTCTTGAGGTCAAAATAAAAAACAAAAATAAATTACCTTTTCACCTTATAGCAACCCGTTAATCTCGCCATGGACAAACTTAACAAACAGCTGATTACAACAGACACTACAGTAATGCGATAGGATATTCCCGGTGAGATCAGGCAAATGTACTGTGAACCAAGAATTGCCTATAAAATGAAACAAAGCTACTATAAATCAATATTTTACTAACAATAGAAGTAATAAATAAAAATATATTATGGACAACATATTGGAACAAATAATTGAGGCGGATACAGTGCGTGATTTGTCTACATATAGGTTTGAAACCTTTATGTTGATAATTTATGCACAGCACTTATGTATCATATTTAAAATAGGAAAGGTTGTAAGGATATGTGTTTGTTTGTTTTACAGTTAAAACAATTGGACGTTTTTAAATAAAGTGTAGTGTCATACTTGCCACCTTAGTAACAAACAGGAAATTTTGACTTAAACATTTTCTTAAATCTACGTATCGTACAAAGATTATCTTGGTACGTACAAAACTGACAAATACAAATAAGTAACCAAATTATGAACAAGAAAACTGACGTGTTTTCTAGAGGGCGCTTACGTACTTATTTTTTTGTTGGTATGAGGCAACAGAATTTATTTTGGTTTTATTATTTAATTTGATAAAATTCCAATTTTCTAGTGCTCCTAAGATAAAGGCTCTTACGGACATATAGACAGATAAAGGCTCTTACGGACATATAGACAGATAGGCTTATAGAAGGGAATGCAGCGAAGTCTTAGCTACAATGAAGGTAGGCTCTGTTAGCAAAATTCTATTGAAAACTTCCTATACTTCTCTCCTATTGCTTCCTTTACACAATAGATTTATCAAAATAATCGTAGCACTCCACATCAGGGGCACTTCATATCAAGTTTTCTAGTCTAGTTGGAGACAAGCACCCGCGTACTTGAAAAGTTATTGTATCTATCAAGTCCCCATTTTGAAGAGTCGTCTTTTATAAAGTTTTAATGAATGTAACAAATCATTTAAAATACGAAGCGTTCGTGTCTACTAATATTTATGTATTTATAAAGTTAATTATATATATTAATATGTTAATTTATAAAGCTCCGAGATACATACCCTTAAAATTTAGAGCTGTCTCGATCTTCTCTTATTTTTAAGGAAAATTTCAAAAATAAGGGAAGAAAAAAGTAAATCATATAACTTTGTTTGTATTGTAATTATAACATTGAAATTCTAAATAAAGAACTTAAACAATAATATCTGCTGGTACGCAACAACATTGTATGCGCTTAAGATTGGGTTCAAACCCACAATAGATTTTTAAATAGAAATATGTGTTGAAAATTTACAAGAGTCTCTTTTTAATAAAACTCTTCAAACAGATGTATCGTTAGATAAATAAATTTGAAAAGAAAATATGGTACGATGCAACATTTTAGGACGTTTGTACCACACCTCTTATGAAAACAAAGGTGTGGGTCCATTAAGGCTTTTTGTGGATTCATATTTCATTCCTAGAATCAAGTCATTAGTTCCTAATCAGGCCGCGTAAGGCTTTGCAAGGGAATATATGTTTTTAGGATTGCCTATCCAAATGTTAAAGAAGGAACTCTATTACTACCTCTTCGCTGTTTGTCTAAACAGTCAAAAAAAAAAAGTTAGTAAGAGAGTAGCGATAGACAGACCTCTATCGCTATGTCATCACGAACTGCGATACGTAGAGAGTTTAATTTATAACGAACTCTCTTAATCTTTAGCTATAATAAAAAAATGAAAAAGGCCCTTGAAGCATTCGGAAAACATGTTTTAAAATTATACTCTATTAATATAAAATACTTTCATAACAATATTTTTAAAATAATTTAATGACGAATACGTCATTATTTGCTTATATTTCCAAATGGCAAAGGATGGAACCCTACGTGCGGGTACCCGACTCGTACTTAGCGTGATTCTAATTAGAATTTTAGAAGAAATTAAAAAGGACTGAATTTGATTTCAAAGTAATTTCACTAAAATAAAAGTTTACGGAAAGATTGTTACGTTTTATATTTTTAGAGGTATCCTTTTTTAAATGTTTGAATGAAAGCTAAAGTGATTCAATACGTAAAATCATGAAAACGTAGCTTGGAGCTTAAGCTTTACTTCTAAACTGAGAAATAATTTTGTTTCTTTTCTAAAATAGTCCGTTCAGAAACATAAGAAATAATGTGTCGGTATTCCAAATATTTTGTTGGGTATGTGTGACCCAAGTGTGGAGTTTTGGTAAGTTATTTGAGAGTTCCCTCAAAATTACTTGTAGTAAAGTACTCGTAACATTTTGATACATAAAGTGTACAAAACGAATTGAATCGATCATCTCTAAGGGATCGCGAACAATGCCTTTTTGGCGCGCAGCCAGTCTTGACATAAGTATATAATATATCGTAAGTGTCTGCTTAGCTATTCAACGTGGTCTAACGAAAATATATTTTATCTGTGGAAGGGAATAAACAAAAGAAAAAACATCTGTGCTACTCTGAAAGCTCTCTTCACATCTTAATTACACTCACCTAGTATGCTGTAGAAATTATTATCCCGACAAAACAAATTTGTAGCGAACTGAAAACAGAGACGTGTTATTACTTCCTTCATAAGGACGCTGCTATTTAACGAACGTTTTGCGCGGGAAAATTTTTACTGTTACGCGGGAAAATGGTTACAAGATGGCGGACGTTCGGGGGACGTCAACCCTGCGCGGATGTTGGCAGCTTACTGGGTAGTTTTTGGCAATAGATATACATAGTAGGCAATGCGGTATGTGGGTGGGTGAGTTAACTTTATACTACATGTCTGGACTACGAGACATGAAAAATTATTAAAACGTGCCCTACATTTAAAGTTGCGATCGCTGTTAATTTAATTTTGAAAGCCGAGTACTACATACACACCAGTGATCTTAAATATTGAAAATATAAATCTCGTCTTGAGAAGTCTCTTTTATCTTAACTGTAACTTAACTTAAAGTTTGACAGTTTGCTACTGACATTAGGTGGTTGATCTCTGACTTTCGGATGTTTTATGATTAGCTAAATCTTAAAGTTTCCGAATGTGGAGTACCTTGAAGTATTAGTATTAACAAAACAGTCGCTTCTACTCAATTTGGACCTTTAATACCTACATCACAATGTAAATAATCTAGTTAGGACTAGTTAAAACCAGATTGTTATTTCACTGCCAAGGTTTAATTTCTATGAAAAGACTGATAGATATATGATTGTGTGCCAACTTAATCATTTTTGTTCCATAACGTGATAACGCCTACACATTTTCGTGGAGAATATTTATATGTAGGCATAGGTACATGTCTGTATTAAAAGAACTTATAAAAAAACCTTAAACCACAATTTCACAGTACAATTTTAGTCTCTTCGAATCTCGCAATTTGTGTTTCTTGACGAATGATTTTTGGGCTATTATAGGTACTATACGAACTATTTACGTATCTTTTATTTAAAACAATTTGAGCCTTAGATGTGAGTGCTGTATGTATGGCTTTCTGGTTCTGTTTAGCATTTTGTTATTAAATGTTTAGGTAATATAATATTATTACAAAAATATGATTTAATTTTATGTGGCGCTACCATAAGCAACACCAATAATAAAGTTGCTACGTCTTAATGTTTTGAGGGTGTTATTTAATGCACAGAGCAACTAAGGGTCCGGAATCGTAATCTTTGCCCTTGTCCCATATTTACAGCGACGGCGCACTGAGCTTTTCACCATTCTTCCCGTCTCTTCTATCTTTCATTCATGAATAATGATGCGATACCTTTAATTGGCACGTTTAGCCCAACACCTACGCATATTATATTTTCAATTTCCACTCAATGTAAACACATATAGGCATAGTAAAATCAATTTGTTTTTCGTTGGCCTTAATATAACATGCTATGCTGTGACGAATGTAAAAATCTGTAAAAAAAAATTGTGCTGAAGATTATAGTTTACTTATGTAATTAAGATACAACACAAGTTACTCCTAAATGTAATGGAACTGTCGCAAAACAAATCATCGATTACTTACAAAATTAAGAAGACATATTATATTAGGTAAACATACCAACGTTTATTTCTTTTATACGCAAGAACATCTAAGTCGGAGTTCGATCTTGATCAAGTCAAAGTCAAAGTCAATATCACCTAGACACACTGACCATTTAGCGTCAAAGGGGAATAAATATAAAAAGATGGACAAAAGAAACTGCTGGTTAAAAAATCCCTACGATTTGATTTTAATAAATCGAGATTTTATTTACACACAAAAGCATCGAAATGAAAAACACAATATAATTACAATTAAAATTTATTTCCTGTCAAAGTACAACCTGTATTACATAAAATAATAACAGACAGCAAAATATAAGATCCACATACTCTCAACTCACGTACTCAACACGAGGTAAAAAGCTTACATTGTGATATTGAGATAAGTTGTAGAAATATAGAAGGGAGACAAAATCTACATCTTTATTATTTACTTTATATTTCATACAATTGATAAACGTATTATACTTAATAACAGTACATAATACTGTGAAGTTGTCGGTACAGTCAGCAATAGAATTCGATTCTTTCAGTATTGACCTCGAGTACTGTAGTTCTGTTGTTAACTGTACCTAAGACATCATTCGAAGTTTTGTAATATACTTATATGAACATATACAATTAATATATTAAACAGTACATTAAATATATTTATATAACCAACTTCGTAAACCAAAAAGTAATCTTAATTTTGCTATTAACCAACCAAAAAAGTCAATGTAAGCTTTTTATTAACAAACCACTTACACTAAGCTTTTATATTCGTTTAAGGAAATAACTAACATACAATATTTGTGCTAATCCTAAGACTTATCTAATAGAAATTAATCACTGAACATTTTTACTAATTAAACATGATTGTAAAGAAAAAAAATATAAATTGTCATTTTTGATGGTCCCATCAATTTAAGATCGCGTAACTTTAACGCTAGAAGCGAGCTAAAATTGACAGAACCATACATTCAACATCAATATATTAGCAAAAAAATCTTTTATTGCACTAAAATCAGAAATATTTGGACGTTTTACTAGAAAAGTAATTATATTTTTGGTGCATAGTGTTTTACCACATTTTGTTTATATACATTTGCATACAACGGTGCATGTTCTTGACATCATTTAATACTTGTCGAAAGTTTAGCAATTAGAATCATTATGACATAGTAGAATCATATATATATATATATATATATATTATGACAGAGTAGGACAAACACTTGTTGTTTACTTTATGGAAGGTAAAAATACAACAAACAAATTATGTCAATTTATAGACAATATTGGTGACAATTTTATTTGTTCCATTGAACTCATAAAAATGTATCTATAATCTCTCTGCAACTTATAACAATATGAAAAGAAAAAATGCAACCCAGACACATACTTGTTTTGGAAAGTTAGACAACATTGTGATGTATGTAGAAGACATTTAAGATTAAGTTTTCAAAATTTTGTTTTCACAACATACGACTTTTATAATTACTCAGCGCGCGAAATTATCTCGATGACAGTTAACTAACGTACAAAACTAGCCCATTTAAATATATACAAATAAAGTCATAGTAAAAATATGTACATATTCAAATGTCCTTGCGAATCCAAACGAAACAAGGCGCAAATATAAAAAAAAAATGTTAAAGATAATAATATGACACATATTTTTTCTGTATATCGAAGAAGGCGCAGTTTTGACCTCAAATAATTGACATTCATATATAAGAAGGAGCACTTCCTTTTGAAAAACAATTTGTTTTGAAAAAAAAATAAATTGTTTTGAAAATCCTTTAAATGAATTGTATTAAAAAACATTAATTAATTATAATGCATATACTGAACCGATAATATTTGAGGTCAGTCTGATGTTATCTTGCATCCTTTTCACGCGATCACGCAACCACACGTCAGAAGTGAGTGCGAGTGGGATAGATATATTTTCACCTTAATAGAAGAAAAGCAGTCGCTCTTGAGCCGTGCCAGAGAGTAGACGCCAGCCACGTTTGATATTCAAGTATTGTATAATTGCACGGACGCAGATGAGAATTCCTAAGAAATAGAATATATGTCAATTTTACTCTTATTATATTAAGAAGAGAAATGTTTACAAATAACATAAGGCAGCTTTGAAATTACAACAGTCTACCCTTACTTTATCACATCTTTCAGGTATAGGGCTAGGTGAAGAAACATTATAGGCCAGTCTGTAGCCATATAAAAGCTAAACAAGTTGAGTTGTCGACCTACTAAGTAGACAACTGAACTTACTTTGAATATTTTGGAAAAAAAGACAGACTAAAACAAAAGCGCGATAACTTTACTTTTTTTTTATTTCAAGGTTCGTGACCCGGACGGAATTTCGATATTCCTATCACCCATTCAATATCCAGATTTCCAGACGAAGTCCAACATGTTTCAGAAAAGCTATAAATTGATTGGAAAAATGTTGGACCTGATGGTGATAGACCCACAAGCCGTTGAATATTAGCCATACATTGCTACAATTACATCAATGGGCCAGTCAGAAACATCTTATATACCATCTTAGGATTCTATTCTAAGTTTACGTACCAAAAGCCATAATCAGCCACCAAAGCCAGGAGTTCTCGTGGGACGCGAGCTCAGTGGAATGCTTCACGATAAGTGTCCACTTGGCGAGGGACAGGCCAAAGCCGGCCAAGGCACCGTAGCGACTGGCCACCGTATGACAGAAGCACATGAGCAGCAAGAAGCCGATCCAGTTGAAGAGAAAAGCCACTGAAAGTATATTAAATGGATATGAGGTAATTATTGAAAGTAATAGAAAGTTTTATCGATAAAAGTATTTGCATCTTTCTTTTTTATAATAGAGGAGAACACCCGGTCATATAACATTAAAACAAGACGCGCTGTCGACCAAGTAGTTTTGGATGATCGAAAATATGCGATTTTAGGAAGCTTCATATTTAAATTTTCGTTTGACAGTAAGCCGTTTTGGGTTGAAATAGTAATAAGCATATAATTTACAGTCTGGGACACAGTTATATCCGAAGTTTCTACGACCAGTTAAAAGCAAGTAATTTCCTCGGAATGCCTACACAAAAACTTAAAACAAGCAAAGAATGTGACTACTGCAAATACTATCTTCAGAGTTCTGTATTATAAATAATCCATTAAATTTGTGACATGACAGTTTCAGACAACGACTTTCGTTATAAATATAATACTTGTTGCGTTATTTTAATAATAAAAAGATACGGTATATTATCAATTACATGCTTGCGACTGTGTACGATATTATACAAGAACAAGAAGTCGTAAAAGTGACTCGTACAGTTTGTGATTTAAATATAGTATTACCAAATACATACGAATTACGAATATAGCAACATACATTTTTAAGATCATTTATTCATTATAATAAAACAGTTTTAACACGGAATATATTCGTTAATAATTATAATTAAAAAAAAACTATAATTTGACATATCGGATGCTTTACAGAAGCTAACTTTATAATTCGGAATTTAAGTCGTTGAAAATATTTTGTGAATAGAAATTACTTCATTTAGAATTGATTACAGGCAAGCTGTTTACGCACATAAGTTATATTAATACAAAAGTATAGATTATGTACCTATTAATTTAAAAATGCATATTAATTGTTGGAGCATTAGTAAATGAAACAATATAGTATAAATATAGATGAATTACTTCAAAGAATTCAGTAATATTTAATCGCAATACTGTATAAAGGTCCCTTAAGCTTCTCTTGGGCGTAGTGAGAACCAATTTCCGCATTAAATCAGATAAGTAGAAAGTAGATACGGAAAGGTCAGCATTATTCCGAACGCATTTCTCTTAATGAAAATGCTAAGCTAACATCGATCGGTCATAAGCTATGTTCGAGGTCAAAGGTCATGAAGATATTTCAACTTCCAAGAATGTTATCTGAAATCATTTTCGATCCAATTTGTTCAAGTAGTATTTCTTTAAACGCTGTAGATAAATAACTAATTGTTTAAGAAAGTGACTTTCCATTTTCCCCCGTGGGTCATGGTGCAAACACATTTCTGTGTCCGTTTCACTGATCGGCTCTTTTAAAGGCTAGTAGTTGATCAGACTTCTGTGCCCTGCACGACCCAAACGATATATTATTTAAATAAAACACTTTAACGGTTTAAAACGCGATATTTTAGTTAAACGACGTTTCGGATGCTTTGCAGCAGCCGTGGTCGGGCCGAAGTTAAAAATCATTTTCAAATAAGTTTAACTAATATATCGCGTTTTAAACCGTTAAAGTGTTTTATTTAAATGTGTACTACTCGCGTAAACTGTAGACTACAGTATTTAATCTATTATTTACTCGGGATTCAAACCCATGACCTCTCGCGCTTGACGCAGTACTAGGCAACACGTTTACCCATTTAGCTACAGAGCCATTGTCTTTTAACACATTACTAATAATTATAATAAAAGTATATTTTGAAAGTTGACTATTATATAATTATAAGTCGTTTAGAACGATTGGTCTTTAAAAAATCTGCAGTATAGATTTTCCTTAGAAGTTCTTCAAATAATTTGACAGTTCCGTAAAAACGACATGTGTGTCTGCCTACGAGTAGTTATCTTCAAATTTTAAGGCTATTTAGCGTTAATAAACGAACGTGTCGCGGAACAAGTGTTTTATGTAAACATAGTACAATTTTATATTAATTGAAACAGCTTACAATGTCACAATCTTCCTTACCTTACACGATATTTAAAAATATACTTACCAAGGAAGGAAGTTAGGAACATAATGTCAGTGCCAAGCAGATTATTCTCAGGGTCGAGAGGTTCAGCTGTTGGTTCCCTTGGTTCGACAGTCACGAAAGCTGCAATTGTGGGGTGCGCCGGTGGCAGCTAAGAGATGAGAAATATTACTGAGTTTAAGTAATAAAATTAACCAGAAAATAATTAGCATGACATTAAAAAACATTTGCTGCTAAGCTACTCCATCTGTAATCATTCATTTTAAATTGAATAATATGTATTTATAACTGATTTTAATGACCATTGTAGTTCATACTAAACAACCAATGATTGTGATGCATTTTCATAAAAATAATATTGACAGTAATTATTTAAAGTGACTCATAAAACAGTTTAATAAATTACAAATGTTACGGCTGTTGATCTTTTTAAATTTATGTATACCTAAAAATCTAAATTGTACTTTCATCCTACTATAGACACACAATGTGGACTGATCACCCGGCCTTTATCTTTGCCCTCAAAAATAATAATATATCTTCAAAGTTTTGTGTATAGATTAGACAAAGAAACAAGTTTAAGACCAAGAAATATGTTACATTCTCATTATGCTATCTATAGGTGATCTAAAATCAGGAAGTGATGATAATGAGATTATGCCGCAGTTCTTAACTGTGATAAATCAATATGACTCATGATAAGTGGAATGTCCTTATAAGTAGTGTAAAAGTAAAATAGATTAAGCAATTCTAGGAGGAGAGACAAATAATAACGATGAAATTTTCATCTTTTATACAGGCATCAAAAAATCAGAAGAACAACAATTACCTGAGGTCCTTCACCTTCCAACTGCTTTTCTCGCTGGACCTCTTCATAAGTTGGAAGCTTTGAGTTAGCAGCCACATCATATGGAGGTGGTGCAGAAAAGTCTGGCTGAGGTGGCGGAATGTCCAAGTTATGACCATCTATAGACATAAAAACCTTTAGATGGATATAATAATAATAAAATAAAATATATTAATTATTGCAATTCTTATTTCAATTTTAAGAAATCAATATAAATACATTTTTATCATGTTACCATAATAAATTCAGAACACACTGTTTATATTCTTAATACAGGTGACCCTAATTCAATAGAGGAAGTAAAAATGACATTTGCAAACAAATGTACTTGAATAAAATAATCAATACTAAAAAGTGTTAGAACATACTAGAAACAAGTACACCGAAAGACATTCTATAGTAAATACATAATGTTTATATGCATAGTTTTATCAATTCCTAGAACATAAATATTACGATTTGATAAGGTTTCCCTTACTGATATCAATGTAAGTTGGTGGCAGATGATTGGATTCAATTGCAGATGGAAGCATAACCCGAAGATGGGTCGTGGGACACATATTTTCAATACGTGTTTGACTCTGCAATACAATCATATGTTAATTTCATTGTACTAAGCGATTATACAAACAAACATTTACGTAAAACATAACACTACATACCATTTTACAAATTCTATTATTATTCCTATCTCGTAATTATAACTGCGAGATTTCAAGGAAAACACAGCACATTATTCAGGAACGAATATTAAAATACGGTACAATCACACCATTACAAATTCAACAATTTTTGCGAAATATCGATCCAAATCTATTCGTATTCGCTGTTTGGTATTCCCAAGTTGCGTTTTGCAAAATGTCACCTTCAGCTTGACAATTTGTTGACTGATATTTTAGTTGTTATATTTTGACAGTGATAACTGCGATTATAATATTGTAACGACAGTTGACATTACTATTAAGGGCTTAGTTGAGTGAGAGGTGCCGCAGGGCTTTTTAAATTGATTTAATAAATTATATTCTTAAAGCTTTATCTAAAATAATTACAGTGGAAATCATCAGAAATGAAAACCGCTTTAATGGTGGCTGAAAAGCCGTCGTTGGCGCAGAGTCTTGCTAATATATTGAGTAATGGCAAGTGTACTACAAATAAAGGTTTGTTTTAAAATATTTTGGTGTTTTTATAAATTTATTACTATTCTGACAATGAAAATGCCTGTTTATTTTACAGGTTCCAACTCCGCATGTTCCGTCCACGAATGGACCGGAACCTTCAAAAACGAGGCGGTGAAATTTAAGATGACATCAGTGTGTGGACATGTTATGAGTTTGGATTTTACCGGCAAATTTAATAACTGGGATAAAGTTGATCCCATTGAACTATTTAGCTGTCCCACAGAGAAAAAGGAAGCTATGCCGAGGCTTCGTATGCCAGCTTTTTTAGCACAAGAGGCTAGAGCTTGTGACTTTCTTATTCTTTGGTTGGATTGTGATAAAGAAGGCGAAAACATTTGTTTTGAGGTACCCACAAATTTTTCTCTTTCTACAAATGATTGCACATGTCTGCTATGTCTGTAACTATAATATACTATATGTAGTTCTGACAAAACAAAATTCGGTACACCTGTCAAGTCTTGTGATATATCTATCTATTACATCTTTTATCACATCTTTTTGGCAGAGATGGTTCAAGCTTACTCCCACTACACTCTTTTTGGAATTATTTTATGCATAAGCTCTTATTTTGAAGTCATTTTGCACCCAATCTTACCTTGGACTTGGTCTTCTGATCTGCTGCTATGCCAATACACTGATATGTAATGCTATGTATATGTATATAAGTATAATAGTTAATTTGGCCAACAATTAACTTCTATCTAGAAGATATTAAATGACATTGGTATTTCAGGTAATGAATTGTGTTGGTCCATACATGAAAGGTGATATTTACTCACCGTTAGTGACATACCGTGCAAAGTTCTCTGCTATCACGGATAAAGATATTAAAGCAGCTATGTTGAATTTGGTCAGACCAAATGAAAATGAATCTCGGAGTGTTGATGCTCGCCAAGAACTGGACCTGAGGATTGGATGTGCTTTTACCAGGTTTCAGACAAAATATTTTCAAGGTTAGTTTATTTTTACTAACTAATTTTTTATTAATTTAATGTACTTAATATAGTAACAATTTTCAGATATCTCTCAAACTATAAGGTTTGAAATTAAAAATGAATGTGAATTCAATTTGTGGAGCGGTTTTGAAATAATTAATAAGTAGTTTTGTTTAAATGGCTACAAAAGACCTTTTGGAATGTATATCCCCAACTCTTTATGGTTTTACTCTTCTATTAAAAGAAAACAGTTATAGGTACATACATTTTATGTAATATGTGTGGCTGCAGGTAGATATGGAGATTTAGACTCGTCACTTATTTCCTATGGACCCTGCCAGACTCCAACATTAGGCTTTTGTGTACAACGTCACGATGACATTCAGACATTCAAGCCAGAATCTTACTGGGTGTTGCGTGTGACAACATCCACAACTGAGGGTAGGGAACTGCCCTTGGAATGGAAACGGATCAGGGTATTTGAAAAGGACATAGCTAATATGTTTCTTGCCAGTATTAAGGAGATAAAAGAGGCTGTGTAAGATTTTATACGTTTTATTTGAGATTATATTACATTTCAATAAACTTTCATTAATTTTGTTCAACAGAATAAGATATTTTTTTCTATTCTAAATGAATAATGATTGACTATGGATTAACTTGTGATGGTATTGTTTCAGGGTTGTTAATATTCAAGCAAAGGAGAAAGTTAAAGCTCGACCAGTAGCATTAAACACAGTGGAACTAATGAGAGTTGCCAGTGCAGGACTTGGTATTGGACCTCATAGTGCTATGCAGGTAATTTAAATAATTATACAATTTTGCTATTATTTCCCTGAACTCTTCCTATATAAAAAAAAGCAGTTTTGCTACTTAAAGAAGCTTTAATAACATTGCTTTGTGAAAAACAGAAAGAGCTTTTTGCTGTTATGTTACTTTATTTTGAATATTTTAAAGGAAGAATAATATTTCTATACAGATTTTCATTTAATTTTAGACTAATTTTTGTTTGAGTTTGTTGATGTCAACAATAAACCTTTAAATATAATAACTGTATTTATCAACATAGACTAAAATTTTGCTATTGTTTTAGGTAGCAGAACGCCTGTATACCCAAGGATACATCTCCTATCCACGTACTGAAACAACTAGTTATCCTGAAAATTTTGATCTTGTGTAAGTGGTATTTTTTACCTATTCTCAAACTCTATTGTACTGTATTATCCACTTGCCAACCTTCATTTACATTATAAAATATTTAAAGAAAAATCAATTGAAAAAATAATAACATAAAACTCTGTTTCTTATATATTTTAGACTGACTATCGATAGTACTTTTTTTGTTTGTAGACTATATAAAATTATGCGAAAACTAAAAGATTTACAACAAGTAATTAAGTTAATGCAATATATATTTTCAGGGGTACCCTTCGCCAACAGCAGAACTCGAATAAGTGGGGCGCTGAAGTGCGTGCCTTGATAGCCAATGGCATCAACAAGCCTAAAAAGGGCAAAGACGTGGGTGACCATCCCCCCATCACTCCTATGAAGCCAGCATGTATGTACTACAATAAAATAATACTCAATTGTAAATGTAACAAATAAAATTTGAAAATAAAAAGTCACCAAAATAGTTTTTGCCAATCTCGCCACACCGAGCTTGCGCAGGTCCTTCACGATATGTTTGACACGTAAAAAAGCAATGAAGTTTGATCGAGTTTCGGCTCCGGTCCGTGGATTTCCGAATCTTTATAGGCAAAATAGTTCGCCAGTGCATCTTGTTAAGATGTTATATGACAACTTACATCAATTTGCTTAACTCCCCTCTTCCATCATAGAAACAGTTTGGTACTTCAGTCTGTACACAATACAATTTAATTTATAGCGGACTCCGAACTAGACGGCGATATGTGGCGTATTTACGACTACGTCACGCGACACTTCATAGCAACACTTTCACGCGATTGTCGCTACCTCTCCACCGTTATTACCTTCCAATTGGGCACGGAGACCTTTTCATATACTGGCAACACTCTAGTCGACCCTGGTTATACGGAGATTATGCATTGGCAGGTAATTATTAAATACTTTCTGTACGAGTGTTACACATTTAAATAAAACAGTAACGGTTTAAAACGCGAAATATTTAAAAAACCCCGTGACATGACGGGTGCTGCAAACCATCCAATATGTCGGGCCGTAGTATTTTTATCTAATAGGTTTAACTAATACATTTCGCGTTTTAAACCGTTACTGTTTTATTTAAACAGGTAATTATTATCATCATTTGTATGGCCTTTTAGATACATTTTAATTTAGGTAAATAATAGTAAAAAATAGTATTTCAGTACATAAAGTATCCACACTTTACTATATACTGTTGTATCTTTTTGGCAGGCGTTCGGGAAAGACGAATTCGTGCCTACGTTGAACGTGGGCGATGAATTGCGTGCGCATGATCATCGACTTGTCGAGTGTCAGACATCCCCGCCTGATTATCTTACAGAGGCTGAGGTGAGTATCTTGATATAGTTTATTTGTAGTCAGATTAGAGTTATTATGTATAGTAGTTCAGTAGAGTAACTTATTACTTTTAAACTAGTAGTTAAAGAATATAAAGCAATTTATTAGAATTTACATAAAACAATTTCAAATTTTTATTATTTTTTAATTACGACCGTCTAAGTATTGTAAATGTTAAACCTGTTGCCTAGAATTACTTTAAGCTCGAGAAGTCTTGGGTTTAAAACCCGGGAAAACAATAGACTGTTTTGGTCAGGTGGGACACAATCGGTGCAACAACATACATAGATTTTTTTGTCCCAAACGGACAGTCTAAAGTAATACATTTCGCGTTTTAAACCGTTATAAGTGTTTTATTGAAATGTGTACTACTCCCGTAAATTACAGACAGTTATTAACTAGTACGGGTAATTTTTTTTGTCTTTAGCTGATCACACTTATGGAGAAGCACGGTATTGGAACAGATGCTTCTATTCCCGTTCATATTAACAATATATGCCAACGCAATTACGTTAATGTCGGCAGTGGACGAAGATTGGTACCCACCAGCTTGGGAGTGGTTCTGGTACATGGATACCAAAAGGTTGGTCCTATAAATCGAAATGTTTTTTAATTGTGTAGCTCATTTGGTTAGAGCAGTAATACGAAACGCTGTGGTTCAAGTCCCGCCCTTCTCGTCAAATCTAAAAAGAGATTTATTTTATCTCATTTTGGGATAATTTAATTTATGAGAAACATTTTTAGTTTAAATAGTAGGTGATATTTTAAAAAAATAACCTAATAAAAGTTATTATAATTTACTAGCTGCACCGCTTATTTATTTATGGCGACATACCTTCGCAAACATTTTCCTTAGCCTTATAAATTATACCCTCGACGTCGTCCACGGTTGCATATAGACATATCTCAGACATTTTTTAAATCATTCTCCATCCATTGTATTTTATATGGTATCGTTTTGAAATGTGTCACCGTTACATTGGTTTTTTTACATCTGTAATGGCGCGATAAGTATGAAAATAATAAAACAAATAAAACGTTATTTAAATGTGTATAAAAAATATTTCTGATCCAATGCAGTCATGTTTTGTTTATTCATTTAAATATCTACGTTTATAGATCGACCCGCAACTGGTGTTACCAACAATGCGTTCTGCAGTAGAGGAACAGCTAAACCTCATCGCTGTGGGCCGTGCCGATTTTCACGCTGTTCTATCGCATACAACTGAGATATTCCGCAGAAAGTTTCAGTACTTTGTGCGTAGCATGGAAGCTATGGATCAGCTGTTTGAAGTGAGCTTTTCGTCGTTGAAGACCAGTGGAAAAGCGTTGTCTAGATGCGGCAAGTGTCGCCGTTATATGAGATATATTCAGGTATGTAAGCTCTTATGGATTAAATGCAGTTGTAGCCTAGCTAAGGCTTTAAATACACGATCATAGCAGCTTAGCACCAAATGAGATATACACAGGGTACCGTCAACTTTATCACTTTAATTATATCTGTGCATTATCTAAATTATTTACCTAATGTTTTTTGTTTATAAGAAATCGAGTTCTTACCTCTGTATTACTCGCCCAATTTTATTGTTTTTTTTTTAGTATCCTCGAAACCCATTTTATTTAAATTATTGTGTTATGTCTAACGACATCATATATATCTTTCACAAACACTGATAAAGAAATTTAGACCATAAGATTAATATTTGTGTTGTTATTGTAAAAATACGTAAAAGATACGTAAATAATATATTTTAAGTGATATTTTATTATCATTGTTAGACCAATAATCTTAGTTTTATGTTTTTAGGCCAAACCTATTCGTCTACATTGCTCGCACTGCGACGACACTTACACGCTCCCGCCGAACGGAAGCGTCCGCATTTACCGCGAACTCAAGTGCCCGTTGGACGACTTTGAGCTGTTGTCTTGGTCTTCTGGGTCTAAAGGGAAAAGCTTCCCGCTTTGCCCTTACTGTTACAATCATCCACCTTTCAGGTAACATTAGATATGATACGATTTAAAGAAAAAATGTATTGAAATCCTAATTATTGTGACTAAAAACGTTAAGGCGTGTTAACTGAGTACTTATAATTAAAAACATAAATAAGAGTTTATTGTCATAGTCTTGATTTGTATTTTTTTCTTCATTCTAACAACATTGTGACAAGACCACAAAACTGAAGTAATAGACATTCCTACTTACTAAATTGAATGGATCTTTCTATGAAGTAATAATATAAATGTAAGTGAGTGGAATATGTAACCAAATTGAATCTCAAAGAACATTTTCACAAAATGAACATGTTTCTGCAAAAAAGTCCTTAAATTTTCGTTCAATCGAATAATTTATATGTAATCTATATAATATTATTTTTACTTTTAAAAATAAAATTACAATAAAAATGTCTTTTCGTGTAACGTACATGACAAGACATTAATTTCTGAAATGATTATTATTTCTTATATTATAGCTAGTAATGATCTCTGGTTTTCAGGGACATGAAAAAGGGTTTCGGCTGCAACTCTTGCACGCATCCGACTTGCGCTTACGGTGTCAACTCAACGGGCGTGTCCGGTTGTATCGACTGCGACGGTGTCCTTGTTCTAGACCCCTCCTCTCCAAGGTGGAAGCTTACTTGTAATCGGTATGTAATTTTACTAAACCACTTATAAAATGGCTTATATACAAATGTTTTGTACTATTTTCAAAATAAAACCTATGCATGAGAAATCGTATTTGTTGCTTTAAAAAATCTCTTCCTACGAACAGTACCCTTTGATATAGCGAGCTAGCAATAGCTCCTATAATTAGATCTCTTTAATATATACATCGCTAAATTAATATTAATGTCCATTTTATTATTGTACATATCGTAATTTAAAAATATGTAGATATATACTGTTTATGCGTATTGTCGATTTTGTATAGTTGTCGTTCTTCTTCACATGTCTTGTTTTATTTTTATACTATTTAATTGTTTACAGTTACTTTTTCTTAATCTAAATGTGAAAACTTGTAATTGGTCCTCTATGTTTTTAGCTGTAAATATTCTGAAAATTTGTTATATTTAAATGTATATTTTCCTTAGAAATGAAAATAAATAAAATACATTATGTACGTGAAAGGATTCTGAACTAATTTTGATTTTTTAACTTGCTATAACAAAAATGAAGGTAGTTATCAATTTTATCGGCGTATTCGTTTTGTAAAAATAGTATAATATAAAATATCACGCTTTTAGATGTGACGTCATCATAAACGTATTCGATGACGCGTCACGCGTGTCCGTCAGCGACCAGCAGTGCACGGATTGCGGCGCACAACAAGTGACGGTCGAGTACCGGCCTGAAAGGACCAAATTGCCGGCTGCGCTTACCGAGATGACGGCCTGCCTCTACTGCGAGCCGACATTTACAACTCTGGTTAGAATACAGAATCTTACTAACTTACTTACTTAGTTAGTTAACAATTATTAAGTACATTTTTCATAACTACCTTATAAATACATATATAAGAATGTTAAATGACGTCTTCACCAAGTAACTAAGCGCGTTGCAAGCGTTAAGCAACCATAGTTTCGAACCATTGAGATCACAAAAATCGGATACACCACTTGAAAATACAGTTATTTAGGTCAGGCAGCCACTAGGGGAAATGGGATTTCACTTTTTATGTATTTTTTAATTATTGGAAGATCAGAAGTTATTTTGTGTAAGTGTGCCCAATGAGCTATTGGACTGATTTTTAAAATGTATTTTATAATATTTGGTAGATGTTAAAAGCCATAACATATAAAATTAAAAATCCGACAGTGAAATGCTCATTTTGTGAAATAACGCTGCAATGACGCTAAGACGTCATGACCTTATATGGTCCATTGGTGTATGTCGGTACATTTACATTTTTACAGTAATTGAAGAAATAAAATGAGTTACAGATTTATCTAAATGTTAATGCAGAGAATAGAACTGTTTTAACAAACTTTTTTCATTTGCGGATATTTAATTAAATCAATTATTATTTTTAACATTATAATATGTAACTACTACTACTAGAGTACTAATTAATATTACTACCTTGCAGGTTGAAAAGCATCGTGCAGTAACACAACGCGGCGGCGCCGCCCGAGGGCGCGGCGGACGTCAAAGGAACAATAGGCACCGGAACAAACAACCGAAAGACAAAATGGCCCAACTCGCTGCGTACTTTGTATAGTTTGGTATCGATTGGTTTACGTTCGGTACGTTACCAGCTATTTTAACCAAAATGATAATTTAATTAATATGTTTTTGCAATGTAATGTAATAAAAAGAAATAAAATTGTCACTGTTAAATTTTGATCAGGTTAGATTAAAACTTATAAATAAAATAAACCGCGTAAATTTACGTTTGAGTTTTCTGTCAATTTCCGAACGGCCAAAGCCAAAAATAAGTCGATAGCACATCTTGTTAAGATCTTATATTGCTGGGGTATGTCAACTTCCTTCAAGTAAACCATGTGCTTGTCTGACCTCTGTCTTAACTTGCTAAATATATAGAAATATATCGTAATATTACACAGCGTTTTTCTGTGTTCTCTCTCATTTAGAGTAATTTTATGTTACATAGATGTAAGGCTATTTATAATACTTAGTGTATCTTTTAATATATGCTTTAAAAATATTTGTGTTTCCAATGCCTTTTCATTGTTTATAAAGATTTACAAATGTTGAAGAAATTTATTATTTTTTAGAGTGGCATTAATTTTTGATTGGGCTAAAAAAAAGTAAAACTTAACAAATAATTTTAAGTCTTCATTTTATTGTGAATGTTGTCACCTAATATTATACAGATACAGTATAAGCTTACAAGTATTACTGTTTTCAAACGAAATCTCGTTTCGTAAATATCGAACAATATCTATTGTATAATGAAACTAATGGGCTATAAGTTACACTGTGAGGACATGTTTATATTTAAAATTTCAAACTGTGCACAAACATGGATCGATTTAAAGTAACATATCACAATATTTTCGATATAATGTAATTTCTATGAAGATAAGGATGGCGGTAAGTTGTGTTAGTCTATTTAACTAAATTATCTATCTATCTTATTCCTTTTAATAAAGAGACGAAAATGCTATTAGTCAACCGGTGAAAATAATTTCAGCATACATGTTACAGTATTTTCAATTCTAATATCATATAAATAAAGACTAGAAATGTTATTTTTATGCACAAATTCATTCTATATATTCTTTTCATTATTTCTAGACTTCGATACTATAATGCAGTAAAAATAATTAGGTATATTATTTGAGATATTCGTGCCAATATTAACAATATATTTATCACAGACAAGCCAATATGAAATGATTAGCAATAGAATATTATAACGTCTCACTGCTATTATCGAGTTTGAAAGTGATTTTCTAACACGGTGGATATCAGTCATGTACACCGCATTTGTTGGAGCAGTATTAAATATCAGGCATATATAGACCTCATAAGTTATAAAAAACTCGATAATAATAGAAGTGCTAAACTATATTTACAAATGTTTGTAGCGTACGGAAAAATAATCTCACAATACTCTTACCCTTTTCCAATAATATTAAGTTTAATGACTAGTAGGAATAATATCTAATTTTTCTTAATAAGTAAGGCTGATGTTGGTCTAGTATAGACAAAGTTTCCTTGAAGTTAATTAATTCACATTTTTAGTAATTATACATTAAAATTATTTTTGTAGTCCCAAAACACAATCGATACGAACCCGTTAGGTATAAATACGCCCCTGTTAGATTTCATAGGTCACGAAAGGTTCGTTTTCTATCTTCTCGGGATTTGAAAATTGGTTACCGTTAGTGGAAAAGAGTAAATTTTACATTACGTAACATATACAAGTTCGTTATTTTTGAAAAGAAAATATATATGCGCTTTGGTCACATGGAGAAAAGGATTAATTACCTAATTTAATAACTACGTGCGATTTAAACTATTTTTTATGTAGTATGAAACTTCACCCTGTATGAAATGTTATAAAAATAAGAATAAATTTTAATTAGCCATGCGATATGCGTCGATTAAAAATATTGAAAGTCTAAATCGAAAATAGCAACCGAGTTATAAATATGTTCGTTATAAACTATCTTATATGCATGGAATAGGAAATTAATTATTAGTATCAAAATGTTTTATCATAGTAAAATCGTTTAGGTGACGACTGAAAACTGCTGGACATATATTAAAGTATTGAGTAATGTTGTGCTTTCAACTTGTTCTATCTTCTACAGTATTGTATTTATTTACTAAATATTTGTCTAATATAAAGAACGGCTGCACATTTAATTATTACTTGAGATTCTTTGTCTGTGGTATACCATATGAACTGGTAATTAGTAATAAATCAAATAAACACGCATTGCCGATTTTTGGTCTTCAAATCAATATATGAATGTTGTTTAAAAGTAAAAATGTTTGTTAAAATAAAAAAAACAAGTAAAAAAAAAACAGTAAATACTTTTTGGTCTGCTAGTATTGTTAGTATTAAATGTACAGCCTTTAATTATTCTAATTATATTAAGTTTAATCTCACTGATTCTGATAATATAATTACATCTATTAGCTGTCTTAGAGCAATATTTACAATGAATTCGCCGTTCATAGATATACCTAACGCTTAAGCATCCGATTTGGTTATATGCTTTTAACGAGATTACATAATATACATAATATGATGTGTTGGAAATCATCTTAAAAGTAATGGAAATAAAATATTTAATTCGTTTTTCCTTACCCGTTATTATTTTGGAAACAATGAGAAAAGGCCTAAGTAAAAATTTATATCAAAATGAATGTTACGATTATACACAGATGGCGCTTTAGACGCAAAGTACACTTAAATAGGTACAATATTGAGTATTTTGTACTTTCAAGTATTATATAACTTTAAAGATTAAATAATGTAAGTCGTATAAAGCAGTTAAATTGATAGATGTCGTTACTGTAATATTTTTAATAATATGATTTCCTAGCATGGTGGATATGGTAATAGGCACTGTTTTTGAAAGGAAGTTATTTAAAACTGCTTAATACGATCGGCATTATTTAAATAGGTGGAGAAAAGTGCCTGCTAAATGCCTACTGCCTACACAATGATTATTATTTGAGTCCTTAATTGTGTGTTGATAATATATAAAATACTATTTTGTACTTTGAAGCTAGATTAGCTAGATAACCCACGTATTATGAGCAGGCACTTGACTCCATCGGAAGTTACGCGGTACGCAGATTACATACTTTGTACAAAAACTTCAACAGCGAGGCCAGCTCATTGATATAATACTGAAAATAATTCACACTTCATCATTTAAATACCATTAATTATAATTGCTTATACCACTGTTCAAAGCTAGATAGAAATTACTATGTCCCAATAGTAATTCGTTTGGATATGTTACAATATCATTTAAATAAATCGTGTTATTGTCATAGAATAATTTAGCACAATAATTGAACAATTCATAAACTTTCAACAGTCGCTTTGAACAACGGTATAAACAACGTCTACATAATAGAACTGCAGGTAAACTTGATACGGTATATTATGATAGATAAGCTATGAGTAGCTTATATTATTTGAGCCTCTGAAGTATATAATATATTATAATTAATTTTCTTCACTATTTAAAGCTCTTAGTTTTCATTTTATGCGAGTCCTATAACTGCATAGAATACCAAAGGCCCTTGAGAGTCCGGCTGCCTCGGGAGAGGGCGAATAAATACAATTGTAGAGATAACAGTTATTTAAGTCTAGAATATTTAAAACAAAAGCTTCGCTTTTGGCTTTCGCGTAAGTCCTTACAAGTCATAGCTCCGAATATCCACAGGAATCCTAAATGCTCACAGAGAGTTCGTAAGAAGGTCACTTGGATGTATTCTTCACTTAACAGTCTAAATAACTTACAGAATGTATCATCCCTAAAGATCACTTAAATAGTCCACACTTGAACTTTTTCAGCGATGACACACCAGCTCGCCTGGTCGTAATACGAAGATACTACGTGAAGGCTCTCCACGTACTTCTCGATTAACTGATCCAGCTCGCCCTTTTTGAATACGTGGTAATATCTATGGTACGTGACCGCTCCGCCTTCTGATGGAAGACTGTCTGAGCCATCGCTTAACGAGGGCAGAAGCGGGGCGTGTGGTAATCGAGTTGGAATCGCAGGCATCGTTGCGGTGTCTTCAGACGAAGATCGCGTCTCCAGAAACTTCCTCTCCTTGGAGCATTCGCTACAAGATGGCAGCGAAGCCAAACTGGCACATCCGAGCGAAGCAGTACTTCCTGTTTTATCCCTACGGCTCCAATCGCTACCTGCTGAAGTATCGCTGGATTCGATAGAGAAACCAGATTTCAGTGGCGCTGTGCTTGTGCTAGAACGAGAGGTCATCGATTCGGGACTTATTTCCATTTTATCTAAGTCACTAGAATCTGTGGATTGTCCCACTTTTAAAGACGACCTTTTGTCTGTGCTCGTACATAGTGAGTCTACGCTTATTTCAGATTCTAATGAATAACCAGTTTCTAACGATTGACTGGTGTCGTACGCCCCAGAGTCAATCGTTATCTCTGGATTACCATTGCTGGATGATATTGCACTATCGTCGTCTGGATTTTTAAAATCTGTCATTTCAGGTAATTTCTCATCCGTCAGTGGCTTTACATTATATTGTATGTTGGCACAATTATTTAAGAATATGTCTTCTTCGCTCGTAACTTTCATAGTTTTTTTGAGCTCCCTGTATTTGTTAATAATCGGGTCGACGTCTTTTGATTTTTTCTTGCTCTTGCTCTTGGTGCTACATTTAGGAAATAATTTATTTATATCCATTTCTTGTGTGTCTTGTAGACAAGTGACATATTTTGTTTTTTCACCGACTTTACCAATGCACGGGGTATCGTTGCCACCTTTAGTTAGGAAAGGATCTTCTAGATGTTGTAAGCTGTCAGAAAGCTCGTCTAATATTTTTTGAGTATTTCTGTCCTCCTCTTCACGTTTCAACCTGAGTGAAATACTTTTCTCACTACTGCTACTGCTTGGGAGATCAAAATCTTCTTCATTTATGCGTTTGGAATATTGATCAATTTCTTGTAATAGTTTCTCACTTAATTTCTCTGCAAACTCCGTTAAATGTTGGTTACGATCCTGATCTACCCAATCTTCGTCTTTAGCGATCATATCTGATTTGCACGTTACTAATGGTTCGTTCGCTTGTATTCTGTTAAAGCTTTCAGATTTCGAAATCGATTTCTCAGAGTCTGTGCTTGACATCGAAATTGAATCATACGGCAACCGCGTGGGACTACGATGGCTCTTGGTATAGTTTTCATCTAGTGATCGCCCTTCCGGTCGGTTTGGCGAAAGCCTGTTTAAGCTCCACGTCGAGTTGTTTGTACTTCCTAGCTTAGGGGATCGATCCTTGGACCGCCTACCAGGTGAAAGCCGTTCTAAACTGGAAGAACTTCCGCTAGAACTGGTGTGCGACGTTGATCTTGATTTATCTTCTAATATTCTGAGATCGCCAGGAGAGAGCTTATTTAAACTCCAATTACTACTACTACTACTGCTCGAAGCACCCTGTACTATAGCCATTGCTTCAGAGCTCTCTATTTTCGTTAGATGTTTTCGTTTTGACCTGGGACTTGATTGAATAACAGTTTCACATGTTTCGTCTAAAGATTGTGCGACCTCGACAACGGCTTCTAAAAGATTTTGTGGGTTGTTTGCGGTGGAAGGTGACTTCTCGTCAACTACAGCTTTATCCTTCTTCACTTGTAATTCTGACGATGACAAATCTGGAATTTAAACGATGAAATTATTATAGCAATACATTATTTACTCGGCATTCTTATCCATCCACTAAGATTAAAAAAAAAATAAAGACTTTATAATTAATGGTATACTTGAGTATTTTTACTGTCTGTCTGTTAATTCAATAAATGATGTCTTTAATATGTAAATAAATAATTACGAGGATAATAAGTTTTATACCATGTTAATTGTACTAAGATAATTAATATCAAACCAACCTTTTTCGATAGCAGTTTTTCGAAGTTCCTCTGGTATGACACTAATTACGCTGTCTACAGAATCTGGGGATGAAACTCCGCTCGAATCGCTATCCATGTCATCGACAGCTGGATTAAATAACTCCAATGACATTAGCTTTGGGTGACTCTTCGCAATCGGTTCAGATTTCCCTGTAGTACGAACGATTGGGAATGGAGGTCTTCTACTAATGCTTATTGATGGTATTCCTTTATTCAGCATATCTTTTATTTGCCTTATCCTCTCTTTTCGCTTTTTATCCGCTAGTCGTGATTCTGATATATCAGCTACCGGAGATTTATTAATTTCTTTAGGTTTGTACTGTGGTATTTCTGGCAACTCGGCTACAGTTTGCAGTGTTATTTTCGGATACGGTTTAGTGTCTTGCAAAATTCGTGGTTCTAAGTCATTCGTTTCTAAAGTGAGTTTATGAATTTCCTCGATGTCCTTGTTGATTTCGGCAATAAGTTCTTGTGTTACTTCAGATGGATTTTCGTCCTCTTCTTTAATAGGCGGTATTAGGTCAACCTCTTCATAAATTTCCGGCACTGAAATAGGCATAATTTTATTCATCACCGGCAAAGCTTCGATAGGTGCCTTTAAAATTTTCTCTTCTTCTTCAGGCTTTGGTGGGGAATTTGGTTGACTTTTTGATTGCGGCTTCAATGGTATAGGCGGCATATTGTTAGTGGTAGAATAGTTCTTTAGACTGTACTGAGCTACGAGTATTTTATTGAAATTGGCAGCTGCTTGAACTGCGTTAGGAGAAGAAGGCGGCCTAATTAATGGAAAAGCTTGCTTTATTCTTGGAGAAGGTAATCCTGGTGAGTTTTTCATGCGAGGTGAAGTGGGTACTGAGGATACTTTTAAGCGAGGGGACGTTGGACCTGGTGATAAAGGAGTCGGCGATAGAGGATCACCGCTTCCATCCGCTTTAGGCACATAAATAACTGACGCAAAACTATCCTCTGAGTCCACGCTTGTGTCACTTTGTAGACTGCTATCTTTAGAGGAATCTGAACCATCTTCTCTTGAATGTCTTCTCTCGGGACAATTCTTCTCATTGTTGGAATTATTGTCACTAGGTGTGGTTGGAACTTCTGGGGTTGGCCCATGATTCTTCCAACCTTGTAACATCCTTACAAACACTGTAACCTTATCTATATTCGTTGTAGAAGTTTTGAACTTATTCGTAAGACCATTTTTTAAGGACTGAAACTTTTTTGCAGTAGTGGCTGAAGTCGAAAAAATTGAATCCCGTATTGAATCAAAAGCTCCAGGTCTCCTAAATAAATATTCTTCATTAAGTGATGCTTGTTTCTGTATATTCTTTCTCAAGCGCTCTTTTTCCCGTAATCGTTCAACGGACATAAGTTCTTCATTCAGAGACGTCTGTTTGAAAACTCCGGGCTTCTTTGATTGCATCTTGTACGTGTGTACTTTGAAATTAGGCATTTCTTCAACTAAGCTCTTCATGTCAGTCGGTTTGTCGAGGTCCTCCTCAGCATCATCTTCATTGATAGACTTCTTTTGTTTAACGAGTTTTGGTTTCTTACGCTGTTCCGGAGTATCGGTTCGTGGTGGTTGTATTACTGGAGTTTCGTGTTCATCCCCACCAAGACTTGGTAAACTCGATCTTGATCGGACCATCGAATGTCGTTCTACATCAGCTATATCTGTGAGACTCCTGGATTTTAAAGTAGAAGATTCTGAGGGTTGTGCGATTAATCTAGGAGGTAGAACTTCATCTAATCTCCGTAATTCTATTGGAAGATCAGCTGCTGGGGGTTCTGGTTGACCTCGCGGTCCGGGTCTTACGTTAACGCGTGTACCAAGGTGCCAAGATGGCAGGAAAGATCGTCGACCGGCCAGTCGCTGTAATGCTCTTCTTACGAACGAATAGCACGTTTCGTTTGGTGACGATAGGGATGAAGAACCGGGTGAGCCATCGCGACTTTTCCATGGTTCAGCGCTTCTGAAATAATATTTTTTATATTAATATATGACAGTATCATATATTTTACTAGGGTACAAGAATAGTCTCTTTGTTTTAGACTGAATTTCAAAACGTACTAGTAAAAATCTTGGTTCGTAAGGGGGTATTTTAAGAGTTTATAATATATTTTTTTATGACACGGATACTCACTGGTCATGTTCAACAGAAAGAAATCTTGGTGCTGGTGGTGGAGGACACAACGTCACTGGCCTGTGCCATGGTATAAGAACGTCCTGTGGATACAGATGTGATAGTTAAGAAACTTTCTATAAAATAACATTTGAGGTCAACTAAGATATATTTACAAAAAACTGAAAAAAAGCTTGAAAACATTAATATTTTTCACATGTTATTGCACATGAAGGCACTATATAATTTAAAAATCGAAAATAAATTGAAAAAAATTTTCGACTCGGGCAGGACTTGAACCGGCATCGTCAGCTTTCCGTGCTGTTGCTCTACCAATTGAGCTACCGAGTCCTACACCTCATCGTCGAATTTTTTCAACTTATTGATACATGCACCTCTCGCGCAATGTAATTTCTACCTTAACACTTGCGTATTAAGGCTCAATGTCTTATGCTTTGCAGCTTAAGAAATCATTGAAGATGAAATTACAAAGTTATAACGTTTGAAAACATTAATATTTTTCACATGTTATTGCACATGAAGGCACTATATAATTTAAAAATCGAAAATAAATTGAAAAAATTTTCGACTCGGGCAGGACTTGAACCGGCATCGTCAGCTTTCCGTGCTGTTGCTCTACCAATTGAGCTACCGAGTCCTACACCTCATCGTCGAATTTTTTCAACTTATTGATACATGCACCTCTCGCGCAATGTAATTTCTACCTTAACACTTGCGTATTAAGGCTCAATGTCTTATGCTTTGCAGCTTAAGAAATCATTGAAGATGAAATTACAAAGTTATAACGTTTGAAAACATTAATATTTTTCACATGTTATTGCACATGAAGGCACTATATAATTTAAAAATCGAAAATAAATTGAAAAAATTTTCGACTCGGGCAGGACTTGAACCGGCATCGTCAGCTTTCCGTGCTGTTGCTCTACCAATTGAGCTACCGAGTCCTACACCTCATCGTCGAATTTTTTCAACTTATTGATACATGCACCTCTCGCGCAATGTAATTTCTACCTTAACACTTGCGTATTAAGGCTCAATGTCTTATGCTTTGCAGCTTAAGAAATCATTGAAGATGAAATTACAAAGTTATAACGTTTGAAAACATTAATATTTTTCACATGTTATTGCACATGAAGGCACTATATAATTTAAAAATCGAAAATAAATTGAAAAAATTTTCGACTCGGGCAGGACTTGAACCGGCATCGTCAGCTTTCCGTGCTGTTGCTCTAATATTAATGTTTTCAAACGTTATAACTTTGTAATTTCATCTTCAATGATTTCTTAAGCTGCAAAGCATAAGACATTGAGCCTTAATACGCAAGTGTTAAGGTAGAAATTACATTGCGCGAGAGGTGCATGTATCAATAAGTTGAAAAAATTCGACGATGAGGTGTAGGACTCGGTAGCTCAATTGGTAGAGCAACAGCACGGAAAGCTGACGATGCCGGTTCAAGTCCTGCCCGAGTCGAAAATTTTTTCAATTTATTTTCGATTTTTAAATTATATAGTGCCTTCATGTGCAATAACATGTGAAAAAAAAATATTAATGTTTTCAAATGTTATAACTTTGTAATTTCATCTTCAATGATTTCTTAAGCTGCAAAGCATAAGACATTGAGCCTTAATACGCAAGTGTTAAGGTAGAAATTACATTGCGCGAGAGGTGCATGTATCAATAAGTTGAAAAAATTCGACGATGAGGTGTAGGACTCGGTAGCTCAATTGGTAGAGCAACAGCACGGAAAGCTGACGATGCCGGTTCAAGTCCTGCCCGAGTCGAAAATTTTTTCAATTTATTTTCGATTTTTAAATTATATAGTGCCTTCATGTGCAATAACATGTGAAAAATATTAATGTTTTCAAACGTTATAACTTTGTAATTTCATCTTCAATGATTTCTTAAGCTGCAAAGCATAAGACATTGAGCCTTAATACGCAAGTGTTAAGGTAGAAATTACATTGCGCGAGAGGTGCATGTATCAATAAGTTGAAAAAATTCGACGATGAGGTGTAGGACTCGGTAGCTCAATTGGTAGAGCAACAGCACGGAAAGCTGACGATGCCGGTTCAAGTCCTGCCCGAGTCGAAAATTTTTTCAATTTATTTTCGATTTTTAAATGAAAAAAAGCTTATTTAGGGTTACCTCAATATTCTAGAACAGGAGACCAGCAAACCACTTCTTTAAAGTTTACAGAAGGAGATAAAATACAAGTAGCGTTCTATGTATTAATAAATTGGATCTCAATAAATATATAAAAGAAGAGAAATTCAAAATTCACCTGAGAATGGAAATTTCGTCCCTCGTGCTCCATGGCCCAAACAGTGAGGAGGAGTCTTCCACCGATCCTCGTGATCCTTGCAAGCTCTCGCAGAGCCATCGCCCGCCGCTCCACCGTCGCGAAGTGATGGACCACAGCAATCGATAGTACCGCGTCGAATGACTCATCACGGAATGGTAAACTGAGGTTGTCGCAAACGACCACCTGGTAACAACGCCATCTCAGTATATTTAAATAAAAAAATAACAACGTAAAACGCGAAATATATTATATAAACGTATTTCTCTCCCTATGACTACGGCTGCTGCAAAGCATCCGAAACATCGGGCCGTAGTTAAAATAATTCAAATAAGTTACTCGCCTAAACTACATGATGTCATATTTTTATATCAAATTTATTTATTAGCAGTGTATATTTTTAAATTTTTAAATATTACTAGTAAGATTTATAGTAGATTATTATCTATAAGAACGATAACGTATTTTAATCTTAAGTACATCTCTCTCAGATGATTTCTTTTTTGTACAGATTAGTCTTCTGTCTTTGTATAATTTTCCACGTTGTGTCTGTCAATGTCAAAAAAAACTGATTTGAATATTTTTTACCTTACTAAAGTTATTAACGTATATGATGTAAGTAATTGTGATAAAACTTCGACAGTCCTCAAATAAATATAAGTATAAAAAATACCCTCAACTTACCAATTTAAAATTAGACAAAGTCTTTAGATCGATTGATTCAGACAACAGATATCGTATGTACACTATTTCCCTTAAAAAAACCGAGTGTCATAATTACCTCATTATTACTTTGATGCGCTTGCGATGATAGCCTCGAACACCTGTCACCGCCCACCGCGAAGACAGAAGGATTTACGCTCAGGTATTTACCGTTGCCACAACCTGAAAATATAGATTGTTCTATTAAAAATTATCTGCAACTAAAGAGGAATCATTCTTTCATACATATTTTTTGAATATCTTGAACCATTTTTGCAGCGTACGGCAACCCAGAGAGATGAATATTTTCCCCCGTTTTTATTCACATGTATCTTCGCTTGTAATAGTCACAGGGCAATGTTTTATAGCCCATAGCCTTTCTCGATAAATGCTCTAACCAACAAAAATAATTTTTCAATTCGAACTCGTAGTTCCTGAGATAAGTGCGTTCAAACAAACAAACAAACTCTTCAGCTTTATATATTACTATAGATAGATAAGATAATGCAACTAACCAAACAATATTTATAATTGCATGGCCAGGTATTATAATGCATAGCACTGCAGTTTATTGGAATTAATTTTTATCCAGACGGTAATAATATTTGTCTACCTACTAATATGTATTTTTAATGTTTGTCATAAAGTTTTACGCTAAGGAATAATAAAAAATAAACGATTGTGGTTTACTCCTTGTACCGTGGGCGGGAACAGTTGAGAAATGGGAATAACCTTTTAGTAATAGGTACAACGCGATAGAAAATAATAATTCTACATCAATGTTTTTTCATATTATATTTAACGGTATTTTATTCGCAGCGTAGGCGGGTATATATCATTTTGTATATAGTACTTAGTAATTCTTTGTGTTAAAAATGTTTTGAATTGTACTCAAAATAATGAAAATTTTATCGAAAACAATTGACATTTTTACATAAATTGGACATCATAAAAGTAATACGATACTAACTTAGTTGGTCTAATACCCAGGCCCGTTGCATAGCAATAATTGCTAACAAGACGTGGAGTTGATCCCGATCCCCACCTTGTCAAACTTATTTTTACGTTATTCGTATTTTTTCTGAAACATGCTGGACTTAATCTGGAAATCTTCATGTTAAAGGGGTTGCAGGAATATCGAAATCCCGTTCAGGTCGAAACCACCGTTCAGAGATGTCCAAGCCAAAATATAATCTATAGAGTATCTTGTATTGATGTTACATGGCTAAAGGCATCCACCAACCAATACCAATCATAGGTACCAAATGAAACTCTGTCTGTCCTCTATCATAAAAAAATTAAGCTAACGGAAAAAAACTTTAACGTAATATCGGTAAACGATTTGACCTCTATCAATTACCTATTTAACTTATTTACTATGCCTCATTACTTTGGGTACTTTATTTTTCGTGAAATTGCAAACAAAAAGCCCCTCTAGGCCGTATCGTGTTACGGAGCGGTGCCATCGCAGTTACCTCCCACGGTTTGACATTTGCCTCTTGTTATTTCGTTGAAAATTGAAATGCTAATTATCTGTTGTTCTTACATATTTATAGGGACTAGTCGACTTTGAATTGAATCCGTATTTCCGTCTAAATGTATTGAAAACTAACTGTGGCCGCGACTTCGTCCGCGTAGAATCCTTAAGATAAACGTATACATGTTTGTTTCCTTGACGCGCTTATCTCACAATACTGCGATAATCGGAAGGAAGAAACAGTGTTCCCACTGTTTTTGTGGATCAAACGGAGAAAATTATTCACCTTTGAGGGCTTGCGCGGCGTGGGCTGCATAACTATTCAAGAAACTAAAAAATAGTATGAAAGAATTATTCCTCTTTTAATGGTGTAAAAATAATCCGAACACTATATATCTATTTTTTTAAGATGCAAGCAATGCAAGAACGAAATGGACGACGTTTTGTAACAGCTGTAATGTATAAAGCTAGGGATGCTGTTTGCAAAAATAGATAATATGATGTCGCGGGCACAGCTAGACCCTAAGAATGGTCAGTTTAGGAACTATTTAAATTTTAACCAAATCTTCACCCATCTCTACATCTATCTTATGAAAGCAGAGTGGGAGGACAATGATGAATTTACGCCCCCACTCAACCAAACCTATGAGAATTACTTACTACGACATAATGAAGACGGTAAGGTCATAAATGAGGTGATTTTGTTATCTTGATTGATAATTCTTGCAGGAGTACATGTTGTCAATTGGCTGTTTTAGAATGGATAAAGGTATAAATCACGCCTTTCGCTTGAAAGATTTGATAACTTGACTAAATGTCGCCGTAATATTATAGCTTTAACTAATTTATATTTTAATTATTTAGTACAGGAATCACTAACTGTTTTTGCTACATATAACAAAATATAGTATTTAAAGCTTGTAACTTGTAAGCTCTTAAGGTTTTTAAGCGGCTATTTTTATAGCACTATCAGTTTTATTTTGTTATAATGGTAGCTATAGCTGTCAACAGTTAAATTTATCTGTTTCATCAAGTTCGTATAATTCCAAATCCAGGTGCCAGGACTCTTTATAAAACTAAGTCAAAATCGAGTATAAAAGCGAATGGTTCTTACCAGTTATTCTTATTCGTTATACACGCCTTTGGTGTGAGAAATGAAATATCGTTTATTCGTTTATTATATAATTATATGAATTTAGAGAATTTATTGTTTAAAAATATATTTGAAACTAGTACTGTGTTAGCCATATACATTTTTTGTAATTTGTAAGTACATAGTAAAATCCTAATGAATAAATCGCTTTAAGATTGAAAAAAATATACGACACGGGTAGGACTTGACTGGGCATCCGCAGGGTTCCGTGCTGTTGCCTTAACCAATTGAGCTACCGTGTACTACGTCATCGTCGATTTTTTTCAACCTATTCATATTTGCACCTCACGCGCATTGTAATTTCAACGTTAACACATGCGCATTAAGTTCGTAAGAATTCGACGATCATATTTAACACGGAATGGCCGGTTCAAATGCTTTCCGTGTCGTTTTTTTTTATCTATTTTAATGTAAGTATATAGGGCCCGTTATATGCATCAGCATGAATATAAAAGTTTTTATAACATATTTGTTCGTAAAGTGGTTGTAATTACACCAATTTCAATATCGTAATGTATCTCATTACGTACTTGTGCGATAATGTAATGTAAAAGGCACGTGGGTTTTTTTTTAGCAAAGAGGTTTTATGTCAAGAAAGTGGTCAATATTTAACAATAACAATTAATTAAAGATTTATTCGTTTAACTAAGTTTTAGTTAGATAACTTTAGTTTTATTGATTTCCTCGTAAATATGTTATAAAACGTCGTATGACATACGTGCGCTTTGAAAAGTACAGCCTCTGCTTTATTATAGCCCTCGCCGATGGCTCGGGCTAGTAATATCGCTTCGGCTGTAATTTTCAACTTACCGCACTTATATCATAATGTACTATTACTGAACTGTTCATCAACTTACCAACGTCACACACGAGGCTCCCCGGGTCGAGGTCCTGGAGGAAGGACGTGACGGCGGGCGCGGGCGCGCTGGGCGCGTCGTCGTCGCCCGCCTGCTCGTACACCTCGTGCACGTAAGCGCGCTCGAGTGCCGCCCCGCGCGCCGCGCTCTCTCCCGCGCCCACGCCATCCGCCATCACCGCACCGCCATTTTGCTCTAAACATTTTCGTTGTAACATTAACACGTGGTCGTTTACATAAAAAGATGTTGTAATCAACGGGTCGTTGGTTCGATCCCCACCGCGATTTCTTCTGAAACATGTTGGACATCGTCTGGAAATCTAGATATTAAAGTAGGTAGATAGGTATTTCGAAATTCCGTCCGGGTCACGAACCGCCTTCACACAAATCAAAAAGTAAGTTTAATCGGGTTTCGGTTTCAGTCTTTGGATTTCCGAATATCCAAAGCCAAAATAGGCCGACAGCGCATCTTTTGTAAATGTTATATGCTTTTTGTTGACGTAGACATATCTCCATAAAAACAATTGGTGAGATACTCTCACGCGCGTACCAATCTGGCGGACATTAAAAATAGTTGAAAATTTCGCTTACTTCACATTAGGTACTAACAAATACATATATTACTAATTGCAAAATATAATCAGCAGATATGTTTTTTACAAAAATATTGATCTACAATTGTGGCTTGGTATTAACAACAGTAAACAGGTATTTGGATTTAACGATATTATAAGGCTAAAGAGTTTGTTCGTTTGTTTAAACGCGCTTATCTCAGGAAGTATTAGTTTAAATTAAAGGAAGACTAGGCTATAACATCACGTTGCGACCAATAAGAACAAATAAAAATTGGAAAATGTGTAAAGAAACCAAAGAACCTCTGTATGTAATTAAAAAAACGTCTTCAGCTACATATAACTAACTATTAAGATCAACTCGCAAGAAAGACGGGACGCGGACGACGTCGTGGGTAACAGCTAGTATCTAATAAAAGTAGTTTGTACTGTTCAAGGCTATATGTGTATATTATGGCCATATAGTCTCTATTCTGATGGACATTGATGAACGTTCGATTTGAGATTCACTTAAAAGTGACAAAGTCCATGAATGACCATGTAATTATTTAGTATGTATTTATTTTGAACGTGAAAGTTTTTTTTTAAATTAACTAAATTTCATTTACTGTGCATCACTTAGGGTGTTTGTTGCACTGTTAATTTCACTGTATCGCTCTAATTTAAAGACAATTCTAATACAATGTAACCGCTACCGATAAAGTACATTTCGACAAACCAAACCCTAAAATAGAATTGGAAACATGCGCTTAGCCGTGTCGCTAAAATTATTACATTTTACGTTCGATAGTCTATTTCCATGCTACTGTTACCTCATTCATTGAATCGATCGATTTTGTAATAAACCAAATATACCTAGCCTTGTAATTTTAATAGTTACGAGCAAGTCTCTGATAGGTTTAGACCATACAGGCTCAAAACTCGATGGTGGACTTTAAAGATTCCTGCTAGGTGAGACGTGATTATAGACTTAGAAAGGCTCTAAATACCAAAATAGCAACCAACCCCTCCCCCACTCCTGAGCCGGGTCTCAAATCCTGTACTAGACCAACAAGACAAAGACATTCATTTGAATAACTGCACGAAAGCTTATTTTACCAAACGATCCAACGTGTCACTTTTTCTAAACTTAACACTAACGTTGTTTAATAGTCCGTGCTATTTTATTTATTACATAGATTACATAGATATTTTCTAGCTGGTATGGTGATAGTAATGGATCGTAGATTCGATATTATCTAGGTCTTATGTTTTTGTAAAATCTATCGATATATTAAACGGGTAGGAATATTGAAATTCTTTCCGGGTCACAAACCACTGTCCACAGGTAAAGCCGTAAAGTTTAATCACGTTTCGGTTACAATCTATGGTTTTCCGAATATCCAAAGTCAAAATAGGTTGACGTGCACCTTGTTGTTATGTTATACCTATGGCTGGGGTATCTAACCGTCCTTTAAGTAAATGTAAGATGTTATATTCCCTCTTTTAGCAAAACTTAAATTAAATGAACCTCCTGAATGATTCTAAATAACAACAAGAACGTTAAAAGAACATTTTCTTCTAAGCTTATATCTTCTCAAAGATAAGGTTAAGAGGGCCCCTAAGTTCCAGGACTCTGGTGAACCACCTGGCCCTACGATAGCTACGCCACTGTGCTTATCTACCCACTCTGTCATGAAAAAATCCTTTTTCAATTCTTGTAGACTTACAATAGTCATAGTTATAAAGAGTTAAATAGTATTAACGACTTTGCTGTAGTAGTAAGCAGTCTAAAATGTGAGCAGTAAACCTGAAACATAACAGAAAACTGCATGATTTAGAGAAGCAGTTTCCCACCTCGTGAAGGTAATTTAGAATAGTGATTGCAAATATGCACGTTACATTCGGAATCCGCGTGAAATCGCTGCATTTACAGGAAAAAGTTCAATTTCGTGAGGAAACAGTAGTCACGTTGTGCAAGATTTACGAGTCTCGCTGAAACAAGGGTTGCCAGTTGTCGAGATTTAGAGAACTGGAGCTCGAAGTTCATCTAAAGTCAAAACGGTGCCAAATGATGAAGAAACTCAGTCCTAAATTTGTTTAATTGCCAGACAATGATTTGGAAGTCATGGTTTTGTTCTAGTTAAGCAATAAACAGTTAGAAACGTGGGGCCGAAGTTAAAAATCATTTTCAAATAAGTTTAACTAATGTATCGCGTTTTAAACCGTTAAAGTGTTTTATTTAAATCAAAAGTTTTTTTAATTTGACGCAAGAGATAAGTTTTTTTTTCACGACGACGACACTACAATCCTACACCACCGTCACGAAAAAAATAAGGACCTCATTTTTTATGACTTTGAGTAACTTTTGTTTCGTCTTTATTTATGTCTATAATTTTAAGAGCTCAGACCTACCACACTGTTTCAGTGTGGATTTCAACTAATACCACCAAATTCTTGGCGACAACCAGGACCAACGGCTTATCTAATGACACTCCTACTTCCAAACCACGGATCGGTGTTAGATATATCTTAGAGAGATCTCAAATCCCAGATTCGCAGTTACACTTCGCTTGACACAGATTTCGTACCTTCACGCTGGGTACACTTACCAATGAGACTAAGGAGGTACCTTAGTAAGTTTCAGTAATTTGTTCTTCAAAAAAAATGTTTTTCCTATATTTAGTCGTATTTAAAGAAAGTTTAATTTCTTTTAATAAATATGCTTCTCCTTACCTTGATAATGAATTCTAAAGAATTCTTAACTAGGTTATAGAACAATTGTGCACGTCAGACGATTGTAATGTTGCCAACCCTAACGAAGTCTGGTACTCGCAGTTAATGTCGGTGACCCGATTTACGGTTCCCTGTGACCTACAGTTCCATTCCAGGGACCTTTTGAAGAATTGTTATTAAAATCTTCTTACTTACCCATTGGAAAATTGGTTTGTAAATCTTTCAAGAGAGTATAAACGGAATTAAAAGATAATTAAGATAGAAATTGTAATTTTATTAATATATTTTGTATACTACTAAGCATTTGGCTTAGTCATTTGAAATAAAAACCTTATTAATTTAGAAATACATGATTATTCAAATTAAATTAGATTTTTGATACCATTAAGATTAGAAAAACTGGTATGCATGTATTTGTTCAACTAACTACTAGTTACAAATTTTTAATATATCAGACGTATCTATAATCGACATAGTCACTCGTACACCAATTTGAAATTTGTGTCGGGTCAATGTTTTTGTGAACTTCCAAAACCCAGAAACTACGCATCAATAGTTTCCACGTGTTTTAATATAATCTAAAAACACCGAATGGAAAACAACAAACGACTGCATAAATCCATCACAATGAGAGAATCAAATACGTCCTATTTAAAACACTGAAAACGGAAATAATGCAGGCAATTTTAGTAGCTATTCACTGCACACGTCTTTTGTGTTTCAACAATAATGTAGCTAGGGTTTTTATTATGAGGGAGAATGCTGATGTTTCACTGTGTTCAGGATCTAGCGGCAGATGTATTTTATTGAATGATTTCGGTTATTTTTATGCCACTATTAAAATCAGCGAAACAGATGGAACTAGCTAGAAGGATACTGAAAGCAGTTCGAAACATTATGTCGTAGTATATTACAGCTGGATAAAAAAACACATAAAAATTAGCTATTATATAGTAAACTTTTAAACGTCACCCCAGTTAAAACCTAAAGACCTCAATTCAAGGGAGAATGAACGACAAGAACTGAAACGAATGGCAAAAATCTCGCCGGCACAAATTTTATCATCAGTAATTTTACCGTACTTCAAGTGTAAATTTTTTTTTGTTTGATCGGGTTCTTCCAAACCCCATGGATTTTTCATCGTGCCGTGAATTTTAATGATTAAATAAATAAATATATAAAGATAACTAATCTACGCGGACGAAGTCGCTAACACAGCTAGTAGTAGTAGTGAAAGATAGAGGTGCCATTCTTAAACTTGAAACAACGACTTTTAATGCATTATTTCTATTTAAAAACTTCTTTCATCAGTTTATATGTCGAAGTAGATTATCGAACTTAGAAACACTGGGGTACTTTCTATAACTGAGGCAGTTAGCATGACATGTAATACAATTAAACAGTCCACTCGTAATTAAAAGCGACGCTAATAAGTTCATTGAATGATATCGTAATACGGTTCGCAGGGGTGTAGCGACGCAAGTAGGACGAATCCAGGTCGGAACCTTCACCTCTTTGCAGGAGCACATTTAACGATCTATGCATTGATAACAGTACACATGAATTTGCATGGTGTGATAGATAATACTTTATAAACTCCTCGTGTTCTGTCCAGTTTCGATGTTTGAGAATCGGCTGAGCACAGCTAATTTTCACCAAAGGAAAATTGTTTAATTGTCATTTTAGTAAAATCATTGTAAAACTTCTAGATAGCTTTTTTAATGATAGAGACGGATAAAGCATGGGGTACACTGGATAGGATTTGAAATATCCCAGCCATAACATCTACATAAAATGCGTTGTCGTCCTATTTTGGCTTTGGATACTAATAAATTTGATATGTGAAGTTACATAATGCCAAGCGGTTAACAATTGCGCTATGGAAACCG